AGTAAATTTTATTTCTTTGGGGTGGTGGGATGGTTCAGTTGAATAAATCTAATCTTGTTTTTCATTTCTTTTTACAGGACAAAGAAGATGACGAGCGACCCCACCCGGACATGGACTTCACTCTTGGATCCAAGCTAAGGTTAGTAAATTTTATTTCTTTGGGGTGGTGGGATGGTTCAGTTGAATAAATCTAATCTTGTTTTTCATTTCTTTTTACAGGACAAAGAAGATGACGAGCGACCCCACCCGGACATGGACTTCACTCTTGGATCCAAGCTAAGGTTAGTAAATTTTATTTCTTTGGGGTGGTGGGATGGTTCAGTTGAATAAATCTAATCTTGTTTTTCATTTCTTTTTACAGGACAAAGAAGATGACGAGCGACCCCACCCGGACATGGACTTCACTCTTGGATCCAAGCTAAGGTTAGTAAATTTTATTTCTTTGGGGTGGTGGGATGGTTCAGTTGAATAAATCTAATCTTGTTTTTCATTTCTTTTTACAGGACAAAGAAGATGACGAGCGACCCCACCCGGACATGGACTTCACTCTTGGATCCAAGCTAAGGTTAGTAAATTTTATTTCTTTGGGGTGGTGGGATGGTTCAATTGAATAAATCTAATCTTGTTTTTCATTTCTTTTTACAGGACAAAGAAGATGACGAGCGACCCCACCCGGACATGGACTTCACTCTTGGATCCAAGCTAAGGTTAGTGAATTTTATTTTTTTTTGCGGGGGAGGGATGGTTCATTTGAATAAATCTAATCTTGCTTTTCATTTCTTTTTATAGGACAATGAAGATGACGAGCGACCCCACCCGGACATGGACTTCACTCTTGGATCCAAGCTAAGGTTAGTAAATTTTATTTTTTTGGGGTGGTGGGATGGGTAAATTGAATAAATCTAATCTTGTTTTTCATTTCTTTTTACAGGACAAAGAAGATGACTAGCGATCACATCCGGACATGGACTTCACTTTTGGATCCAAGCTAAGGTTAGTTAATTTTATCTTTTTTGGGGGTGGTGGGATGGGTAAATTAAATGAATCTAATCTTGTTTTTCATTTCTTTTTACAGGACAAAGAAGATGACTAGTGACCACACCCGGACATGGACTTCACTCTTTGACCCAAGCTAAGGTTAGTAAATTTTATTTTTTTGGGGTGGTGGGATGGGTAAATTGAAAAAATCTAATCTTGTTTTTCATTTCTTTTAACAGGACAATGAAGATGACGAGCGACCCCACCCGGACATGGACTTCACTCTTGGATCCAAGCCGTTTCCAGGTCGTCCTTGGTTGCATTTTGAGGCTAGAACATAAAGATTCATATGCCCTATTAAGGTCACGCTCGTTGAGTTTTGTAATCTTGCTTCTCTTTTAAGGCTGATGTGCATTTTCTCTCAAGTGAGAGTTGGTGCTGTTCCTTTTTTGTATTGTCATTCATTTGTGATGAATTGTGTCAATAAAAAACTTAACAACACTCTTTGGAGTATATTTGCTGAGGCCAAAATGACTGTCTGTTTATTTAGAGACATATCTCCGAATATCTGTGGAAAATCAATCTGTCGCCCTGGTAGAGGGAAGTCTACTCCGGAGTTACTATTCATGCAAAAAGTAACTGCCATCACAAAACTGTGACAAAGCACTTGATCTCAAAAACTGGTCTTCACTTTTATTCCAAAGCTTGATCTACTCCCGTTCAAGATAAACCCAAGTAGTAAGTAGCCAACTTAAGAATTGTGTCAGCTTTACAATATCATGCAGGTCCCTCTTACAACAAAACCGGCACAATATTTTCGTTGAATGGATGACTGTAATGTGTTGGGTGAACATGCTTTCTACACAAACGAGGTGTAGCAGCAAAATAGTACGAACGAAGTTGTGAAAAAAAAAACAAACAAATATTATTCCATCTCATAATTTTATTTCTATATATACATGTTTTATTCTTATTCAATAAATCAAACATCTAAAATTATATTTTACTTCGTCCAAATTAAGTCCCGGTCAATTGACGAGATATATACAGCTTGATTCAGATTCAGATTTACATGTTATTTTACATGTGATTTTTCTTGTGCAGGCATACACACGCAAGACGACACTCGCACGGGAATACGCATATATATATATATATATATATATATATATATATATATATATATATATATATATATATGTACGCCAGCACATGCATGCACTTTGGTGGACACGCACGCAAGTACAACACACGGGTTGCACATTCAACCTCCAGGCTGCCAAATCATGGAGTGCAAGGCGTTATGTCATAATGCCAATTCCAGTGTGTCTATGAACTTGTGTCATCCCTTCTCTTTCTCCAGAAAGGGGTTTGTGGTCTGCGGCGTTTGGGTTTCGCAGCTTCTGCAGGCTTTTCACTGGGATTGACTTGAAGTGGGACCACGCCTCTTTTCTTTTGCCAAGGAAATCGAAACTTGGGTCGCTTGGGGGAGCTAGGACGGGTTAGTGTCTCAGCGCGGGGTGTCTCGGATCTGGGAGCCCTCGGCAGGTACGGTGCCAGGCTGAGGTCCTGGTCGTACTGGGGACAGTTCGGCATGGTCACATTAAAGTGACTTTCCTGTGGCACTTTCTCACTAGGCCGAGGTCTGGAAAATACCAAAAACAATCATACATAACTGGTGTTTATGTGATTTTTGTGAGCATGAGGATATTTTGTGTGATGAATAATAATAATAATAATAATAATATTAATAATAGCTCATGATAAGAAGAAAAAGTAGGAAAATATTCAAACACCAATTATTTTGTCATTAATCAGAATTATTATTTAAAAATGGAAAAAGATCATTGGAAAATAAGGTTTACCTAAAAAAGGAACTACTCATTTCATCAGGTTCATCGGTTATGCTAGCAGTAGGCGAACGCTGGGGCTCGAGGGGCTCAGTCAACTTTTTTTCTGATCTAAAGCCAGACTCATTACTGAAATTAAAGTATCTTTCTTAACTGTACATTCGTCTATATCCTCACGGAGAAAAAATTATTAAAACTTTTTACTTGACATTGATAAAACTAGGCCTACAAACAAAATATATGTTCATAATAGGAATACACTGTACATCAAAGGATACCTTCATGTGCAAACGAACTAAGTAGTAGTAGTAGTAGTAGTAGTAGTAGTAGTAGTAGTAGTAGTAAAATCTATTTACAAGACTAAAGCAATTAATTTGCATTAGCGTAAGTTGCATACCTTATGACCTGACAGGAATTATGAAGCTCTGGTTTCACAAGGGAACATTTCATAGTCTCGGGGACAGCACCGGGTAATGCTGGGCAAATTGCCTCGTACATCTCTGGCGTCAGTTTTGGCATTTGAAACCGAGGGTACTCTGCGAAGACCATGCCGTCTTCTAACCGGTCTTTCTTCTTTCCACTAGGAAGAGGGTTGAACTGAAAGAGGTTCTTCTTGATATTTTTCAAATGCTGCTTCGTCGTTTTCTTTGGCTTGGTCGGCCGCTCAAATTCATAAGGACTTACGTGGACTTCATGAGAGTGTCCATCTGGTAAATGGTATACCTGTGTAGGAGCAGTCGCTGTGTCGAAAATGGACGAAAGGTTTTTCGGCTTCTTAATTTTTGGCCGGGCTGATTGGAATGGAGCCGATTCCAGTAATTTGCTTATATCTGCTGTTAGCTCCTTTTGCAGGTCTGCTAGCGGTTTCTGGGTATTTGAGGCGGGTGGTAACTCTGGAAAACTTGATGGCAGTGTGTTGGTCAAGTTTGGTGCATTTGGCTGACCGCTCGCTTGATAATTATGTTCCTTGGTATTAGGTGTCGCAAACTTTGAGTTTTTCGACGTCGTAGTCGTACACGGCATATTCAGATCCTCTTTTACACTGGTGTTTTTAGCACCAAGAAGTAACTTAGCTAGTTCGGCACCAGTTGCTTTGGGCTCAAAGCTTGAAGACGCAGGTAAAGTTGAGTTAGACGGAACATTTTCCCTTGTCGCTTTTTCCGTGGGCCCCATGCGATCTGGAATAACTTCATTCCTTGGGGGTGTCGAATGAAGTGTGGCTTTGGGGTCCACCTGCTGCACTGGATGACCACACCCAGCTTCGAACTCTCTCATGGGCCGCTTGAACTTGCGCAGCGGGACCTCTCCGTTTCTTGGCACAGCGCGAAAAATGTCTGAATCCAAGACAATGTCTTCATCTTCTCTGCGTCTTGTAGGCTGTTTTTCATATATACAATTAATCGTTCCATCATCTACTCGCATTGACTTCAGACTTTTAAAACAAAAGCATAGACAACTCATCTTGCTGCTTTGCAATATCACTTAGATACTTTGGCAACTATAGTGACAAGTGTGACGTAACAGATGCGCTGCCTATAACCATCAAAGCGTCACAAAAATAAATTAGAAATTATAAAATTAATTGAAAACAAAGCAATGTTTTATTATTCGTTGAATAACAACAAGATTCCGAGTAAAAATAAAAAAATACCTGTTATGATATTTATGAATAAAAAAAAACATCGATAGACAGATCGAATAGATAAGAATCAAGATTATAGTTGGTCGTGACGTCATAAAGCACAGCAAAACAATTGGTTAATCGTGTGTTGTAAATTTTTTTCCAAATTATAGTGTTTTTTCAAGTGCACACGTGCACTTTTAAAATTTTTTACAAGATGTTTAATTTGAGAGACAAATATCTAAATTCAAATGTGTTACATTTCTTAAAAATCAACTTTTTTTATTCTGAAACAGACCATTGCCATGGCTGAATAGTCAGATATCGAATTGCCTTGACACAATGACCAGTTGATCAGTTTGTTTCTCTTAAGTCACGATTTCATTAAAGTTGGGCCGCCTTTTCCATTCCTACGGGCTGCCTGAATGAATAAATGTACATATAGTATATGACCCAGCAGATTGTCATTTACCCCAAGAAATTATTTTCGTTGTTATCCTTTTAAGTACACCATAGTAGGCTACCTTCGCTATAGTGCTACCCCCCCCCCCCTCGTCGCCAATCCCGTATAAGTATACGCTATTTTAAGTTTCGATTTGATATCGTATCGATTTGATCCATCCATTTGATGACAGGTAATTAAAGATACCATCAGATGATTTAATGAATAGCCCCAACAAATTAAACTTTTTTCATAAAATCACGTTGTCCTACTGTACGTTATCATACCAGTTGCGGCGGGTTAATTTGGTTCCGCCCATTGCGCGTTATTCTTAGCTTTAGCATCAGCCAAGGTAAACAGCGGAAGGAATCGGGCGACTGAGGAAAAACCTCCTACGTCTGTCAATCGGACAGACCGGGAAGTATGGCTAAGTCTGGAGTGAAATCAAGTAGCACCAGGAGAGAAGTAAGAGAACTGAAGGATTTTCTTGCAGAGGTGAGTCAGGTTTGGAGGATGGAAATGTATGTACCTCTTGCTTTCAACTACATAATAATACCAACAAGTGATCGAGGCATTGCCGATGTGACACGGCACTATATAGAGATAGGTAGTGCTGGTGGAATGCGAGAAATGTGACCGTTACGTACTACAGGAGGGAAGGCTATTATTTTCAATAAAGCTGAGCCCCTACAGACTGCACGGTCTTGAAAGTTTAAGGAAAAGAGGAGCCCCGAAAAAAAAAGGGGGGGGGGGTCCTGCTGGACTGTGCTCAACAAGTGTTAGTTTTTGAAAAATTGGCCTTGCCAGATTAATTGATGTTGTGAAGATTTTAGCTTTCCCTTCACTTAACTGAAATGGTATATGGATGGAGGATCCACATGGGGCCAGATAAATATTATTCACCATTTTTATTTCCATGTTGTTGAGAATATTTAAGAAAAGGATATTTAATGAAAACTACGAAGAGTACATGTATACATGGATCACCCCCACCCCCATCTATGCTCTACTGCCATTATCGTCCACAAATTATTTTCATGCATTATGCATTCCTAAGTAGTAACCTATTTCATCTGTTTTGTTGACCTCTTACATGTACCCCGGTCCCAGTATTTATTATGCAGAAATGTATGGTCATCACCAGTGCTTCTGGTAGCAAATAGGGTCATGCTGTGCCCAGCTATACAGGTGTAACTGAATACTGTTGATTGCCCAATCCTACCTGTATACTACCTGAGTATCATGATGTAAGAACTGCAGCAGTATTTGTATATGTATTAATTGCACAGCTTGTACAAATTTATGGATTTAAATTTTACACATGTCTATTTGGAAAGGGGGGCATAGAGAATGAGAGAGAGAGAGAAGGACCAATTTGTACATGTTTATATATATATATATAATTACAAGTTAATGTTTCACTTATCCAGCATATATTGTGTTGAGTGCATGGGAAATAGTTCTTTTTTTCATTATATTCTAATTCTACTTAATATACTAATATAATATATATTTATCTATATTTTGCATCTATTTTTCATCTCCACTAATTCAAGTTTATGCATTGTCACTGCATTGAATGCAAGATCTATTTCTTCTTGAATTTCATATCCGTCATTTCCTGCTGCTTGCCACATCAACCTGTATGGTACTGAAAAATATGTTTATTGACCACAATAGAATGTCAAACCTTGGTTTGATCAGGTAAGAGAATTTTTTTTAATATGTTATTTAAAATAATGCATATGTGTATTATACTCTCAGTATTCATTTAAGTATAAGAGCAGGTGATTTACTAGACTAAGCATTATTTGTGGGTTAAACAAACTCCTTTGTTTGTGTCTCACAAACACTTTCATTGTACTGGTAATTGACTGTTTATGCACATAAAAATTGATCTCGATTCTATTTATCATAAAATTAACATAATTATGTATAACTAAATGTTCTCTTTTCTTGAATATTTATTTGACAGTCCGCTTTTTCTAATTATTTTCATCATCATCGTCATCATCACCATCATCATTATTATTATTTTCTTGATTTATTTACAATCTTGGGGCTGAAAAACTATTTCCAATGTTACATACCAGTATTTATACTGAATTTGTAAAACTTTGCATAAAGGACTGAATAAAATGTAGAATTACTCATGAGGAAATTACTCAGGGATGATCTTAGAGAGTTGGAGTTTTATCCTGTACTAGTATATGTCAGTCATTATAATTCCACATCAAGGATATACCAGCGTATATCCCTTTGCCACATCCTACATGTAAGATGTAACACTTCTTGGAAAAGATTATTTAGTAATTATTCACAGGGCTCATTGCATTTTTGAAAATATTTTTAGTAACCTGAATAATATAATTCTGTTCTAGAATATGAGCTGGGTTTTTATTAAAAATACATGAAAAAAATAAGGAGGTGGAAAAGTATATCTGAGTGGTCAACGTGTTTGTAAATTGTGGGTTATTACCATTTAATCTGTATAATAAATAAAAAGAGGTTATTATCAATTGCAGTTTTAAAAAAGAGTAGATATTTGTGTACATTATTTTCACCAAAGCTTGGCACCCAAAATCAGATGCCCTATGTATAACACTTGCATTATTTGCCAGCCATCCGCATAATATCCAACCCTAGGTGATATGTTTGCATTGTACTCAGTGACACCAAAGCTAACAAAAAACACAATCTGTCAAAACATGTCAGAGTTTACAGATGATTTGTTTGAACCATAAAAAAAAACTGGAGTCTCTGTGCAAAATCCATGCTTTATTTACACTCCAGTGAAATTTTGCTTACATCTGATCTGTACTACAGGGGTAGTTGTGCTTGTTCAACACAATGGTAAATGGTACATGTATATTATGCACTTTTATATGCTCTCCACTGTACAGCCCTGTAAATAAGACTCATGATCAGTAGCCATAGTCCGTGATTTATGGAAATCCACTGATTTTGTTGAACAGTTCTGTAGAAGAAACCTGGGTTAATTATATGGGTTAATCTGGGAAGAAGGGAAAAGTTACAACTTCTTTGAGAAGAAAGATGAATATCTTGAAATGTGCACTGGTTTTATGCTGTTTGAGAAGAAAAGAAAATTGTTCTGACACATATGTACTAGTACATGTAGCATGGCTGATTGGTTCAGAATGTGTGTGGAAAATGGGTTGTGTAACATCTGTGTTACCATGGCTTACCAATATTGATATCATTATATCATCAGGTTTATAATTTCAGTTATATTTATCATCTTTGGTACACACTTAAAACTTTTGAATATTATTTATCAATATCCAAACAGTTTATTTAAGTTATCCTAATTTTCTTTGTCTCACAAAATCAGACATTATAAATGCCGTAACCATAACAGATACAAAAGTTAAGACACCCAATAAAGAAAGAACCTGAAACATTTCACAGTTGATATTCCCTTTTATCTTGCCATAAAGCAGGTTATGTGCTAAATTGACAGTAAACCTACATTGGTGGACCACATTTTAATGATTTAGTATGCACGAACTATAGATTAATATACTGGCTTAATTTATTTAACAGCATCAGTGATAACAAATGGCATATCATTCTTTGTTTTTTAATTTTGACTTTGAATATTTATGGGGGGGGCTTTTATTTGTTCATGTGATAAGGGTAAGCTTGGTTATCTATTGGTGTGCATGCATGTGTGTGTGTATGTGCACGCACGCGTGTGCACACTGATATGCATGAGTGCATGGGTACATGTGGGACAGTGTAATAGCATATATACAGTTTTTACATCCACACCCATATAAGCTTAGATTAAGCAAAAATAATTCATTTACATGGTGACACTACAGTCATACCATACTGAGTATTTCACACATTGCATGTCACTGAGTATTTTATGTTCAGTCCTATGGACTGATAGCTACTGGTATGTCACCTTGTTGTCACCCACAGTAGCCAAGTGATAAATGTATAGATAATCTGTCCACAATGGCCACTGGTGTTTACTAGGTCCAGTGTAAAGATTTTATCTTTTTTTGAGTATATATCAAATACCTTGTCTAAGAGCAAGAACACAATGAAAGTGCAGTATTTGTTTCATAACAGAGATATCAGAAAAGACCATTTTCTGCCTTTTTTTTTTTCTTTAACCAAAAATTCTGTTTTGAGTTTTTGTGTAAAAGAGAGTTTTTTTTATGTTTTTGGACATATTTCCAGAACTAAAGACTTCAAGTGGTATTAATAAAATCCCAGTTTTTTTAAGCTGTAATAGTGATTTATACAATATATGTATTTATTTTTGCTATAAATTACAGGAAGCACAACATGGAGATCCAGAGGCTCCTGGTATCCCTATGCGTGAAATCCGCCATCATCTTGACCAAACCGGAGTGATGGATCGCATACCTGACTCCAGCAAGCAGCGTATGATAGAGAGATATGATCTCAACCAGGATGGACTATTGTCATATCCTGAATTTGAAAGTCTGGTAAGGTTTATGATGGACTTCAAACCACAAAGATGGATCCCATTTGGGGGGGGAGGGGGGCTTGAAAATGTGCTAGTACTTCCCTTCGCCCCTTTAAAGATCATATCTGTATCATTTGTATATTTTATTTTATTTTATTTTATTTTATTTTACTTTTAAGCCTAACTGAGTGATTCTTTTTTTTTTCTGAGCCTATATTAACCCCCCCTCCCCCAATACTGAAATCCTGGCTGAACTAAAAAGACATTATTGGTATTGTTTTTATTTATAATAATAATGTTTTAATAATGGATTTATAATACCTGTTTTAAATGTGTAAACATTCTTATTTTTAGACAGTGGTCAAAATAATTGAAAATTAAATATCAATAACTTACTTAATGCTGAACGATGTCAGTTGTTAAATTTATCTCAGCTTTTGCTTACTTAATTCCAGATTGTTAATGAACGGCAGCGACTGGATGTGCATAAACTAACAGGTTATCAAAAGTTTGTTTTGGGTCTAGTGAGTACTGTTGTGCCAGAGAGCGCAGTCAAGAAGTCGCTGGAAAGCTATATAGAAGCATATGACTGCAAACCACCTCCACTATTCATCATCTTTGTCAGTCTGTTAGAGGTGTGTGTTTCTCTCTCTCTCTTTCTCTCTCTCTCTCTCTCTCGTTAGTCTACTGTATGCATAAAAGAATGACTCATTTTTTGTGATAGTCTGATCATTGAATGTACCACCATGGTGCCTCACATTTCGAGATGTTTTAGGTAATTATTGTATTATTTACACACTTAAGGCTTCTTTACAGTTGTCCAAATGGCAAAAAAGAATGAGAACGTTGTCACATGTTAAAATAAAAAAAAATGGAAGTAAAGATCTGAAGTAAAAAAATGGCATATATATATTTTTCCGTGTGGTGTGTGACTCACACATCTGTTCATCTTTCTCTTAAGGTAGTCAGAAAACAATTCATAGTTAAATCATAAAATTATGAAAAGATTCAAAGGAGCTTTGAAAAATACATTGTATTGGACTGAGTTTTTGCCAAGAACATTCTTTTTAAAGTGATGATGACATTTGTCTGCATTTATCAGAAAGGGATAAAAATCAATATATTAACAGGAAATTGATAGGTAGAGCAGGGCACAATATATTTTTTAATGTTTCACTGTGATCTTTTGCTGCTGTTGTGTTAATTGAAAAGGATGGGATTTGTTTTTATCTTCTCCCACTGGCTGTCAAAAATCAATACCAATTACTTTTAAAGTAGAAATGAAGAAATGAATTACTTCTCTTCAGTGTGATTATCAATCTTACAAGAAATATTTGCACCTAAGAGATGAACATGGTTTCTTTAATTTTTTTTTACTTTTCTGCAAACACTACTGCATTGTGTTCACATTCTTAAAAATCCATCATTCTTAAAATTTAAATACATGGTTTACTCTCAAATATTCTGTATGTTAAAAATCTTTGAATGGTTATCTGTTATAATAAAAATCAGTTACCTTTTTGTGACTGTAGACATTTGTAAATTTTGGTTTAAAAATGCAGTAGTTTAATGAAAATAAATATACTCCAAGCAATCTAACAAAGAGTGACTTCATCAGGGCAATAATGAGGATTATCGCTCATATTGATATTCAAGATTAAAATTCAGTTTATTCCATAAAACAATTTATTTGTTTTAGATCATCATATTCATAGTGTATGCAGTGGAGTTGAAGGACACACAATATGCAGTGACTGCAGCCTCTGGCTTCCCCCCTTACAGTCCTCTAATATATAACCCTTTTAGAAGATATGAAGTTTGGAGATACTTGACATATATGTGTATACATGTGGGGTAAGTACACCAGCCATATTGAATGGATTTTCAAACCTGTGCTGAAATTATTAAATGAAATACCAGACTGCTGAATCGTGTGATGTTGATGTGCCTCTCTCTCAGACACTTAATTCTGTCTTATAAGAATCTAGGTGGAGCTATTCTCATTCTTGTGATGTTATCTGCACAGAACAAATTTTAACACCCCAGCCATGGCCTGGATAGATGGCACCACTGTCCAACTAATTTATGAAGACTTTACTGCTCTCCCTTTTCAATCCAACATTCCATGTCCAGGATGTTGACATAGCCCCTGGTTTGAGAGTGGGTGCAAGAATAAGTACACATGTAAATCAAAATTTTAACTTGGTTCTGTCAAGGAATTATAATTTGGTTCCTTTGCTGCTAGGATAGAAGATATGTTTTGGGTCCTAGTTTACCATAATATGTGTGATGTTTTACTGAGTGCTACTATCGCCATTGGGAACCTAATAACTAGTATGTTGCCTAGCTAGGGACTGAAGTCTGTCCAGAATATAGCATGAATGCTAGTATACTCTAAAGGCACTTGGATTTGTAAAAGAGTGCCCATCTCAATCCTGAGATTTGCTCCTCATAAAGGTGGTTTAAGGTTGAGTAACATAATACTTGTACTCCTGCATTGTTTTTCATCTTTAGCTGTCAACACAGCTGTGCCACACTCATGTGGATGGAAAGAAGTCAGATGAATTATGTAGACTTTAACAAGTCACATGGGATATTAAAACCATCTCCACAGTCATGCTTAATCTTAAATATTACACAAAGGAGCATATGTTTTGATTGATAATGGATATTAATTGATAACTTGTGTCCAACATTTCGGAAGCTGTCATGCTATTGATTCTTGTCACAGCATGTTATTCATGATAATACACAGAATTAAGGGGATGATTTATGCTCGACTTAGAGAATATCCTATTGGAAAATAATGCATAAAAACGAATGGACTGCCTCATGTTTTTGGGAAAAGATCTAAGTTGCATTCTTTATAGTAACACTAATGTACCATTGATGAACTACTTGTTAGATTTTAACTTTCTTCATTTATCATCCTTCCCTATTCATTTTAATTTTCCTGGAAGTTATACTTGCCTGTAATTTTAGTGAACACAATCCGCTTTGTTGGGACAATTTTTGTTGATGATTTCGTTAATGTTTTTTTTAAACCTTTTTTATCCTTTGGAAAATTGCTATTCTAAATTTACAAAAAAATGTTGTTAACAAAATTATCCAGATAATTTGACGCCTTTGTTTCTGCAATTATGCTGTAACTTACTGTACACAAGTGTTATTTGATTTTAGACTGAAAATTGATTTATCAGATGCCTAATATATTTCTTCCCTAAAAACTAAATCTTTTGAATGAAATGGTACAAATAAAACTTTGTTTGGTATACATAACTATCTGTCAATTTATTCTTCTATTTATTTATTTTTTGATGGGCAAAAATCTTCCCCTTCCACTGTTTAATGAAAGATATTTGCTATAAATTTTTCTCTCTTCCATTTTCCAGGTACACACACCTCATCTTCAACCTAGTATTTCAGCTTATACTAGGCATTCCATTGGAAATGGTCCACAAGTGGTGGCGGATGATGATAGTATATTTCCTGGGTGTTATAGCTGGTATGTAATTTTGAGAAAAGGGGGTAGAGTACTTGGAAGTTTCACTAAAATAAAAAAAATATTGCATGTCATATATTTTTTAAATAAAATTATGTATTTATGAGAAATATTTAGTGAATGTTGCTAAAAATATGTATTATTATTATTTTTTTATGGGCTACATAAAGAAATTGATGCTTGTAAGCATGAACCTGGGGATTTTTTTTTTTGTGTGTGTGTGTGTGTGTGTGTGTGTGTGTGTGTGTGTGTGTGTGTGTGTGTGTTCTAGAAACACGAGAACTATAACAGCATGTAGAAGGTACATATAATTTGAATGACAGTATGCATGTCTTGTATGGAAATAATTTAACAATACAAATTAACACAATGGGAAGTTACATTTTGCATTTCTAGTCAATATTTGAATACCAAAACCAAAACAGAATGGAATTTTATTTTAGGCTCTTTAGCCCACTCAGTAACAGATCCATCCTCCTTCCTGGCTGGGGCAAGTGGGGGATGTTATGCACTCATTGGTGCTCATGTGGCAGCCATTATTATGGTATGTCTATGTTCAGGATTTCTTTACCAATATCAGACACAATGCAGAAGTGAGTGCCAATGTAGAAAAGTGCACTGTTTACTAAATATTTTGCCATGTTACTTAAATTAAAAAGTACACTTTTAAATTTTTTAATTAAAAAGTAACTGTCCACTTTTGAAAATATCCCAAAGTCATATTTTCTATCTCTGTCTTTTCTATCTCACTAAAGTGCACTTGGTGTAATCAGTTTAATTGTCTGGCATGCCCCCTCGAGAAGCGAGGGGGTAATTAATTTTTTGAAGAGGTAGTCATTTTGTTTTCGTGCACAAACGTTAATTACCCTCTCACTTCTGAAGGGGGCATAACAGACAGTTAAGCTGATTACATTGAATGCACTGTAGCAAAAATCAGTGCAGAGATAGATCGATCCTGCTGGTACAATTACTTTATTCTGAACACGCTCTATGATTTCTGTATATTTCAGAATTGGGAGGAGATGCAGCACAAGTGGATGGAGGGGGCTGGGTTCAAAGCTGTGGTTAGAATTATACTAAGTGCACCCGTCAGGCTGCTAGTTATATTTGTGTTTGGTGAGTAAATGTTTGCTTGCTGACACTGTGCCTAAATCAAGTCTGTTTAATACTCAAAAGACAAGATAATGTTGATGAGGTTAGTTAAGTTTAGAAATTTAAAATTAATATTTACATCTGTAAGACTTTGGTTACATAAGCAGATGATGCTGTTCATAGAGGTTTGATAATGAAAAGCACAAACTTTGATTATCATCACCAATTTGAAAATACTGGTATTCTTGATATTATTTTAGAATGAGTACCTTAAGGCGTTTTACACAGAAAGCTTTATTGAAGGATTTACATGTTTATTTGTTTTAAGTTAAAAGAAATATTTTTATGGTTGTTACACATAGTCTACAAATAAAAAGGCATCTAAGGTATGTTAGAATAAAGTAATATGATGCATATAACCTTTAATGAGAATGCTTTATTTTATACTACCTGTATATCACACCACATCATTTGCTATATTACTTTTGCTTCCAATATATATAATACTTGAACTTTTGTCTCAAAACTATGATATCCTCATCAAGTACTAATAGATACGTCAAGGTTCATTTCCAGTCTAATTGTCACAGCTTAACTGAGTATTATACCATCAAATATGATGTTTTTAGTTATCAGCTTACCCTAACACTTACCCTCCTCTAAAGACACAGAAAGAAATGTTTTCATGAGATTCTCACAGATAATTTCTCTGACTATTCACCAGCTGCGTGTGCAAACTTCTTTTCTGGGAAAATTTTTGCACAGCATCAATGCCATCACCCATCCAGCCTCTGGTAAGAAGTACATGATGTTCTGTTTTGATACATGAAAATCATGTTGACTGTGGTCCATTTAATATCAGAAGAGTCCATCCTCTGGCCATTCAGTATCAATAGAGTTCATCCCCTGGCCATTCAGTATCAGAAGAGTTTATCCCCTGTCCATTCAGTATCAGAAGAGTCCACTCCCCCCTACCTCCCACCTAAAGCTAAGTTGTGTATTATGCCCAGCATTAGTAATGGGTGCAATGAGGATATCAGGGATCAGATAAGCTCCTTACTTTTATGTTGTTGTACTTATTACACAGTTATGGATGGTGTGAATTCACTAAAGCTATCACAATTGGACTGGAAAAGTACCAAATCTATCTTTTTATTATAACACAAATATTCTACTAACTCTGGTGGTGGTATTATTTCCCAGCTGCTACAGATACAGGTCTTGCCATATGGAAAAGATATTCCGAGGAAGAAGGAATGGATGAACGAAGGGTCGGGTATGCCGCCCATTTTGGAGGGGCCTTAGCAGGTTTGATATTGTGGACCAGCATGTGTCACCCTGATTGTCAGAGTTTGTTAGGTGGTGACGCACTTCTCACTGCTTATACATACAGTGTTTTTTTTTTTTTTTCATTTGGTTCAGGTAATATTTCATATCTGCCTAAAATTGCTTATAATTGGATTGATACAGAGAAAGAATTTGTCTCTTTCTCTCTTTCTTAAACTTTTGTTTCAAAATTGAATTTGGTCAAAAATAATGTCTACATTATATATATTTTAGAAACCAAAAAGAAAGTAAAATATGTTATGTAAGCCCAGCGCACTGTGGATAAGATATTAATGCTACTGCCAGTAGCTACTGTCACTTTTCTAAATGAAACAGAGAGATGAGATCCCAATATTGCTCTGAAAATTAGGGAGATGCTTCTGATTTGATCTGTCCTGTTGATTTACCAGAGTGAGTGCTGGTATATGCATCTAGTTTTCAGATTGTCTTTGTGCACTGTGTGAACAGCTTAGTAGGTCACCATGGTCTGCAGTGTGTTTTAAGTAGCAAGTTGCTTGTCACTCCACATCACATTGTATAGCAGTGTGAGTTTTTTTCCAGATATGGTTTAGCCTGACCATGGTTTACTCAAACACAAGCATTTTTTTCCTTTTTTTTTTTTTTCTTTTTTGTATAATTTCCATTTTATTATTTTTATTCATATTTCATAATTTTAAATTTTCAGTTTCACCAAAGATCTTCAATGTTTAGCACATTTTCATCATATTTATCACCCAAATATATATAAAGCATTCGTCTCAAAACACTCTATTTTCCTCTGATCAGCTGGGGTAGACATAGGTCTTGCTGTGTACAATCGTTATGCCTCAAGTACAAAAGAAAATGTTGGCTACGCTGCTCACTTTGGGGGTGCTCTAGCTGGTAAGACCAATATACATGTAACATCACACAGTTAACCCATGGTATATGGTCTTCAGGTGGCAGCAGTGCTGGGTGAAATATGGAAGTTGGTGCTTTAAGCTAGTATATATTGGGTTTACTTTTTGGAAGTGGAACTAACTCTTGTCACTGGGCAGAGAGGTGTCATTGCACTTAAAGGATTTGAATTCCTTATAAAATAATGGACATTGGTCATATAATGATGAACTTTTTTTAGCTCTAAATGCATTGTCAAAATTGATAGCTTGCTACAGAAACAGTGTCATGATTGCTAGCTCTACATAAAAAAATCAATGAAAATATTACATAATTATGTTAGCATGATAATATAAATATTATTTTAAACAATTAAGAGACAACAGACCTGAGATTATAATCATGTCTGGTTTTTGGTCTAAATGGAGAGTGGAAACCTACCTGCATATATTCAGTCTCCCAGATTGCAATGCAATCTTACATATTTAAAAAATTTTAAATTTAGGTATTAGTATTTTTATCAGTAAAACAAGGAAAATGACTGCCATCTTGAATTCAGTTGCCAGCTTGAAAAATATAAAATGCCCGAATTATTGAAGAAGGCCTTAGTACTTGTGGCCAGTGCAAATTTTAATTATATTAAATTGTTAAGTAACTTTTGAAATCAATTTCTGTATTTACATATGACAAATGAATAATATATTAGGGGCCATCTTGGATTTTGCTTGATATGGCCACTGTTGATTGGTTCACCACTAATTCAGCTATAGCATGGTGCATACCTCTGTCAATCACCTTAAGTTTACCTTCAAGAATGTCTCAATGTTTTTTGTTTTTTTTTAACACTGAATAATGGTTTATCATTTTGTTTGTCTACTAACCTTACTAACAACTAATATATATTTCAGTTTTCTATGTAGTTACATAAAGGCTTGGCATTGCATGTGTCAACAGGACAATGTGGGGATGATATTTTAATATTTAAAATGCTTTCTGTTATACATGTATGTATTTATTTATTGGTAAATTATGGTTCACAAGTTTTTTTAATGAAAAAAGCATACATGGGTATTTAATGAATGTTCTGGCATTTTTCATCATAATTAATGATTGTTATATCATAAGCATTGTTGTAGTACATTTCAGGTAGTAGGAGTAACAATAGTTTACAAAATAATATGAGTTATCCCAATGCTTATGATATAACAATCATTTAATTATAATGAAAAAAGCATACATGGGTATTTAATGAATGTTCTGGCATTTTTCATCATAATTAAATGATTGTTATATCATAAGCATTGGGATAACTCATATTATTTTGTAAACTATTGTTACTCCTACTACCTGAAATGTACTACAACAATGTTAAAAAAATATTGCTTGTCAGTTAATGGAATCAAGTGTCAATAACCTGAATTGAGATGTATTTGGATGGTCTACTAGATTCAGCTCATAAAATTTCTGTTTCCTTTTAATGATTTCTGTCAAAATTAAAATTTTAATATTTTGATATTCTGTTGGGGGTCAGTTATCATACATTCATTGAACCAGTCTTTTTCCCTGTTACCAGGTGTTCTAGTGGGGAGCATAGCTTTGAAAAACCTGGACAAGAAGCCATGGGAGGTAATATTATGGTGGGTCTTCCTCGTCATCTACCTGCTTCTGGTTGCCTTTGCTGTCTTCTGGAATGGCCTTTACCCAGGATTCCCTGAGACTGACTGGGAGCCATGTTGTTCTAGTAGTTAAAAGATCCATGCAGTAATGAATGGAACAGGACTACCAAAGAGTGACTGGACACCATGTTGTAGTGTATGAGAATTTTTCACACACTTTACTCTGTCTTATCCTTTTTTAAGAATTATTACAATATTTGGCCATCTCAAAAAAGAAAAAAAAAGTAGAACTTACCAGTATAATTAGATCTACTATTTGCTATAAAGCAATTATGTTAACTTCTTTCTTAAAAAATCAATCAAAAAATATTTGGGTCCAACATTTTAGATAATTTAAGTACAATTGTTACTTAACCAAAACTGGCAACATATCAGGAACATAAATGTGTTGTTATATGACAACAGTGCAGGGATTCAGATATGTATCTGGAGCAGCTTCAAGTTTTAATTTTTCTTTTTGTTCAGGATGAATCATGCTTTGTATCAGTATAGAACTGGTAGTAGAAGCCTTGAGCTTACTTATGTTATCACAAAGACTATCAATTTCTTAACTTACAGTACTTACATGTTTCTGTGGTTATAAAAGCATTGTAGTTCACCCTGAATGTGTGCAATTCTTGGTATCATCCAAGAATATAACCTGCAGCCCATAGGCATTTAAAAAGTAAGTAGCGAGTAAAATTCTTTTGAATTGCAAATGTGATTGACAGTAATTAACCTGTATTTTATGTATAGGGTTTAGAAATTGTGTTCATTTGCATTGTAAGCAAATTGCTTCACATTTAATAGATAAATATAATTTAATTGAATGTTAATTAAAACATTAAAATTCTAATATACCACTTAATATGCATTTTAAAACTTATATTGGATATCATGATGTGCAAACTACGAGCAAAGATATGGTTTGTATTTATGTCACACTGATGTAGCTTTTATGGCAGTTATTTATGTTTTTGAAATTTTTATTTTTATGTAAATCAGAGAAGAATTTCATCATCTGTGTTATGTTGCAGTTTTTTTTTCCATGAGAGACATTGATATATTGGAGGTAATATTAGTTGTCAATATTAGCTGTTGATTGAAAAAATACTTTATTTTTATGTATTTTTAAAACTCAAGACTGGAAATGTGAAAGTATGTCATAGAACATATCAAGTATAAAAGCATTTGAAATCTCTTAAAATGTCATTATATGATAATATTTTTTAGTTTTGTCTTATAGAAGTATTTTTTCTTTTGACAGTGTAGCTTCATATTTTATTTAACAAAGACATTTTATAATAAGGAGAACACGCTGTCTATAGTCATCAACATGGCCACTTTTGGCATGCAACATAAATGGTTTATTAGTAGCATTAGGCTTCTTTGTACAGTTGGAAAGGTCAGCTCATATCCTTGATATTACATTGTCCATTCACTATGTAAGCCTGAGTCAAAACACCTAAACACTGGTCCATGGCAAAGATGGCTAGTCATTGGGTTAATTTAATTATTATCATCTATGACACTGGTGCTCCTTACAGCATCCATCTATATCCATATCAAAGGTAAGCCTCAGATATATATATATATATATATATATATATATATATGTGGAATTGTTACTGTTCTCTAGTCAACAATCATAACAGCATTTTTGTAACAATTTATCCTGGTGCTCTCTCATATGAGATGCAACATGTAAAAAAATACCAGTACCTGAGTTAATCCATGGGCCTGTGAAAGAGAAATGACAAATAAAACTTTACATTTTCGAGGCACTGCTTGGTGTCATCCAGGCAGTGTCTTTGGATGAAGTTTGGGGGGGGGGGGGATGATTAAATGATTAATTTTTGTACTTAACACTTTAATGACAACCAGATCAGACATTAATACACTTATGCTTCATTAGGATGGTTTTAGCACTGGCTTATAGTAATGAACATAATACCATGTAGGGTAAATGTTCACATTCTGTTCAATGACTACAAATCTTTACGTGATTCCAATAAATATATTTACTTATTCTAAATCCCTTGTTATAATATTTACAATATATTTAAAAACATATGCAATGTACTTTATTATATATTTTTATTTTACATAAAAACAAACATTGCTGAAATAATATAACATTATTATCTCCAGTAGGCAATGTTTAAAAACTCCATCAAGAGCATAATTTATAATTTACCAAAAAGAAAATAAATAATTTTTTCACCTTTATTTCCTGTCACCCTTTGCAACTCTCACTGAACTGACTGCAGTATGTATGTCTGTGTGTGTTTTGGCCATAAAATTGTCAGCACATCACCATTTCCTCCTAATATTGACTTTCTTGAAACTATTAATATACACAACATTTCACTTGACTTCACTATTTTGATCATCAATGAGAGAAATATTCAGTTCTTTCCTAAACTCCTTGATGTCCCTCTCCCAATGTTTTTCATAGTAAACGCACATCAGGTTATTTGCATTATATCCCGTCTTGAGTGACCATGGCAAATACAACTCTGCATACTTCTTTCGCCACCTGTAAGTGAACAAAAACATCCACTTGATACATTTGCTTTCATTAATTTTGTAAATAACTGGCCTATTTTAGCTGTGCTAACTGAACAGGCCAAACTATTCCTTATGGTTAAATCTCTAAGATTTTGATTAATTTTCCAAACACTTTTGGATTATTTCGCCCTTAAAAGAAGATGGGTTCCAACATTTCCTGTTTCATCGCCTGAAGCATTACGTAAATATACTTCACTTGTTTCAAACCTGCTAGGCCCAAGCATGACCCAAATGATTTGTGTGTTTGCCCTGGTACCCAACAGAAAGGTGCAAACACAATCACATACCTGTGTTTGTGATCAAATAGCTAGCTCTCAATACAACTACAAACACACACACATAGAGAGATCTACCCAGATTTTAACCCAGTTCAAACACACCAATGGGTTTACCTTGGTCCAAACCTGACAGGTCCAAACACAGCCCCAAGCACACACATTGGTAGGCCTGTTTGGAATGCCTCCACCCATTTCACTGCCACCTCGCCCAGCATGTTAGGCTTCATGCCACAGACTGTGTGCACCAAGTCATGGATCTGGCGATAACGCAACATCACATAAGCAAGTTCAACATCATCTACAAAGGACACAGGGAGTCTTGCATCTGGACTGAAACCCTGAAATTAATTTTAAATAAAAATTGAATACTTCTTTTATTTTTCATATTTATTTAAAACAGGACATCTTTCTTAAGTCCTGGATTGACTTAATGGTTCTTACAATATCTTTTTGTGTGTGCAGACCATTATTAGAAAATTCATTTTGCAAAGGAATGCCATGTTTCAAATACTTGTTAATATTATGTCTGACTCATCAATCTGTATGGAAGGTATGATATGAATATCCCTACCTTGAACATAATTTTAATTAAATTAAATTAAATACATCCAATTTATGGAAAGTTATTTTTCTGGACTAAACCAAATAAACCCCTACTGATACTCTGGTGTTTTCTCTTACATTCGTATTCAAAAAATTCCAGTAATGCTTTCCAAATGTGTTCTCTGGTAGGTTCTCTAAGAATGGCAGGTCCACTGTCCGGGAGTTGATCACTGGTTTTTCTCTGAAATAGTCGAGAGCTACATTATATTTCAGTGATCATATCCGTACATAAGGGTTTCATGGTAAAAAGTCCACTTTTTTCAGAAAAAGAACCCCCTTTGAGTTGGCTGACTAAAGGCCTGCATATCACCTTTAAATGATCACCCAAACAGTTGTTACCATTCAGTTATACATGTACTTATTTTCTGGAACCATCTGATTGCGAAATTCCTCCGACTCGGTCATTAACTAAACAATCAACTGGGCGACTTGTGCCCCTGTTCATAGATTACTTTGCATTTTCTGTCTACGTGCACTTACTGTAAGATCTGTTTCCCCTCAGGGTGGTTTTGCATGTTTCTTCTGATCAACTGCAATGAAAAGTAACCAGTTGTCTCCCCAAATGTGGCTATCATATCTGTAAAGTTTAATAAGGTTATAAAAAGGTGGAAATTACATTTTATGTATTAAAAAAAATAAGCTAAGATTTTAAATATAAGTTAACATTTTTCAAGATCAATGATACGAGTTCTTAAAGCAAATGATCAGCATGCAGATATATTTGAGGTTATAACACTATCATTTTCTTGTGCATGTTAACAAGTCTGGCATTGATTTATATAGAAACCCCGCCTCTTGCTACATCCTGATCTTGTCTTTTAATTCAAATATGTACATGTACCATAATAAAGAAACTTATAATGTGTAAACAAAACTAAAGAAAATATCAAAAATGTTACGATCACTTTTAAATAATACAAGTCAACCAATGTTTTTTTTTTTTTATCTTCTTTTATCTACAGCTGATGGTAACCAAGATAATTTTTCATCAAAAATTCTCATTCTTACCATCCCTCCAAGGATTTGTTATTGCCATGACCCCTGAGCCTACAGCCAATAATGACTTCTGTAGTAGTGTAGTAGAAATGTGACCAGGATACAGCACATCATACTGGCTGCAGTACTGTGCAGAGAAATCTTTATCCATCCTGTCATCTGTGTCACTGTCTGAGGAGGAAGAATCAGAGGAAGAGGAGTCTGATGATGATGAATGAAAGGGTTCCTTCAGACCAGCTGTATAAGTCCTATTGCTATCTGTAAAGGCAGATTATCTGTGTAAATTTTCTGTCAGACACTTAACAGGATAAGAATTTACCTAAAACAATTTTTCAGGTTAGATAAGCAGTTTTTTTTCAGTTTTACTATATATATATAACTGCACAGTTGAATTTCTTTTAAATCTACTAGTATATACATAAATATTTATCTATTTATCTATTGGGAAAAGTAATTCTCCATCCCAACTGTTAAGTCTTTTTTTTTAATTCAGTAATGTGGTGACTGATCAATGTCTCTTTCATTCAAATAAATTAGTTTGGACATTTACTTATTTCACCGTCTCCAGTACGGGTTCCTTAGGAATACTGCAGAAGTGCAAAACTGCTTTATTACAAGTATACTGTAGTAAATTATTATTTCAACCATAACTGAATATCCATGGCCATCTTGTATGACGGGTTTACTAGTACTATTTTCCAGCATAACAGCATAAAACTCATTAAGCAACGCATGGCAAATAATCAAACATGATATGCTTCATGACATGTCAAATCACGTACTGTACACAAACTCGCCCACACAATTTTTCACCAATGTCAAATGACAACTTTCATCAAGGACAACAAAATTGAACTGATGCACTGGTAATAGTCTGGTATCTATATGATATATAAGATTTCACCTTCGTTTTCTAAATGTGTGTAGCCTCTCCTTTGCTGAATAAGGTATGCAACAGATATATTTCTTTGCCTTGACAATATACATTTTCGACAAGTATTAAACAAGTATGCAGCCAGCGTTACGTTTCTCACGGGCGCTGACATCTTTGGTGACCTCTACATTGCGCATGTCATGTGGGACAGGAAGTTGCATGTGCAATGAGCTCACTGTTGACGATTAATGATGGAGTTTTCACCTTTTTGAGTACCAGAGCACAGAACTTTCGATCTAATCCGGTGGAAATATATTTTATGTATACAGGAGTATTTAAAGAACATACCAGGAAGATGATAACAAAATATTTTGGTAATTATGTAGTGAACATTGCTATTTTATCATCACGACTTTCATCGTTGCCAAAACGAAGATCCTTCTGTTTTACAGTTAGAAGACGATCAACATTTGATCCTGTCTTAAAGGAAACAAACTTTTGTTGTCGATCGGCGTCCATTTCAGCGCCTCAAAGAATATGTTGTTCTCCATTTTTGTCTTCAAACTCGAATTTTACACAACAAAATACAGGGTTGTTTTGCCAGAATAGATATTGGTGCTCTGGGAAAAACGACGTTGGCACTGGAGCACCTGATAAAAATGATGTAGATTCTGATGTCAGCTCAGATACACAGGATGAGGAATCTCTGGGACAAGTAAAGCCCAGACTGGCCATGGTATTTACATGTAAAGTGTGCAGCACTAGGGCTGCTAAGACATTCTCTAAACTTGCCTACGAGAAGGGGATTGTTATCATACGATGTCCCGGTTGTGAAAGTCTTCACTTAATTGCTGATAACCTGGGATGGTTTAAACACTTTGAGCACAGGTAAGACTTTTCATTTGGCATTGGAAATGATGCTAGTGTGTCTAGGACTTTCAAAACGGGATTCATGATAAAATGCCCTGAATGTACATGTACAAGGCTGCATTGCATACAGTGTACTAGTTGACAATATTGATGTGAAAATAGTTTCATTGGATCTTAGTTTAAATAGTCAGAAAGGTTTCATTTATGACAGTTGTGACCAAGTCTGTCAGAGTGAACAGACGAAACAGTCAACAGGTAAATCATATTTCAGGATCTATCATAAATCATAAAATGAAATCTTTCTGAATGACAATATTGATGTTTGTCTTGCTTTTAAAATGTCCGTTGTGCTTTATGTTTCCAATTCAGTTTTTTTATCATTTATTTTCCTTCAGTAAATTTTCACTCAAATTTTTAAAAAATATGACATTAAAAATTATATGCTCCATAAAAGTTGATGCATACTCTTATTTTTTGTAGAAATGTTGAAGAGATGTTGGCAGCTCGAGGAGAGGAAGTAAAGAAAATGCTGGCCGATGAAAACATAAATCTAAGTGTTGAGGACATTGCAGGGAAGGAAAACCTAGAAAAAATTCAGGAATTGTTGCATTTAGAACAGCAAAGTGAGAAATCATGAAGACGATTTGTGGAGACATTGGCACGGCTTTTTAGTAGTGTGTCAGCCATTTCTAATCTGTATATTCTATTTGTCAGTTTTGATGGTTGTCTTGTCACATATGCCCAACTTATAATTGTTTTTTTTTATTTATTTATTTGACCTGTGCCATCTACAGCTAACCCCTTTAGATTTGATAGTCATCCATTATGAACGCGTTTTGCATTTTGAGGCCAGGAAGAGAGAAAATTTAAGATGAAACATTCTTTAAATAATAAAGATTACATGTGTTAAATCATTGGTGTCCATATCTTTTTTTTAATCAACTACAATTATTTAAGTAATGTTTTTAACATTTTTTGTACTTTATTGCTTTTTCATGTAGAAATGAAAACGTATAACACTGTATGCATAAAAGTGTACAGTGACGTTTTCATAAATCTTATTCAAAGTTCTGATATTTACATCATACATCATACAATCTAGTTAGATTTAGAATTTACAACAGCAACTAAATATATCATGGTGAAGACGTTCCCAATAACATTTATATAGCACGTTTCTAAAATGTAAGATATTCATAATCATATCTGAACTTTTTTAACAATGAAATATATTTGGCAATGTCCAGTTGTTTCCTCTCTTTATTAAGTGAAAGTAACAAATACTTTGTCTGCCATTTGCAGCAGAATGGGACATTTCATACCAAATGACATTTAATACCAGTTTGCAACAAAATATATAAGATCACGTGTCTAGATTTTCTTGAAAGAATATATACATTAAATGAAAAGTGACTATCACACTTTTACATGGTTCTTCTAAGTTATTCACAAATTACCATCAATTCAATCAAAAATAGTTTTATATATATATATATATATATATATATATGCAGACTATCCATGTAGAGGAAATAACCCAAGATAATTCAAATTGCCATGACTTCGGGTAAAATCAATTGAGATTTTGCAGAATTCAGTGAGTCAGGTATAATGGTAGACTAGGGAGTGCAGTGCAATAACAAACAAATATTAAAGCTGACAATTTATCCCCCAATATTTTTCTGGCTGTCTATTCACAAGTTCCAGCAAAATTAGCCACCATGTTTTGCATCTCACATTTGTGTTTTTTTTCTAAGACAAAATTCCCAGCTAACCAAGTTTCATCCTTATTGTTGAAAAGTTAGCCCCAACGTGTGCAGACTTTCATCAGTGCTTAAGACCTAATTTTAGTCCATCTCAGTTGATTTCCATTCCGGAATGCTCAAATGTTTTTTAATGGTATGGTTCAAGAACATCAGTTGTTCTTTCCGATTCTTTTCTCCATATTAGTGACAAAATGATAAAAAGAAACTTAATTTCTCTACCACATGATCAGTTAAACAGCCAACTTATAAACCATGCTTCTAACTAGTCTCAATCACTGTAACAGAGAGGCATTACTCATAAGGTAATCAGTGAGTTTACTTTAAAAGTCCATTCCTCCATTTAAGCAGCCAATCTCAGCTCACAGGTTGGCACGTGAAAAAACACTGAAAATTACTCTGTAAATAAGTGTTCATGGTAAATTAGAGTTCAAACAGATAATATGTGACCACATGACCAACATGAATGTCACTGTACCTTAACTTTTGCATAACTGAAACCTACTGTGAAACTACCAGGCTATAATTCAGCAGAGAACTATCTGCTAGCAAAATTGCTTTGTTTTGCATTAAGGACTTTTTCGTTTTATGTACATAATGCTTCAGGAGAAGTTCAAAGCTTTGTCATAATGTAAGAAGTCAAAAGTGTCAACACAATCTATCATCTCTTTTTGTTTTGCACTGCCTCCTTCCTTGCTGCATCCTGTAATAGCTGAGTATCGCACTCGTCTGCTGGGAGCTGTACGTAACGCACCACAGAACCTCTGATGAAACAGTTCTTCACAGACAACTACAATAAAAAAAGCATAATATCCAGTGTTATTTTGATAAAGGAATACTAAACAATTGCTGTAAGCAATGTCATACACTTTCGTCATTATCAATAATATTCTGGGGTAGCACATAATATTATTAATATTCCTATAAAAAGAAGAGTTTCAAAAGAAGAAAATATGTATTGTTGTTATTGATTTAGGCAAATATAAGGAACTGCAAATTGTGTATTATTTCTTTTATAAATTGTAAATTCTTACATTCAGCAGTGAATGCCCAAGTCAGTGCTGCTGTCAGACTTACCATGTGTGGGTACTTGTCTGGATCTGTGACACTGATCTCTGTCAATTTGATGTTTAAGAACTGATCTACAGAATGCAATGTGCCACAGACACTGAAATTATAAAAAAAATTTAAACTTTTTTTTCTAATTCTTTTATATCAATAATTATTCTATACTAATATTGGCAACCAAACTACATGTATGTTTCTAATTAATTAATTTAAAAATGAAATTTAAAAATAAAAGTGAACCACAAAGAAAAACAACAACTGAGTAGTGCACAATCAAATTCTACACTGATTTTGTGCATGCTCACTTCTTCTATCTCTCACATAAGAACGGAACTGAGTATGACGAAATAAAATTACAACTTGAGCCATAATTTTTTAAAGATTTTTTCAACATACCTGAGATCATTCTTCAGTTCAACCACCACGTCCTTACCCACCAACGATTTAAAGAATGAGTAGAAAAGCTGAAAATTGAAAACAGAAAATGTAAACTGCATATATCCAAAATGCAAAAATGAAAATAACAGGTGTTCCTTTCACTTACTCCAAGACAGACTTTTCTGTCAATTGACCTGGTACATTTACACATCAGATTGTTAATTTGCATTGGAAGATCCAAATGGCTCATTAAGTAGAGGGGGGGGTTCCTAAAATGATCAGACAAATGCAAAAAGAGTTTTACAACAAAAATTCTAGCTGGGTGTCAGTAACAGCATTGTCGCCTTTGATGATGCATTATTTTAACAAATACTGACAATGACATACTCACACATGACAGTTCACACAGCTTCACTATCATGTGCACAAGAAATTACATTTGCAGTAGAGGAAAAACAAATTACCTGTGACTAAATAAAAATATAAGAGATATTTAACTTTCTTAGGTTAAGCACACGTCAGTTAATCACACATCACTACGAACAAAACGCTGAATTACAAAATGTAAACAAATAGTAATCTCTAAAACACGTTTCTCACCATTTTTGCATTTGCCGAAAAGGAAGTGCGCAGATAATTGCGCACAAAGTGAACGTGATCTCGCATGTTTTGTACTTGTGTTTTAAATGTTTATCTGGCGCTTGGGCGGTAGTTATTTTCCTGAGTGTATCTGTATCTACTATTGATTCAATCCTCATATACATTCTGCAATAAAAAATACGACGGCTTGCAAATTCTATTAGATCTATATTAAGCACGTGACCCACTCTGCGAGATTTCAGAATCCATCTTGGAAAGTGTGAGTCTGCAGAAACCGGCTCGATATTTGCACATATTCAGAATTCAGTTCATTAACCTGGAAGACAATGCAGATGGATCCAGGACTACATAAAGGGGAAGGATATCAGTATGGCCCAAACCCTAAACAGCACTACTTTAGTCCATATTCCATGAATGGAGGGTGAGACTTCACTTAATTTGCTTCATTGTCGTTACTGTTACTGTCAGTGTCAAGACATCAAATTGATAAAACGCTAGTGAATATTGATATAATTATTATTTCCCTTTTTCTGTTTAAGTTATGCACAGGTTCTTTGGACATATATCTATTTAATTTTTGTAAGTAGATCTAATGGTGGAGTGCGAACACTGAACATAGGGTACTCATTTTTGTCATTTTGTCCCTTTTTGAATAATCCTTTGTAAGGAAAAATAAAATTGTAAAAGTCATACTAAATTCTCAACATTTCACTAGAGAAACATACTCCAGACACAAGTTAACACAGGAAAAGGCCATTTGCCAGAAAGCAGGATATTACTTAAGCACGATATTGTAAGCTGGGTAGTTAATATTATTCATCCAACTTAACAAGTCTTTAATGACTTGTTTATAAATAGTCCATCATGTTGGACACTCAAGAAGAGATGCATCTAGTGGCACTCTTATTTACAGTCTCTAATATGTGCTATTTGTGATAAAGCATCCATATCTCAGGTCTTACCTTTTGAAGTCACACACAAAGCGAACATCAACAGAGCTGTGATAAAAATAAGATCCTCTGTTTTGTCTTCCAGTTATGTCAAGTGACATAACTGGAAGTGCTGTAAATTATACACTCCACTAAAGACAGCCATGAATGGACTTCTGAATGCAGGCAGTTGATCAAATAATTCTGCAACATATTTTACCAGTAGGGAAGACTCTATAATGTAGTGAAATGTATACATGTGCAATTGAGATTGCACAACCCATGATGTGACTATTTGAGCATTTGCTTCCAGGTGGCAAACAATCCTTGGTGTACTGCTTGTATTTAAAAGTATGTTGATAGTTGTGTTTAAAACTTTGGTGGAAGCACTAGCTGGCAGTCATTTTACATCAATGTTATTTATCATTAAGGACTGTATTGGCAATTGCTGGTGAAGATTTTGCTGTGGTTGCATCAGACACAAGACTTAGCGAAGGGTTTTCCATTCACACAAGAGACTCACCAAAAACATATCAGCTGTAAGTGTGTAATTTTTTTTTTTTTTTTTTTGGGGGGGGGGGGAGGAGGGTACAACTGTATATCTGGGATTTTTTTTTAACAACCGACAAGTAAAAGTTTTATATGGTTATAAATTTATGTTTTTATTTATTTCTAGTACCGCCATTGCTTCATTTGCTTTTACTCTTGAACTATAAAAAGTAAAATCATGTTTACTAGATGTTTTCATCTTTTTTTATAGAAATTGGTTATATTGTTATTCTCAATACTGCTGATTATTTACAGAACAAACAGCACCGTGCTTGGTTGTACTGGTTTCCATGGTGATGTTCTCACAGTGACCAAGTTGTTAGAGGCTAGGTTAAAAGTAAGCTATTTAAATGTCACCCTTATAAATGTGTTTTCATAAACCACAAGTGATTTTAGATATTTGGAAGTTCAATACCTCATTGGTTACTGCAAACCCAAAAGTTATCACCAGCTTAGGGTTGCTTGCTGTGTGTGAAATACTGTGTATCTCACAAAGTTTTGACCATCAGTGTTTATTCTGTAATTGGTACACAATAAACAGTAAAGTTATATATGCATTTTTGGAATAATTATAATTTTAGCAATTTTTACCCATTGATAAATCGCTTCATGGCTTACTCTTTTTAACAGCTGTTTTCTACAGGTTAAGATGTACATCAGTTGATCCATATGCATTTTATTTCTTGTTCATATATGTTTGTATGATATATGTCTGTCAAATTTTTTCCCAGAAGTTAAAAGAGAAAATTTATTTATAATGAACCTGCACAAGTATCATCTAAGGTTATGTTATAAGTCGCAATGATACCAAAAATCAAACTGGCCTGTTAATATTTGTTTCATAACCTGTTCATTTCAGATGTACAAAAATGAGCACAACAGACAAATGAGTACCTCTGCCATTGCTGCCATGCTCTCCACTGTCCTATATTACAGACGGTTCTTTCCTTACTATGTATATAATATAATTGGAGGATTAGATGATGAAGGTAATGTATATTGGATATTGTACAAAGTTTCCTATGGCCAGAACATCTATTTTACTGTTTGATATAAACCAAACTTGTAAGGGACAGAGGTTTATTGTATTTAGAGGAATATTGTAAAAATAGTGCACTGCTGTTTTGAATTGCACTAGTAAGGTCTTTCCTTCATATCCCCAAAACCTCTCCTCCACACATACAGTACAGTACACTGCTGAAGAGTCAAAAGATTTTGCCCACATTTATCACCATCGAGGGAAAGGAGAGGAGGTTTTTAATTGTTACTAGACCTAATACTTATGAAAATCAAGGTACTTTTCAGCAAGTTATGACAAAGTTAAGTTTTAGATTCATTTTAAGTTCAGGACATTGGTTCAAAGAGTATTTATGTATTTATTTATTCATTGTGTGCGTCTCTTCAAATTTACATTTCTTATTTATTTGTACATAAGTATGGTAGATGGGTAATTGTCGTGCTTCCATATGTATGTTAATTTGTGGTATAATTTTGAAAAGGAGGGTCAAGGCATATTAAGTTAGTTATTCTCATAAACAAATACATCCTCTCTTTATTCTCTAGGCAAAGGCGCTGTGTACAGTTTTGACCCTATAGGATCTTACGAGAGAGAAGCCTATAGAGCAGGAGGAACTGCTAGCTCTATGTTGCAGCCACTCCTAGATAACCAGGTAAAACAGATGATGTTATTGAAACTTTACATTTTTTATTAACTTTTTTAGAGTACTTGTCACATGTTTGCACACCAACAACTTTTTATGTGTTTGTGTGGTAAGACATTCTGCTCTTGATATTGTAGTAAGAGTCGATTTTGTAAAATTATAGATATAGATCTATATACTCATGAGCAAACCCCCTACTCTTTCAGATTGGCTTCAAGAATCAGGAAGGTGTCACTAAAGTCCCCCTGAGCAAAGAGAAGGCTGTATTTCTGGTGAAAGATGTGTTTATCTCAGCCGCCGAACGCGACATTTACACTGGGGATAACATCATGATACATGTCACAACTAAAGATGGCACAGAAACTGAAGTTTTCCCTCTCAGACGAGATTAACAAACTCAGTGCATTAGGGTTATCACATGGATGTTATTTTCCTTGACAGAGAATGGGACCGGTTTTCTTTTCTGTAAAGGGCAGAAAGACTGGACTTGCCCCCATAAAGACAGGAGAGAGCTGTTTACTCAGTTATCTTTGGAATGGGAGATTTCCCCTACTGTTCATGGTTGACTGGGAACCTGGGATGTACTTCTCATTTGATTGTTCAGTAACTTAGAGAAAAAATTGTGGAGTTAAAGCAGACAGTATCAAAGTGAGAAACCGATTTAAAAAGCTTTAAAGACGTGCTGTTCATTTAAGTGATGAAATTGTACATTTAGTAACATTCAATAAATATGAATCTAGTAAAATCCTGTTGGAAAACAATCTGTTGTATATATATTAGGTGTGTGTCTGCTTCTAAAAGCGTCTCACAATTTGAATGTGGGAAAGTTTTTATGGAAAAAGCCGTTGTTTTATCCTGAAGCACTCTGACCACGCTTATTCCCAGGTCCAGAATTTACAGATCCAGGGGATGCCCTTTTTTACACCCCATTCTCATAGATTAGATCGACCTACATTGGATCGACCTAACTCCCTGGGGGTTCACGCTAAATAGCTGTCAGCCGGGCGGACAAGAAAGTTAATTACCCCTTAAAGCTTGTAGTAGGCGGGGACGGACACTTAAGGGGGATTATCTGACAGTAATCTAGTGAGACTCCCCGCGGTGATAGATCGATCTAAAAGTTGTGAGAACAGAGCCTTAGAGTTCTTGCCTTGTTCCCCTAAACATTTTTTCCCCGCATTGCATGTTTTCTTCCACTTTATTGATTGTAAAATCTGGATTTCTGCAGTTCACCGAATTGTTTTGGGTTGTAGTGCAAAGGTGACCTTTTATTCAATTTGCTAAAGAACCGACGTTTGTACACGAATTAGAAAAAAGTCTAAATCCCACCTGATTTTGTTGCTGCTGACGGCTGTTATTATCTTTAGTGTTTAAGATGAAAGTTTGACCTATATATACTCACACCTAAACCAGGAAACGCATAGAGATCTTTATATCAATTTTCGGTGCTGTGTGATTAGTATCGGTGCTGTAAATTCGTTCATTCTTGAGCTGAAACGCGGCGATACAATCTACAAAATCTGCGCTCTATTCGGTGTTTAATTTCTATCTGTCGCCCTGGTAGAGGGTATGACAAGGTAAAAGTTCATAGAATAACACGTGAAAATTGCTTTAAGTGAAAAAAGTTTTAATTCATAAGGACAATAAGATACATTTCTTTAACTGCATTAAAACTAATTGAAAATGCAGTCGACTAAGTTATAGAAATACTAAAAAGTTGACATTGCACTAGAATGAAAGTCTTTAGGGGTTTCATAGTGAGAGTTTCAACTTCAGGTAGACCGAGAAATAAGATATCCCATCTAACTCCTTGGGTAAAACTGCACGTGTGCATAAAATGTTTGGGCCCTACGTAAAGTATAAGGTCGTTCAATGTTTCGGTCAAAGTGGTATTTAGCTTCAATGATAGATTTTCAGACATGTTAGCCACGCGAAACCATTAAAGCTACTGCTTGGTTTAATGTACCCTTCTTGGTTTAATGAATAAACATTTTTGGCGATACGCAAATTGCTGGCATTTATGCTAATACATGTTATTACCGGCAGGTTCCTACTTTGTGTCACGCATATAGACGGCTCATCTCCCCTTTCTTCGCCGCCTCTTTGGTAGAACTTTCAGACAGTATTTCCGTTTCACAAGAGTCGAAGCTATTCCCATCCTTCTTTAAAAATGGGTAAGTTGGACATTTTAAAAATTTTCATACATAGGATTTTTATTGAGAGTTTTCTCAGCACAAAATGGTAGTTTCTTTTTTCGCAAGTTTCAAAACAACCTGGGCTATTTTTCGAGACGATTGCACCAGAGCGTACAGATTATGAAGGTTATTCTTTTCATTACAAGTGTATTAACAGTTCACAATATAACTTCAATTTAACGAGATGGCTTTCATGTTTCAATTCTAGGTAATACCCTTCTCAACCCTTGCAGCACGACCGCTGCGGCAGTTTCTGGACAAATATTGGCTTGTGATAATGGTTTAACGACGCAACAAGGGGCATGTACATTCAACCCTTTCTTCCTCCTCTTCACAACGTCGGCTCAGGCCTGCCTGTGTCCAGCTGGATACTACCTGACGTATAACCTTACCGCCTCCCCGGATATCGATGTTGACTGTACAAGCAGTAAGTATTCGGAAACCGTTTTAGATGTAACATTTTCCTTATGTGTCTTGCTTTTAACGACAGAATCTTTATTTAATTGTGATCGATTCATTTTGCTTTCATTTTTTTTTTTAAATTTAAAGTGCCAGTAAATAAGATTTGAGCATCGATTTTTCTTTCATTACCAATACTTTCTAGGACTAACTAGCCTTTTGGTCAAAATCGGTTTGAATCCATTATTCATTTAGCGACCTTTTCCAATTGCTCAAAACATTACATCAATCAATAATGATTTCCTGGGTGTTATCTTTAATTTCAAAGTACATGTATCTTAATTGTTGCCGTTTACAGTCTACACATACATTAGTTTTATTCATCATTAGTTTTATCAAACATTTATCCAGTCAGAGAATTTCTGTAAAAATATGCAAATGAAAACTCTCAATAAAATTTAATACTTCATGAAATTACTTCAATATGCCACGTTTCAAATATTTAAACTTCAGCAAACACATTTACAGTTGACTAAACTGATATATTTCTGTGCCATCGTTCATATTTCCTTTTCCTAATTCTACATGATGACTAAAATATTCACTCATTCACAAATATATTATTTTCCAGTATCAGGCACACCTTGTCGTTCTGATTTGGATTGCAACTCCAGGGCCTCGGACTGTTTGGGTATATCATCGTTCAGTCAAGTCAACTTCGATGGCAGCGGTACCACGTCTACTGTCTCCCAAGACATTGTAGACTTTCTCTTAGTAAGTCTTTTCTCTTACATTATACGTCACATATCTTTGTTAGATCTTGGTGTCACTATCATTTATTCTTTTAGTGTAATGCACAAAAGAGAGAGAGAGAGAGAGAGAGAGAGAGAGAGAAAAAAAACTATTGCACATGGAGTGCCAAATTACAAAATAATTTTGAGAATAATAAGAAAAATGAAAGGATAAAAGACTAAGTCTAGGTTTATTTTTATTTAAAAAAAAAGGAAAAGGAAAGAAAGAAAGATAAGAAAAACAATCCTTAGGTACAGCAACCATTATGGACGACAGTATATCAAATTTCCTATGAGATTCTGCTATTATTCTTGGAAGCGTGTACTGTTAAATATGTGTACTTCAGGTTTTAGAGAGGATTGAATAACTTAATAGTAGGACGTAGATGAAGAAATATTTTCTCAGATGAACATTTGCGTCTTTTTGAGAAATAATCAAAGATATTGTTGAGCCAAATTCTGTTTATGTCACCAGAAATTAAGACGGCATGTGCCTTAATTTGAATCTATTTAACGATATAATATTTTAATATTTTCACTTTTCAGCCAGCTGTATCTTTGATATGCAGCTTCAATGATATATACTTGGTGTCGAGAATACCCGTTTACTTTTGTGATGGGGCTGCTAATGCGATAGGTCGATGCGAATCAATCGAATCTGGCCGTAAGTTTTTTTTATTATTTCCTATGATAAAGTGAGAATACGAACAATTCACTTTTCGTTGTTTTTAGGATACACATGTACCGGTACATGTGCCAGTATGTAGTCCAAATATCGAAAACTGAAACCTTGCATATGTACTTATTATTTTTCTATTTATTTATTTATTTATTTATTTATGCCTGATATTGGGCATAAAGTGAAAATTATTGTCAATAGGATGAAAAGAAATTGTCGTGGAGACTTTAGCGGCAGTTGTTTGCTCATTCCGCCTTAAAATCCAAATAATTTAACACAGCTACCATCATGCCCAAAGGGGGAAAAAGAAACCGTTTATTTATAAAGACTCAATTCAGCGCATTTAAAAAGATATAACAGTACGAGGCGTATCTATCTTCTTAAAGGAATTACCCAGATCACTAGCTGTTGTTCTCCTAGCATTCAATTAATAGGGGATAAATATTTTTGCTGCATGTACGTCAAGTTCGGGGACCCCTAGTATCATCAAGGTATCATGTTTCTCCTTTCTTGTCTGAAGACATTATTTTAACGTATCTTACGTCGAAGGTTGTCATGTACGTTAATTTCATCTTGACAGACTCAGAGTAACAGAGTTGACACAATCTTACTTCAAGGAGAGTGTAGGATTACGTAACCTAAGGTTTTTATTAGGTGTATAAAAGTTATTTTTCTGGACAAAAATCTTGCTTGAAACAAGCATGGCACGTTAATTTCCCGAGCGTACTTTCATAATTAATGCTCAAGGTATGAATAATGATGCTGATATAGACTTTATATCATCTTGGTACGTTTTTATCTTTGACAGATAAAATGATGGTTAGTTTTAAAGCTGAATATGCACGTTGATAATGAGCAATTCAGGAATGCTTAAATACCCGGTACAGCTATCTGATATTCTGTTATCCGGAAATCTTAAGTAGTATGTGCAAATTACAACCCATCATTAAGGCCATAGTCTGGGCTTACGATCACCCGGGCATCGGACTTAAAAATTATAAACGTGCGTCTGTCCCTTATTACCTAAACAACACTATAGAACTACCCGCACTTTAGTCCCGCCGGAACAGTAGGGCCTTACTGCTTACATCATATGGGCAAATTCCACTTAATCGGAAAGGTAGGCCTATTCTTAATCAGTGGCGGATTTAGGGGGACCCCCTCCCCCTTCGGTTTCTGAAAATTTTATTATATTTTTTTTCTTCTTGAAATTAGAATTTTGATTAGCTGAATCATAGTCCTAAAGCGTACCAAATGGCACCGTTTGCCCTCCAAAAGCCAACTTTTTCTAAGCCCTTGAGCGGACCCCGAACCCCACGCCAAGAAGACTAGTGAAGGCTTCGCCGACCTCGCAATCCGAGGCATGTCAGTCCTAAAAAAACGGACCCCCCTTCAAATATCCAGGCTCCGCCCCTGTAATACATATGTTCAATGATGATCAATTTCTTTCTCAAATCATCATCTTACACGTCTCTTAACAATAACGATATTTCAAAGAAAATTTTATAACTTTTTTTATTAAAACAATTATATGTTGGATTTCATGTCAAGATCTCTTCAAGCTATTATTCTTTTTATTAGTTTTTTTTATTAGTTAAAACTGTTCATATAACAGTTCTAATTAATGATCATTAATCATAATATACTTAAAATGAAATAATATCTGGAAACAGCGCTGAGACGCAATTGTGTAGTGCGGTGTTGAGGAATTATTTTTTATTTTTTAAACAAACTATTTTTCAGCATATCAAACTCCGCCAATAGATGTACCGTTCTACCAGAATATCACACTTACCCAGGGAGTGATTCGAGATCTCAACCGCCGACTGCTTTTCACGAGATATCCCGTGACGTACAACCCAAGCGACCCGTTGACCTTTTCGTCTGTCAACGTACTGAGCGGACTTATTCCCTGAGCTTGGATGAAGCCATAAAAATGACTTGAAAAGAGTGGCCACTAGGCAATCAGTGCCGAAAAAATTAGGGTCCATGTAACAGAGAACCCGTCCCCGTCACATTTGTACAGGTTAGGGTTAACACGATAAAAATTCGGCCGGGGTTTAGCTATAACGTCAGTGGGTCAGGAATATCTGTCATGGGGGGGGGGGGGGGGGTCTGGTAGAGGATTTGAACCGGTGTAACGAAACTAAGGGTCAGTGTAACAAAAAGTCCACCTTCCCTTTAGTTATAATGGTTAGAGTTAGCCTGACCTAAGTGGGCTTACCTTTACATATGAATGGATTGGGGACTCTGTCACGTTACACCGTGTTGATTATCAATATTACGTAGTTACTACGTTCTGGCTTAAGTTATTTACGTTAAATTCGGACGTTAATAAACTTGAATGAAGTATTATTAGTATTATATATATATATATATATATATATATATATATATATATATATATATATATATATATATATGCTATTGTGGTGATTTTAGTCCTTCCTTCAGTTATGGATCTGTACCCCTCCTAGAAATTCTTTCCATTTTGTAAATGTTTTTACTAAAAACCGTATTGTGTTACATAACTATACGCACATATGTCATGTGGAATAATAAACACAATGTAAATGAATCTTTTTCTTCACTGATTTGGTGAAATATTATTTTGTTGTTGTTGTTGTTTATTAAGACTGGTCCATTTATGCTGCATTAAATGTCAGCCAAAGATAGTTAATACTGCAACGTGATAATTAGAATTGAGAAATGACAATTGAAATTAACAGAAAAAGACACAAAATATCAACATAATTAATTTTAATAAAATATTTCAAGCTTCAATTGTTTTAAAGTTCTAACGGAAATAACGCGTTCGAAAGACTAAAATGACCTCGATGTAACATAAGATAAAACTGCTGTCGGTAAATAGATATGTGATTTAAATACCACGCCCCCTTCCCTTGACTTATTAACTCATTTTACCTTGACTTATCATCATCGACCTAATTTTCCCCACACAGATAAAGGGTCATTTTAATAACTTGATCAGTGAGGAAAAGTTGAATAGTTTATCCCTTTTGTCGAAAAGTGAATTGATTACGCTGTTTTGATCTCACTACAAATAGGAAAGGTATATGGTGGAGTTTTTTGTAAATCACAGGTGACACAAGCAGAGGCAGACATAAAGTTCGTTGAAATGACACTGGTTGACTCCATGGTGCCCACACGGGAGTTCTCAGTTGCAGAACGCGTGTTAATGCACGGCTGTGGCTGCGTGGTCTTCCCCTTCATATACTCCTTGTTTCGCGCCATATTGAAGGCAAACTACCAGACCCTGGGCAGAGATCAAATTTATACGATTGCTACAAAGTAAGTAGATTACAGGAAGAAAACAATGGAAATACATACAAAAACGAACACATATAATTCACACCCGCAATCCTACGCGTGCGCGTGAACAGACACTCGTGCACACTCACAATTTTTTTCAACCGGGAGAGGTGACAGCCAGCTCACTCCAAAGGTGAAACAGAGAAGTAATCCAGATCCAGCATATCACAGAGAAAAATATGGGGCATCATAATCTTACATCATGGAAGTTGATAAGTTGTACGCTTTAGTTCCTCTCATATAGTAGGTAGCATAGGGCACTGGCAGCACTGTATCTTTATCACTTAAACGGTATATATGTGCCCTACTGTTATTCAGCACCAGGTTAGTGTTTAACTTGCCAATCTTTCCATTTCGTGGAGTAAAGTAAAAAAAAAAAAACACTTCCAGTTTAAACTGTGCAAGATGCATAGGCTGATAAAAATAACTGTTGAGGAGACTTTTGCCTTAATATATTTAATGCACTGTGTTGATTTAATTATCTTAGTTAAACAGCAAGGACAACAAGAGTAGGGACAACATACCAGGGTTTGCAATCAAACGTCGACTTCCCAAAGTTAATAGCACAATGATTTCTGTTGAATTGTTCTCCTGTGTTGTAGAGGGGTTACTGCAATGCACTCCGTACTGGGCAGTGTTATGGGGCTGTGTATAGTGATGAGCTGTCAGGATGACGTACTGTACAACAGGTAGGTACTTTTTTCGTGGCTGTGTAATACACATTTTTAATTTTCCCAAGAAATATTGAAATATATGGTGCTATTCAAAAAATATATAAGTATGTAGATAATATATAAGTATTTATAAACTATACAAGTATATATATAATACCCCCCAGCCAGTTTTGTATCTTTCTATTGTTAGGGTCCAATTTCATTTTCTAGGAATCGTATTTGCCATTGTTGTCATATTCTCGTTTTTTTTCGCATTGAATTTTTAGGTATTTATTATTTGTCAAATAACCTATTAAAATAAATCTTGTTTCTGTTGTCTCAGCGAGGGTCTTTTTTCCTCAAGCCCCTTTAACTCTTTTCTAAAGTGTACATTTTTCCAAAAAATAACAGCCTGTATTTGGAAAACTTGTCTTTTGGAAATCGAAAAGAGCAGAGCGGGATCAGACGAAATAGTACCCGTTAACCCCCCCCCCCCCCCCCCAACACACACATAAACTTAATATCTCAACAAGATTTGTTTTACAAAGTCGAGATTTTAAACGAAACGACGAATAGTTTTCCATGGCTTTGCATAATTTTGCTTCAAATAATGTGTTGCAAAAATATCTTAACAGATCTGGGTTACTTTCTAAAAAAATCGAACTACGAGATCATGAATGAAAGCTTCATCTTGACATAAAGAATCAAAATAAACACGTTCTTCCAGACAATTAATTAAAATCAACATTTTTTTAAATGCCTATCGTTGTATTACAGACACTGGCTTGCTATTGCGCTGCCGTGTTTCGACGTACCATATTACTACTTTGATACGTGGGCACTGTACAAGGCGTTTGAGCAAAAAAACAGACACTTGAGAGGCGACAAGTTGATGAAACTAAGTTTTCTCCGAAAGAGGGCACTGTTGATCTTTCACCACACGGCTGTTATCCTTATATTTTTTCCTGTAATAGTTGTGAGTTTTAGGGAATATATCAGTTGACCAGAAATAGAATTTGAATTAAGTGGGAGGTGGAAAGAAATTGATGTTCTTTTCAACAGACTCCTATATTATCATCAAAGTGTTAGCTTAGCTCGTGCCGCTGAAAAATTATTACTGTATTGCAATTGTATTGTATCCTTCAAGAATATATTTGAAATTTCATAATAGTTGCCCCTAGATTTAAAAAAATCATTTATTTTTCAGTACTTTAGAGGAAATATGGGAGACTTCTTTGTTGGTTGTTTCTACCTCGTGCAATTTTCCGAACCATTCATCTGCCTAAGAAGTGTATTGTCAACGGTAAGCGCCCCAGACAAACTACATTCTCATACAGAAAAACGAAGAAACACACACTGAAAACAAATAAAAAGCAGAGCTTCTGTGACTATCTGGCACTGTCAACACGCTTTCACGTGTAGATCTTAGACTTCATTACTATAAGCATAGGCAAAATAATTTTGTCCATGCTGTAAGGGACATTTTTCGGGAGTGATGGGGGGGGGGTGCGGGTTAGAAGTCCATGTGCGATGTTACATAGGTCTTCGGTGTTAAAAAGGGGTGTAAAGGAAGCCTTACAAATGGAGAATAGAAGTTTCACTTGTCCAGGAATTGGGACAGGGTGATCAAATAACTTTGTCGCGGATTACGTAACAAGACCGAGAATAGTTCTGTATTCTAAGGAGGGAGATGTTGTCAACTAGACAAAATCGTTAGTTCAGTATTAAATTTACTTAAGAACTTTAAATCGTCTTCAAAGAGCAGGGAGGGCATATTTAAGTCGTGTTCGTAATTTCGTTTCAGTTGGAGATGAAAGCGTCTTCCCTGTACATGGCAAGTGGTGTAATGATGGTTGTAACTTATGTGATGTTTGGTATCATGAGGTTCCCGTACATGTTTTGGAGATACGGCTTACAACACAACCTCTCCCTGTGGGAAGTACCCGTCAGAATTCCCACGCAGTGCATCACGGGAAGCCTTGTACTTCTCGTGCCAATGTTCTACTGGGCATTTCAAATGGCACGTGGAGTTTATAGAGATCTTTTTGACAATATTAACGACCAAGTCCACGACAAAATTAAATGAGTAACCATACGGATGCCAGCTTCAGGTACACTTTTTTCACTTTGCTTTCTTTTTAGACTACAGAATCCTGGAACGTTTGTATTACCTTAACTGGATCAACAGATGCTCAAAAAATAAAGCTAACAGTTTTTTAAACCTTCTGTTAGTTAAACCTTGATATAATATGGCATTGACTTCTGATAACGTCAAAACTTTTCGTCGAAAAAATGACTGCACATTTTTTCCGTTTATAATCACACCTGTTACAAGTCATTAGGCCTTTTAAGGCTTATTCAATATGCACGGTGGTTGTGCTTGCCAGTAGGCCTTTTAGGGTGCTTGTTCAATATCCTTCTCGTTGTTTTTAGTTTTTAATTTGTTGTATTTGATTTTTTATTTTTTTATCTGACTGTGCCATACGCGGCGGTGGAAGGCAAATACAAAGGGCGAGGATTACGTGAGTCAGTAAGATATATTATGTTTTCAGACTAGTTGATATCGATTCGTTCAAGGTTTCGGAAATAAAAAAAACCTTTGTTTTACTGGATGTTGTGATTAAAATACTTTCGAAGTTTAAGGTAATTTGGAATAGTAGGTTAAGGGAGCTAAAAAGGTTTATTATTGTGAGGGCATCGGGAATGAAGTGACCGGGGTGTTTTTTTTTTTTTAATAAACAGGACGTGGATGGTGGGAATTCTTCAATCTTTAAAGTGACATTTGACGGGTGTGGATTGTTTCAGATCTACGTACTGCTATTGCAAAATGAAGGCATGCCGGCGATGCTCCTTTCAGAGTTAGTATTATAAAACTCTTTCAAAAATTCCTACAGGAAGCCAAAAGTGACTGGAATGGTATAGTCCTAGGAACGGAAGTCCGGGGTCTCTTATGATTAATGCATGTTAGGGTTAGTCGGAGCATGGAAGTTTATCTACATATAATTCCATGGTCGGAGTAATGGACTCATTATTTGGGACGAATTCATGTCACTTGTACAAAGTAATGGGAATGTAGTAAGGTTGCTGGCTGACTACTATTCATGTCACACCGGTTTCCACCAAAAAAGGTTGGATAATTTCCATCATCTTCGACCCGTTTATTGAAAAAAGCCCCACACCGGGCTCTTCATCCCCTTTGTGCTCACAATAATAAAAGTTTTTTCAATGGTTTTGTGACGGGGGCTTCTACGTGTGATAAAAGCGCGTCACTGTAAAGTTAAGAACAACTCTTTTTCCTCTAAAAGGAATTTTATTCTGCCCACACGGACTACATCAAGTTGAAGATGTGACCACGATGTCTCTCCCTCAATGTCTCCTTCCAATGCCACTACTTTCCCGACTCGCCGAACACTTATCGAACACACCGAATGCGGCAGAATGCTGCATTTTTATAACAAATTAGGGCGACAGGTGGTTCACATCTCACGTCAAGGATGGACATTTTTGATTCAACATTTACTTAATTATTAGAAATACTCATTCTAGACCTTCGACTTAAATATTGTGATTTGCCCGGTTCTTTTATTATTAATATTTAATTTTGACTGAACCGGAACTGGTCATTTTCCTGGATTCATCGAAGTGTCTCTTAAACATTCATGCATTATACCTTAAGTCATTTAATTATATCTTTCTATTTTTGACAACGTGGCATTGTAGTAGCTTGGTCCGTTTTCTCTGTAATTACTATGACGCGTTTGCTGACCACTACAGTTCAGTACTAATCAAGGTGCACTTCGTCTACTGTTTACTAGAGATCGGAAGGTTATTTTGTTTGGTCAGTGCTTGAGCGCGCTTAATGAAATAAGATCTAAATCCAAAATCTTGGTATAATTACTCACTGAGTAATTGTGAAAATAATTTGTTTACGTTTTTGTTTTGTGCTTATAACACTGCCGTGTTATATAACCTGTGATGGTGCTGGAGTGGGAAAGCAAAACTTTTATCATATGGAAAGCGCCATTCTGTGTAAATTGGAACATCATGGGGAGTTTCACAGCCAGGTGAATAAAACCATCTGGTTAACCTTTCCTTAGAATATGCTTTACGAGGAGCTGTTAATGTATTCTGAACTTTGTCACACATAGAACACCATTCTTGCCCTTGGTATAGCGTGTATTTGTTTTTCCATTCCAACAGTTTGGCGTAAGCTTTCGGATTTCTATCCAACCAGAGTAAATAATGAGCGAGATATTTTGGGGATCTGAATTTCAAGGCATCAATATGCCAGTTGGGTTTTATTCCCAGGTGAGAGTAGTCAGCGCCCCCTCGCGTCACTGCGACAACGTCCCATTCTACCGTTTTGTAAAATTTCTCCGTGACGTAATCTTTGGAGAAGCTGTTTTCAAATGCCAGATAGAACTTATACTCTCTATTTACTAAACTATTGCAATATTCCATGTTTTCTTTTGCACAAATATCATTACCACAAGCGCCTATAATATCCACTTTTATGTATTTCTGCAATTCCATGACGAACTGCTCTCGTCTGCTGTGGGTGTCACAGTTGCTCACCATCCACACAACAAGCTTTGATTTAGTTTTTGCTACAGAAACAAAATCCTTCTCCAGTGGCGTGTTTCTCTCCACGATCTTCCCATAAGTGAACGGTATGTCTGAGTCCAAGCGGTGCGACATCGTCCAGTTAAATTGGTTTTCTAACCCACCCCATGTACTATCCGGGAGACTTGGCATGTTGCATGGACTCTCCCTGGTGTAGAATATCCACCTCTGGTTAGGCTGGTGATAACGCGGAAATCCAGACTCCTCCCTTTCCCTTAGATTTCCTAGCCTTTTCGCATTAAATACAACGACGTCGCTCTCAGGGAAATGCCTGTGATCGTTGGTTATAAGACATCGCTGCGCAGTGCCTGGACACGCGCTGAAGACGTCGTTGTTGATTGCGTACTCACCCATCTCTTTGTTGTTCCAAATCAGGATGATCTTTTTTCTGCTGGACGTTTCGTTCCATGTTAGAGCCCCAACCCGTGTAATAGGCCTATGAGTCCTATGGAAATGTACATACCGTGATGTGAAAGTTAACTGCAGAAAAATTATGACCAAAACCCAACACATTAAGATGTATATGAGCAACTTAGTATAGCCTCTACCCATCTGCATAGTGCTTGGTATGCTCGTCGAATAATGTCTGAAACTAATCTATATTAACTCGCGCTGGCCTATACAAAGCTGAGCAGATTCAGCCTGCTTTCTTTCAAGGCCATTGGTTTGTTCAACGAACTACTTGAGCTTTACAAACAACGCAATCTTTGCGTGATGTAATACGTCAAAGCAAACAATATTTCGGGTCGTTTCGGGCTTCAACAGCGTTATTGTGTAAGCCTTATTTAGTATTGACGTTTTACTTGAATTCGTACGCGCGCAACTATGTCATCATTTTTTTTTTCACAAAAACAGGGTAAATCTGTCGTCGGGGATCAGTCTTTGGGAAGGTTAGGTACGCCATGAACATGATTTAATATAAAACGCGTTAAAAGATCCAACAATTTCGAGTGAGTATAAACTTTTTAAGGGGGCGTCTGCTTTTGTATTAGTCTGCCTCTAACAACACTGGGCGAATTCAAGTGACCGATAAAAGGAGTATAAATTTAGATGTGACGAATGGGTTCAGAGCTCGGTTTCACAAAATAACTTCATCCCAAATTTTCCTTCTAAACTTTTTGATCAAAATCTTGGTCTGTACTCTTTCTATACCATTTTGGGGGCTTTAGTCATTTTGTGAAACAGACTCCAACCCCGTCTGCGGCGTTAGCCACTGTTCCTACGACCGCGGCTAGTAAAATTTGTTTGGTGTCGGCTGCTGCAGATATTTCAGAATGCGTGAAATAATGGTCCGACATGGCCATTAAATTTATCTTCAAATTTTAAAAGAGCTTTAGATTTCAAATAATTTTTATCTGAATTATAACTGATCCTAAAAAAACTGACTAAATCTAGGTCTTATTAATCCTTACATTAATGCAATAGGGGAAAATGTCAAGGTTTCATTTAAGTTTTTATTCGCGCAATTAGATTTTAGGAAACTGGTGGCCCGAATGGCCAGTAAGCTGAAACGTTTATGGGATTGCCAAACAAGCTACACATTTATAGATCATTTTATGTGGGGCGCCACACCTTGCGTAGAATTGCCCACATTACATTCACCCACATAGAAACTTCAATAAGGCAAACGAGACTCTTCAATAAAAAAATTGATTTGACATAAAAACACTCGAGAAAGATGTGAAAATAATTTATGAGTGTGTTCAATTATTATTTCCTATCCCAACCAACTGTTGAGCCTATTCTCACTACAGCAATACTGTGTTCTCCATTCCTTTATTTCAGAAAAAAAAATTATAATAAATAACAACTGACAATTTTCCACAATAAGCACAGGCTTCTGCCATTGAATAAACCCAACAGGCGAAATGTTTCAGAAGCATAAACGAGTCCCTGGCAACCAACATAAATTCTGCATACATATAGATACATAAAATGTACAACTGACCACCTGTTTAAGCGCAAGCGTGTGATGTTCCACTGTAACTTGGTTCAATGCATTAGCTCAGGTTGATGAGAGTAAAATATTAAATCGTGTAACATTAACAGTTTATATAAAACCCTTCTGTCTGAGCAATCTTTCCACAGATATATGAAAGTGTGTCCCTTATTTTACCAAAACATAAGCTTTTCTTGCAACCAAAATGCACAACTAATTCTGAGATTAAATTGACTTGCTCTCTTTGATAGTTCACGTTTCTTGAACCCCCCCCTAAAAAACCACAACAGTATCATGTTTTTTGTACTATATTTTTGCTCTTTTAAAAAAGTTAAAACAGGTTCACAGGCACATTGGTATCCAGATGTTATGTGGCAATACAAATGCTTAAATCGCCTTTCACAATAATCATGACATGCAACTTTTTTGGTTTGATACAGTTAGTTTGTGTATTTCCAATCCAGTTCAGATCATGTGGAAGTGCATCTTGCTGCTCTTCAGAAGACATATTATTTCATTTTTTCTTCCCACCAGGGGGCTGAAGAGGTTTGCCCATGTCTTTCCCTCGTAGCTTAACTCCTGAAATACAATGGAAACATAATTTATCATATAAAAATCAAATATCAGACACGAGTCTAGGTTTCAAAATAAACTTCTGAACATTTATCGAACTTCAAACAAGACGAATCTCAGGAACCATCAGAATTGAATTAAAAAACCCGGAATTCCGCATTTCCGCATGACAAGCTCCTGTCTGATATATGCACTTAGTCTTACAGCTACTTTTCTTAACTTTTTCTTGTGAAATGCAGGGGCGGATCCAGAGATATTTCTGACAGTCTTCCAAATTATCTTTGTTGATCCATCCACCATTTCTGACCATCTTCCGACAGAAAAAATTAGATACCCGTCAATGTAAACTTAAACGGAAGACCCAGAAGACCGCCTAAATCCGCCCCTGAAATGCATCTAAAGTATGTTGTTTTCATGAAATTGCCCACAGATATGTATCATGTATCTCTCTTCCAAAACAATCTAAACTTTTCTCATGTGACATTTGGAAGCACCTTGTGCTTTTAAGATTCAATACTTAAACGCCAAACAAACTCACCTAAGGCTCTCTCCAGTTTACTAATCACTTGTTGGTTGGGGATTGCTTTTCCAGATTCATATTCATTGACAACCTGTTGTTTTTCATTTATTTTCTGAAAAAGAGAAATGAGATCTGACTGCTGTAGAGAAGGTTCTGAGAATGGAGAGTAGAAAGTTAATGATGGACATCTAAAGAAAATGAATTAGTAGCTGTATACTCAACATAAAAAACATACTCATGGTTTAAAGTATGGGATGAGAATGGTTGATGTGAACAAAGTTGGATTTATTGATTTCCCTTACACAATCTTCATTTTCAGGCCAGTAGCCAGGGTAGTTGGGAGGGGGGGGGGGACATAAAGAAAAGGTCTGCTGTAAGAATCAACTTACTGTTGCTAAATCTTTTTGTGTCAAGCCCTTTGCCTGCCTGGCTTGCTGTATGACTTGAGCCATGGAGCGGTCCACTTTTTCATGATGCAGCTCCTCCGTCTCACGGTCTAGCTTGGCAGTATTTTTAGCAGCTGAATGCTGTTTATTGCTAGCAGCAGCAACTGGAATAGAAATATTGTATGACCTGCAGTATTCTGCTCGGAATGGACACGTACATGTCATTTAATATGCGAGCCAGTCCAAGTTATTAGCCTTCCACACCCCAAACTCTCTTCACACACACATTCTGACACCTCATTTATATTATTTTTGAACATCATAAATCAATGAACATAAATTTGTTAGAACCAGATTTTGTTCATAATGCAGCATGAAAGTTTTAATTTTGATGAATTGCAACTACTAAGATTTACACATTTTGGAAACAGCATAAATGCAACTCCAATAAACACGGCAACAGGCGACAAAAACTGTGCTTACATTTTTTTGAGGTTTCTATCTGTAGTCCTTGTCTTTGCGCAGCATTAATAGCCTGTTCAAACATAAAGGATTTATTAAATAATAAGTTACATCTAAAGTTGTATATGAAGTCTCAGGATTTTATAAATGGTATCACAGATAAGGATTTTAGTACAGATACATATGGAAAACATTTATATAATGTTATAAAAATAAGGTAAAATGAAAGTCTTAGCTGAATTTATGGGATATATATACAACGGGTATATTTAAAGAACAGACAAAACTTCTGTTAAATTTTGTTAAACTGCTTACCGTGGCAAAAATGATGTCTTATACAAGGAGGATAAACAGAGGTAACCCAAGTAGAAGGTAAGTCTTGACATTTTCCGTATGTTAAGACAAGAAGTAAACCCAAAATAATTAGTGACATACCCTGGTTTTCTTCATCTAAAATGAACCCAGTCCATTAGTCGGCTTGAAGTTTCAATTATTAGCATTAGTGCTGATACGTGAAACTTATTGTACCCATGTGAGCTTTCAGATAAACATCAAAATCTCATGGGTGAAAGTTGTAAAAAATAAAAATCCTGAAAATGTACTTTGCAGTTTCTTGTGGTATTTACACCATATGAAAAACAGAATCAAAATGAACACTGAAAATCCTGAAATCAGGCATAATCCTGAAAACATTCTCTTAGGAAATCGGGCATTCAATAGCTCAGCATTTGTGCCATATTTTATTGGCAAATTCGGGACAAAGAAAGACAAGGTACTCAGTAACTCCGTGTACATATTATTTTGAGTGTACTTCATGTCTTAACATACTCATACACAAATACAAAATGTCAAGACTCACTTACAAGGAACCACTCTGAGCACTTCCTCTCAACCCCCAATATTGTTATTGATAAACAAAACGACCCCCTCATTAAGGAAACGGTTACACCCCAAAGCCTAAATATCCTGACTAGGGAACACGACCAATCACTATTAAAATGTGTCCAGAGTGAAGCCATACATTTCCATTAGCAAATGAAAAAAGTTCTGGTCTGAAAGTCTTAAGAAATTCAACAAAGATAACAACACATGACTAGATGAACCGAGAATAAATCATCTGAATGAAAATAACGCGACCTGCTGCGATTTCAGCTGTCCCGCCTTTGGTGCTCTCTTCCTCAAATATGTAACTTCATCCCAGTCAGCTTCTGCCATTTTAATAAATCCACGTTCTCGTGTGTCAGCTTAGTTAAAACGCTTTGTAATCCTGCAATATTTGTCTAAATTTGGTTGCAAATAATAACGCAACACGCTGAACTCTAAATATCGTTTCGTTGCGAGAAAACATGAGATGCGCAGTAGATGAAATTAGGACTTCCGCTTGTAGAGAAATGTGAAAGTTGGTAAGTGGCACTTTTTCACTTTTTTTGCACACATTGAATATCTTTTGGGTTTTATATTAGAAATATATTGTAAAATTATAAAGATAAGGATGGTTTAACTATCTTATATAACTTAAAATTAACAAATGGATAGTTTTTGAGTACATCTACAACTGACTGCCGCGTCCCTGTGTGATCATAATCAAGTGTAGAGACCCGTGTGTTTTTGTGATGATGTGTGCTTATTCACCCCCACCCCCACCCCCCCCAGTATGGCTGTACACAGCCATAGCTTTTAAACAGAAAGTTATTTTAATTGAACTCGTTATAAAATGCCAAATACGTTTGCTTTATGTAGAATATTGTTCACATTATTGAAATTGAATATTAATAATATTTCCTTCCTCTCTTTTATATTTTTTAGGTATTTCCTGTCATAGTATTCAGCTGTACACCTTCCCAAACAGGCAAGCCATAATTCAGCCCCTGGTAAAATAGTACTGGAAAAAGGCAGTCCAGAGCTGTGTCTTTCATCTTATCAGCCAGACAAAAACCTATGGTAGCATTGCTTATATAACAAAAGTCAGTACTTTGGTTTCAAATATGTTGGAAATAACTGTGAAAACATTAGATGGACAAAACAAGAAGTTTACTGTGCCTGAAGATGTGAGTATCAGTGCCTAGTGATGTGCATATATCCATGTCAGACCTGTCAACACTCCTGATCTCAGCAGAACTCTCCCGATTTGGGGGCCATCTCCTGATCTCCTGATTCAGGCTAAAAATCTCCTGATCTTTCATACTTTTATCTCTTTCTTTTTGATAGAACTTGCAGTGACTTCATTTACGAAAATGTGCCATAGCATAATTGCTCTCTTAGTTTAATTGTTGGAGGATAGTGATTGAATTAAAGATAAGGAGGAAATGCCAAAGACGAAATTATGTTAGGTCTTTTTATGAGTAACACCCTGAACACTGTGTATGTTAATGTTGTCATGAGATGAAGATTGTTCCAAAAGGAAAAGAGATACCGATCATTTTAACTTTTGTTTTTAATAATTGCTTTTGCAAGTAGACTTCCCAAGTTAACATTTAAATGAACACCACCTGATCCAGCTGAGAAATCAGACCATTTAAAAAACAGTTCTCTTTTTTTTTTTTTTTTTTTGACAAGATTTAAGAGAACCATTCAGTTTTCACCTTCATTGTCTCATTTTGCTGTGTCTGGTCTTTCACATGTTAAATTTATATGAAGCATCTGTTTTCCCAAACAATTGCAATGATATGCATGCTGTGTTTCCTTTTGCAGATTACTGTAAGGCAGTTCAAAGAAAGGATAGCAAACTCCATTGTAAGTATAGCATCATGGGTGATCTTTAACATACTAGTAACATTCTCTTTTTGAGTCTAACAATTACATGTTTAGGATGTGACATATTTCAAAGAAAAGATGTGGAATACAAAATTAAGTTTTACTGTATAAGTTTGAGGATGTATATGGGATATTGATTGATATGTCAGGTCATTACCTGTTTTCATGACTTTTATTCTGTGTATGTTTGTACAGAAAATATTTTGATATGTTTAGGGATATATCACTATTTTCATAAACACTTAAATCAAGATTTTTCATTTATTTGTTAGCATTTTCATTTTAAATTTTTTCAAAATCTCCCAAAAGGTTTAAAGTGCCAAGTTTTGAGAATTCCATGCCCGGTCTGGTGATGTCTCTGTTCATCTTCCTCATTTTCATTTACAGAATATCACTGCAGAACAGCAGAGGTTGATATTCCATGGCAGGGTACTGCAGGATGAAAAGAAATTGAATGAAAATGGTGAGTTGGGATTTTTTGGCACTGAATGCCTGTCATTTTAATTTATAAATTATGGTTAAGTGTTCTTATGACAGACAGACAGCCAGTTACATGCCCCTACTTAGTACCACAATGTTGCAAGTTCATGATAGCTTGTTCCAGTATCATAATAAGTTTAAAATGTATTTCTGCTTTGGTTTAAAGAAATTATTTTCTCTGTAATATTTATTTTTGTTACCTACTCTAATGGGATTCAGAAAGTGTTAGTATCTAATGATTTCAAGTTCCGTAATTGAGAGTTAACTTTTATTTTTCTTTGATTAAGTAATTGAGATTTAACTTTCATTTTTATCTGATCAAGACTTCACACAGTATCTGTTGTTCAGATGAAATCTCATATTTTCAGATGTCGATGGCAAAGTGATACATGTTGTTGCCAGGCCCCCGCCTTCCAGCAGACCCCCGCCAACGTCATCAACAGCCACTACTGCAGTGCCCCCTAGGGATGGCAGCACCACCACCAGCTATGTCATGGGGTCGTTTACCTTGCCAGCTGATGCCATGGATCCTAATTCAGTGCAGGTATTTTTTATTTATTTATTATTTTTTTTTTCAATTTTGGACATAATCCAAACATTAATACACTTTCGTTATTGATACACTTTCGTTATACTGTTTTCAAAACAAAGCTGCATGTGACATCTTTATACATTGTTGAATGGAAATTTAAATGAAAAGTGGTACATTTTGGGTGAAATTTTGTGCTTGAAAATATGTAAATAAAACAGGCTTATTCATTTAGCCATTTAATTTATAAAGCTGAAAATGCTGGTCTTTGATGTTTTAAAATTATCATTGATGTAGAGTGAAGCAAAATCACCTCTCAGCTTATTTGTAAGTTTCAGTAAAGCTGTTATTGCTGAAGTTTTTTGCTGTGACTTTTTTTCGTAAGTGAACTGTTCAAATGCTTTTATGTAAAAACATCTGTTTTAACAAATGTTTAAACAACCTAATGTTTTCAGCAAATTTTTTACTTTCAAAGATTGAATGCCAACATTTATTTCAGGCTTTTTTGCTATTCCAATGTAGTGTATGTCCAAGTGATCGGAAAAAATGTATTTAAAGCAGAATTTTATGTGCAAACCGTGGCACTATTTCCCATCTTCTTACTTTCAGCAAATTGTGCAGCAAGTTGTAACAAACATGGGGGATATTGGAAGAAATGCTCGAGTCACTTCAAGATCTGCAGTAAGGGTTGTTTATTAATCACTATTATGAGAAATTATTTATGCTATATTGATTTAAATGGAAAATGCTGAAGGAAAAAGAGAAGCATCTTGGAAAGTCCCCTTGGATTTTAGTCCCATATATATTTTTTTTCTTTTTCAAAATCAGATTTGAATTAAATTAAGACTTGGTTTAAAACCCATGGTGACCATAAAATGCATGACTTGTTTGAAAAAATTCATGTAAAATCATCCCTGAGGTTTCTTTCAGCCAGTTGAATTTAAGAGTACCAAGACTGTTTGATACTTAGTGAAAATAAAAAAGAATTAGATTATTTGTGCTCTTGTTTTTTTAGTCAGTGGGTGTCTTAAGTATGCAAAAGTCAGTACACATGCACTTTAAAAATGAGGTCTGTATATACTTCAGACGGGATTCAGTGAGCAGTCTTGATGTTCAAAACAAACCGTTAAGGAATAATGAATAGAGTACATTGTTGAAAGTTTTTGCTCTCTCTTTGAATTTTTTCATGTAAGTTACTTTAAGCATTTTATTGTTCTCTGTGGTGTAATTCCTGTCATAAAAGTCAATTATTACTCTTGTTACATTCCAGCCAGAACTTACTTATTGTCCTTGAAATATGCCAACTGCTTTTTGCCAGGGCCTGTGAGATTGCTTTATCCCAGACACGGTCACATTTTGTTTAATTTGAGTCCCACTAAGTTCACACTCATATGCGCTGATGGTTATATGGTACTCTGCCAATCATGATATCCAGGAATCTGAGTGTTTTTTCATTTTGGATCCTTTTATTTATTGCCCAAAGTTGCTAAAATTTGTATAACATGAACTGAAAAAGAAAGTTCGTAAACTTTGTATATCAAAAACTGTAAGAGAAAGAAAAAGAGAGTTTTCCTTTTCTTAGTGCATTTTTTTGTTCTCTTCCCTGAAATAGACAGGGTGTGATTTAAGCTGAATACTCTGAACTAATGAAAACATGACTCATACTTTATTTCAGCCTGATGGTTCCTCAGTTGATGTCCACATAAACCTGGGTAACATAGGAACAGTGCAGTTACGCAGTGAGGCACAGCAGAGGATTGAGAATGCCAGAAGAATGGTACAGGCTGCTACAGAGACACTGGATAGATTGGAGGTAGGGGAAAAAGCCCAGTAATCATGCTATGTTGGAATCACATGGCTGAGCTGCCAGTAAAGAAGTAGCCATATGGTGCCAGCAGAAAGCATTTTTTGTGAAAGTTATACGAACTTTGTCTTAACAAAATCAGTAAATGACATTTAAGGTTAGAGTTTACGTAGTTGGATTCTCCCCAATATGATGGAGAGATATAAGCACGTATGTGATTTGTCCTCAAAGTATGTAAAAAGATTGTTAGTATTTTTTGCATAAATTTTTTTATTAATATTTGTCAAAAAGGATTTTCCTGCTGTTAGAATTCCAGTTTGTCTTCCAGAACCCCCCAGATGGTGCTGATGAGAGTAATGTAAATGCATATCTCAACATACCAGCAGTGAGAGCCTATGATAATATACAGATAACAACACCCAATGGTAGCAGTGGGGCAGCTACAGCAACTACAGCTACAGTAACAACTACATCTACAACTCGTTCTGAGAGCACTCCTACAGGCAGTTCTTCTAGTTCTGCTTCTGTTGGGTCATCCAGTACAGGCGGTTTCAGTGGCACAGCCAGTACAAGCAATTCTAACAGCACAACCAGTGCTAGCAATGCCAGTGGTGGAAACAGCAATCGACCGACAACAACTGTCCCTGAAATGTAAGAAATAACTATAAACAATATTGGATTTTAGAGATTTTTATTCCTGATAATATTATGAATAAAGCAAATTTTTACATAGGTTGTGAAGTGGGATTTGTGAAAAATATTTAAAATATTTGTCAGTCAAACATGTCATTTTCAGTATTTTGATCCTGAAAATGAGCATGTTTCTTTTGATGCCTGAAAAAATCTGCCATTGCAAAGTTCAATGTCTTCAGTGAAAATGGTCCCAGTGATTTTACTATTCTTTATTAGTAGCCACCCTCCTCCCCTGGCTCTAGCAGATTTATTGAGTGAGGTATCAAGACTACAGGCCAGAGCTCAGACACACTTGGAAAGACTGCAGCAAGTCATGAGAGAGGATGCTAACTATGAGGGCAAGGTAATTATTGTTCAGTAGACATGCTGAGAGCAGCATGTGTGCTTGTGCCTACTGCAATTGCAGTGATAATGAGAATAATTGCCTATATATATTTCAAAACCCATAATTAAAATTGAATTTCTTTTGTAATTATTGGTGATTTGGATCCAAGATTAAACCCCCAAGATTAACACCCAAAATTACTGTGTAATTTTTAGTTGAAAAGCACTTTTCAACTACAACCTACCAGTTAAATTGCCTGTATGTAATTCAAAGGGTCAGAGCTCCTCATTGACCTGAACATTTCATTCATGAGATATACCAACAAGATGTACATGGTTTCCATTGTATTGTAGGATGAAGATCGTAGAAGGGACCAGCGTTTATTTAACCTGGTATCAGAAGTCATGCACTATCTGGGTCACGCCTACCACAGTATCAGTGACTTGATGGTGGACCTCAGTCAGCCGTCACCACGCCAGCTTCGGGCCCCAGTCACACCAGTGGCACCAGCAGCAGTGGTGCAGCAAGCTGTACCCATTCATGTAAGTTACATCACACCACAGTCTGTCTCCATTTGTTTGAATTTCATTATAAAGCATCCTATTCATACCTATGTTTGTAAATTATATATGTAGCAGGTCGTGTGCCATGATGTGTAAGTTAAAGCACATGTTAGACAGGTCTATTAGGCTTGCATACATGTATTTATATTTTAAATCTTTGATTATCTGTTTTTTGTTATAACAATTTGAATAACTGGTCAACTTTCTTGTTGTCAGGCACAAATACAGATCGATCCATCAGGCTTACAGAGACGTAATGTCAATGTGAATGCGGCTGGTACACAAGCCGGCTCAGGTAGTACAGTATTTGGCAACACAGGCACCCAAGTAGGTGCAAGCAGTGCAGCCTCTGGCACTGCTGGAACCCAGGCCGGTACGGGACTTGGCAATCAGGCAATATTTGGCACCACAGGCACCCAGGCTGGTGCAGGATTAGGTGCAACGGGTTCTACAGGCACCCAAGCTGGTGCGGGATTAGGCCCAGTGGGGTCCACAGGCACCCAGGCTGGTGCAGGACTTGGCTCTGGTGGGGTCTTTGTTGGATCCACAGGCATGCAGGCAGGGAGTAGTTTTGGTGCTGTGGGAACCATGGGAACACAGACGCAAGCAGTAGATCCCACAATGTCCACAGGCACACAGACAGGGGCTGTTCCTAGTGGAGTGGGGACTACAGGGACTCAGGCAGGGGCAGGTTTAGGCCCTGGTGGTATGATGTTTGGTACAGCAGGCACACAGACATTGCCTGGCAACCTGCGAGGACTGTTGCCTGGAATGGTGCCTGGGATGGTGCCAGGCATGGTGCGACTACCAGGAGCATTCATGATTGGAGTGCCCCCACATCCAACCACGTCTAACAACCAGGTCAGAATGCTCTGATGGTGCTATTAAGTCAGCAATCTGTCGAGACATAGAGTCTTTCCAAGCTGATTTAATAAGAGCTTTATGCACTCCTTTCAGTTGGATGTGGTGAAATCTTATAAATTTAAGATAAAATTGGAAATGAGGTTAACTTAATCCTCGTTACTTATCAGCAATGCAACAAAACTGTCTTTACAGATAACACTGTTTCAGGTTATGCAGCCCCATATGAAACAAATCAAACTCATCCTCATTATTTCAGGGTACGCAGACCAGCACATCTTCAACCACAACTGCTGGTGTGGGTCCCGGGCCCTTTGGTCCTCTCTTCAACCCTACAGCCAGCACCACAGGCTCTGGTGCCATGCCCTCCTATACATTTGTACAGCTGGGACCTCACAATGTGACCATCAGTAATATATCAGCACAGTTTGTGCCACACTCAGAGGCTCAAGCAGAGGGGGGGACTTCTACAGGAACTGCCACTACAGGATCTTCAAACACTGGGGCTGGGACTGCTACTACAGGAACTCCTCCAACTGGAACTGCTACTACCACCACAGCCTTTACTAATGGCAGCAGGTCAGCAGTAGGAACTGCGCCAGCAGGTAAGTTAGTTTGGGGTAAAGAATGCATTAAAATATGTCTTCTACAGCTTATTTTTTTCACATTTTTATTTTTACCCCTTAATGCAAAATGGCGAATTTGTCTTAGGGCAGCATTGAGTTTACAGGGGCAGATGTATTTTGAAAACAACTATATATGATATATATTGATTCTTGTGAGTTGATGATATTGAAACTTCGCATTTAGTTGAATTTTAATGTGTGGTGTTTCTTTGGTGTTTGTCTTTTCGTTTCGTCACAAAGTCTCCATGTGATAATTTTATGTGTGAAGGTTTGAGATTTTGATGATTACTCAAACATTTTCAGTTCCAGCGATCACATTTGCTTTACATTATCCCTATCATGGTTTCAATATTGATTTTCAAGACCAAGTCGACCTGATACTCTGTATGCAATTTGTTTATAGAGATGATTATTTCAGAATCTTCTAGAACATCAAATGCTCCTCCTTTCACCAGGACCGTTGGTGGAGCTGGTCACCTGCCTTTTGGTGACTTCTTGACTTTACTCAGGTCTATGCCAGGGCCACCAGGAAACCCTGGGGCTCACATACCATCTGGTTCAAGTAAGACCCCCACTTGTCATGCCATTCAGTAGATGTGGGTCACTGAACTAACAATAGTTTATGCGCTTGTTTATTTGTGCTATTCTCTGTAATGTTTTTTTTTTTTTTTTTTTTTTTTTTTTTTTTTTTTTTTTTTTTTTTTTTTTTTTTTTTTTACACATTTTGTTGTTTGGTTTCTTTTGCAAATTTTGCTATGGTTTCAATATCATGCTCGAGGAATGTTAGTTTTTATTCACTGTTTTTTTTTCTCAACATATTAGTGATCTATAAGTAACCTTTGCTCAGATATACCTTCATTTTCATTGAATTATTAAACATTTAGCAAAGAAATAATTTCAGGTTAGCATGAAACGTGGTGAACTTATTACAGTGTTGTATTTTTGCTCTCCTTCTTTTTCAGAAAAAACAGCAAAAATATTGTGACAAGACTAATATTTGATAATTGTGATATGTTTGGATATTTTTACTAAATGGATATTTTTACTTAATTCTTTAAACCTGCTGTTTGCCTTTTGTGTGATTTGAGTGAGTTGAGTAACTTCTGCATTATGTGAATAATGGAGGTTTATGTAATTTTCCAGATGTACCACTGTGAAGAAAGTATTGCTTGAGGCATGTTTGCATACTGGCAACAAACTTTGTAAAAAATGTGAGACAGACCAAGGGCTATATTGTCATTTGTTGTTGCATCACATATTTGGTACATACCCACTTATCAAATGCAGTTCTTCGGGCCAGGGATGCACCAGACCTATACTTTGTGCATTGATGCCCAACTTGGTGAAGCAAGTTAAGTTCCATGCCCTGTAAATTGATGTGTTTCTGGCAAGTCTGATCTTTAATTTCAGGCATGAATGGGACTGCAACCACCAGCCCAGCTTCCTCATCCACTACCACTACATCATCCAGCACCAGTTCTAGTCAGGGTCCTCTCCCTGGTATGTTTCCCCCAGGGGGCTTTCCCCAGGGTCATTTCGGCAATCACCCCCGAGGTGTGCTTGTTCCTGGCATGAGTGCCCCTGGAAACCGAGCTGTGGACCCCTATCTACCCTGTGGCTCACGACACTTTATGGCCAGGAGGATGCCCAGTACCGCTGGAGGGGTAAGAATTGAGAGAGATTTTCTTTCTTATAATGTGAGAGTTCTGCATTCAAACATAGAAAAAGAGAAAAAAAATTATACAGAAGTTGTGATTGTCAAAGACTTGCCCAGATATTTTCATTTTGTAAAAATGCCTTGGATTTGTAAGAGTAAGGTTCACCTTCAAGTGTGCCCCATATTTCATTCTCTTAACAATTAAGTGCCCTTTTTTATGGTAATTGATCTTTTTTCTTTTCAGTCTCCAGAAGGTTCCCTGACGGACATTTTGAACAACATAGTAACATCTTTGCTGAATCAGCAGAACCCTCATCTAGCAGGTAATTTATAACAGATAAGTGATAGCACCTTGAACTATTGCATTTTGGATGTTCATTTATTAAGTTCTTTTTTTTTTTTTTTTTTTTTCAAGTTTTGGAGAATATCAAAAATATCATCTTTAAAAAATGGCACATTATTTTAAAGAGGAGAAAATTGAAAGAGAAAATTTCTTGAAATGATCAGCTGGTCTTCCATAATCAGGTCAGTCTGCAGGGCAGCCTCAGTCTGCTGCCAGCAGTAGTGCCACCAGCACCACGTCCACCACAACCACACCATCTGGTGCCAGCACAAGACTTACCCCAGCCTCCATGCCTAACCCCTTTTTGCAGCTAATGGGTATGGGCATTCCTGGACAGGGAGGACCAGCTCCACCTGGTGAGGAGAATCCATTGATGACTATGCTGAGAGGGGTTTTACAAAGTGCAGTAAGTAGGATAAAGATAATGATTGGTAGATTTAAATGTATGCATTTTGAAAATATATATTTCATCTTGAATGCTGTTATACATGCCGTATATGTAAATAGAAATTTGCTGAAATACACTTCTTCTGCTACATGTATTCATTACCTTCTCTTAAATTTTTTTGAGTGTGCTGACTTAGCAGTGCCTTGAGTAGATCCATTTTCAAAATGATTTTAATCATCAGTAGCTCACTGGTAATATAATATTTATGCAATATCCTAGCACACTGAAGGTACCACCAGAACCACAACAACTACAACATCCTCCAGCAGCAGTGGAGCTAACAGTAGCAGTAACAGTAGCACCCCCTCCTCCACAGGAATGACAGATGAACTGTTTGCACAATTGATTGGTGGCGTCACACAGGCAGTGTCGCAGTCGCGCCTAGGCCAGGGTCAAGGCCAGACTGTGGCTACATTTCTGCGTAGTTTAGGAAGTGAGCACAGTGCAACTCAAGGAGAAGGTAAGGTTCTGTTATAAATAAAAATATAAGTATTGGGAAGGGAAATGAGTTGCCAGAATTAAGTGATTTCTGTCTCTGGTTACATATTTTGTCTGTGTATTCATGATGATTGCTGTGCATATAAACTTGTTATTGTAGCTGAAAAATTATTTCCGAAAGTTGACTATGTTGGTACATTTGTACTTTGATTTATCTTTTTCTTAGGCATAGTAATTGTGGTTTAACATTGAGGATGTGAAAGCTAGTAAATCACGTAGACTTGGACATTCACATCCATTTATACATTAAATTATATCAAGTCAGATTGATATGCTTGTTTAAACCAGGTTTAGTTAACGACATCTTCAACTGCTTGGCTGAGCAGCTAACTTTCCCAGACATGATGGCCATTTTCATGGGAAATCCAGCATCACTAAATCGTACCCAGCATTCACTGCAAGAGTTTATACGAGACAGAATTTTAGAAGGACACGAGGCCACAGAGAGCGTGGTGAACGACGCTGTGGAAAGGCTGATAAATGATATGCAAGAGCAGATGAGAGAAACCTGTGTGAGTACAGCATGCCGTTTTATTTGTTTAATCATGAATATGGGATTTGGATTTTTACATCAGTGGCATATCTGTAGCTCCAAATACAAGACCTAGTTTCTTTCAGAATGCTGACAAAATGATGGCATGTAATTAATGTTTAATAGATTTAAAAGCAATGTTTTGATAAAAAGTTAGTTTAAGGAATTGCAATTGGTTATTCACTTGAACAAATATATTTTCCTTCCTCAAATAAAATTATACAGATTTATTTTAAATCTTTGAATTTAAAGTGATGTATAAGACCCTGCTTTAGACTCTTTCTTCTTTTGAAGAAATAAAAAAATTGACATGGATACTGTATGTTGTTCTCAGGCCAATGAAGAAACTGTCCAGGAAGTGGACTTGATGGCTACTCTTAATGAATTTACAAGACAGCAGCTCAGAGCCACCATCAGACTTATCATGAACTCCACAGGTTAGAGAGCATAACTTTCGTTATCCATTCTTAGTTTTCTTTTTCAAGTAAAACACAAGATTTGTATTTGATTGCAGTTTAATCTTTTTTTACTAATTGTATAAGCTAAAAAATGCCCATCCATATGAGAACTACAATATGTTTGCTTTTCTGGAACGAAATAATTGAAATCTTTTTCTTTGATGCCAACTGCAGAGAATGACCCTAACTTTGGACGTTATCTGTACGAGAGGTGTCGCCAGGTGCTGATGGAGTTGATTGTTCTCTGTCGCTACTCTCTGAGTGGAGGTATACCGGCTATAGAGAGAATACTACATGGCAGAGTGGTGAGTGATAGGGTTATTTTTCCCTGTGTTGTTACTTGCTTCACACATATCTTAGAGGGTCTGGAGTGCTGCAGGAATTCAATAAGTATAGACTGGAATGTAACTAACCAGAAAGAATGTAAATTAAATTCACAGTTATTATTATCATTAATAATTATATTTCATGTAATTTTGATTGTTTTGATGTTAAACTTACTATTAGGTTGTTATTGTGGTCTTAGTGGTTAATTGAAAATAGAATGGAAAAAATTCATTGATATATGTCAGAATTGTATAGACCAGGTGAATAGTTGGTATTAATTAAGATTAGGTTAGATTGGTTTATGAAAATGAAAAAAAAAATGCTCCTCTCATATTCTTTGATTTAACTGAAGTAAGTGAGTTATTTAGAAAGAATTACTACTGACACCTCTTCCACAATCTTTTTTGGGGACACTGTATTTTTATTTTTGTGTCATAAAAAACAAAAGCACTTGGCATCATATAAAAACAGTTTAATATGCATTTTATAGAGACCATTCAAGCTTATTTTATATATGTTTGTATGTGTATTTTTTCTTCAGCGCCATGTCTCTGGTGACGTGAACCCTCTGATCCTGCAGTGGATGATTACTATGTCATCTCAGCATCTTCACTCTCTCCTGCCACAGATCACAATTACTGACACTGATGTCATGCACTATGTTGTCAGGTAATACAGAGCAATACATTATCAGGGATATTTGGTGTGTGTGTGTGTGTGTGTGTGTGTGTGTGTGTGTGTGAGAGAGAGAGAGAGAGAGAGAGAGAGAGAGAGAGAGGGTTTTAAAATAATGAAAATATCAGTCTTTCTTTTATGTGTTAAATACATAGGTGGGTGCTGAAGTCAAATGTTATGTTCATGATTTCATAAGTTACCACAATGTAGGAAAATATATAGAATTACACAAGGTTTTATGGCATTTATTTGTTTGTGACAAAAATAATAAAGGGCCAACCAGCAGTTCCATTTTTGTTTTAATGTATATATTTTTGTACATCTAGGAAGTCTCCAGACAGCGCTGACAGTATGGATGTCAGCCCTGACCACCAGGAGGACCTGGAGTTCCAAGACGCTCTTGAGACACAGGAACCAGTGGTGACATCTACTGGAGAAAGTGGAGGAATGACTCCAGAGCCAGCAGCAGAGGTAATTTTGATGACCTTTTTTTGAATCTGAATTTTACTAAAAAAAATATTAATAAAACATTAAAAAACAAACAGTGTTTGGTAATGTCTATGCTTAGCTGTGCCTTGGTTGATATCACTTTTTATGTACAGACACAGATGTGTCTGTACATATAGTCATCATCTGCGTCTGTCGTCGCTGTCGTCGTCGCTGTCGCCGTGCACTTTTACCGATAACACGATAAGTGGAAAACCATTTTACCTTTTGACTTGAAACTTGCAGAACTGATGACTATTCATAATACGCAGGTCAAGTTCGAAAATCAGCATGATCGGGTCACGTTTAGGGAATTTATGCTGTNTTTTTCTGGTAATTTAACAGTTTTTTGTGAAAATTTAATTTTTCACTTATTTGCATCTTTATTTTCTGTTCTTTGTCTGTACATTTGACAGCTTTGCTGCCTTGTTTAGGGTTTGCAAAAAATTCTTAGCTAAAGACTATAAATGCATAATAATAATAATAATAATAATAATAATAATAATGATATTAATCATGTATTTTCCATGTATTTGTCCAGGCAATGGAAGTGTCTAGTCCTAAAGCTGGTGAAATCCCCACACCAGCTGAAGCATCACCAGTGGTGAATTCTCACATTGTTGGGGCTGGAGAGGATGTCACAGCCACAGGGGCTGCAGGCTGGGAGCAGCAAGTACCAGAGGTATTACTTGGCTGCATTATTTGCTTTGAATTGTGAGAACAGTCATAGTAAAAACTTACAGTTCATAGCCGTTTTTGTAGCCACCAAGATAGAATTGCCTTAATACTAAATAAGAGAAGAAATACTAAAAGAAAAAGTTCCATTTTGTATAGTAGCTGTAAAGTCTGAGAGCAAAAAAAAAAAAAAAAAAAAAAAAAACAATAATAAATGGATAGTATAGAATGGATGTATATGAAATGAAACTTTCTTTAAGCAAAATTACAAGCATTAACCAAAGTTGTTATCTATAAATATAAATATTTATAAACATGTAGATACAGAAAGAAGTTAAATGACTGCCACTGCAATTTCTTGTCTAATTTCAATAATGTGAACAAGATGCCCTCACTTTTCCAAGACACCCGTTTCTCTATTTACCTTGTTTATAAATAGCAACACAGCTGATGTTCCTGTTTACTATGGTGTTTTCCAGGACTGGGTACCAATCATTAGAGAAGATGTTCAGCGCCAGAGGCGGCAGGCACCCCAGCAGCCACTCAGTGATGCCTACTTGAATGGCATGCCACCTAAGAGACGGAAGGTAAGAACATGCCTAATGTAATGTCTTTATCTGCCCTCGCCCTCTCTCTCTCTCTCCCTCTCTCTCTCTCTCTCTCTCTCTCTCTCAGTTAATCCCTCTGTTCTTAGATGTGCAATTTCTTTCATGATGCTTCAAGTCTTTTTATTTTCTTTTTCAGATCATGTGCCAAGACAAGCCAGATGGTGTGCCCAAGGCTGCAGAGGTTCTCCCCGAGACACTGACCAGAGCTGTGAGGTCTGCAGGTGTCACCCCCAACACAAGTGTGTCCGCTTTGCTCAAGGATGCCTCTGAAAACACATTACTCCAAGACAAATTTGAGGAACAAGTTAAAAAAGACTTGAAGGACAAAGTTGAAAGCAACCCTGACTATAAATCTCAAAAATATCCAAATGCAGAGAAATATTTAAAAAAGAAGTGATGAGAGTGGCTGCTGATGTTTTAATTTTTTTGTTTTTTCATTCTATTATTATATGCACACAATTTGTCTGTCAAGCTGTCAATTTGCAGTTTCGGTTTATATGGAATTATATTATATTTATATTACAATATTCCAGGATAACCTTTGTTTCTCTAGATTAACTTGCAATTCAAGTGGTGAACTATTTCAGCCTATGTGAAAAGAAAACAATGTATTGATATTAATTTATTTCTGCATGCAGTATTTTTAAGAAACTGTAAATATAACTTTCTAATTTGTGAGGCAGGATTCTTAAAGTGGACAATATCTTGTACAACCCAGTGCCATGGATACATATACAATTAATATCTATTCTTCAAGTCCTTTTCTCCTCAATGAGAGCATTGGACAGAATCATTTTTCCCCAATGCACTCTCTTCTGTGAAGTTTTGTCATTTTAGTTCCAGTGGCCCATTATGATAAGAACTGGGTTTGTATATCCACATTCTTGTGAAGCAATGGGATACTTAAAATATTGTATCCAGGCACAATAAAAAAAGTGGAAGAAATGGTGCATAATTGTGCATATGGTTGGGTAGAAAATGTGAATCATCGCTATATATATATATATATATCTTTTTTTTTAACTTTTTAATTTAATTTGGGTACACTGACCAAGCTATTTTAATGTAAATTTCAAGTGAATAAAAAGGCATGTTAACCCTTGTAATCCACAGTGATAAAGGAGACTGTTTTTTTTTTATTGTCAAGTAGTTTATATTGAACCGAACTACCCCGAGTGGTATGGATTCTTGATATTTAGTCTTTGTTAAGACGAGAATCGCACGCAATAGGTGCTCTGGATTGCCACGCATCTATGCTTTTTTTCACCCAATTGTGCCCATGAAAGGGGCACGGGTGCTGGGCTATTGTGTGAGCCTTCCGATGCATCCTGAAATCGGGAATAATTCACCTGTGCCTGTTTAAAGGGCACATTTGGAACGAAGAAAGTAGAGATACGTAGGTACCCGTCTCTCTCTCTCTCTCTCTCTCTCTCTCCCTCTGGTGCGGTGGTGTAGACTATCACTAGCTTGTTTGTCCTCTTGTTTTGTGTGATAGAGAGAGCCATCATAGGATTCGACCCATGGGGTTGTCAACATTTTTGAAACTTTCGCTCTACTCACTCACAAGGTATTTCTGTTGGATTCTTGATAATTTTTGTCGTTAACAAGATGAACAAGCACAAACCACGCGAGAAACGATAATTTTCACTCGGTTTCCTGAATTAATAGTCACCTTTGGTGAGAGTGCCGCCCTGTTAACATCATCAGTATAAAAGTGAAGGTAATACAAGAACTAGAAAACCAATACGAGAACAATACATGCTTGCAGTCGCTCTAAAAAAAACACCGAGGCTTATATAACCGATTGCTCTAGACCTACATTTGTAGCTTTTGACGCACGGAGCATATACATTATTTAATAATATCATTAATTGTTTTTATGCGAGTAGGGCTTTAAGAAAACACTGCGAAAATGCCAACGCCCTTCGTCAGGTCTGACAGGTTTGATTAGACGGAAAGCATACATATTTCTAATACAAAGTATAAGAAATCGAGCTTATTCATCATTCGCCCCTTTTCTCGGCATATTGCTCTGCTTGGTAAGCTTACCTGCATTAAAAGCTAAGGTCAATAGACAAACAAAGCGAGTACCAGGTTTACTTGTTCAGAGGCATTTGACGCTGTGTCACAAAAGCAGTCCGTCTAGGTGAGTCTACGTGTGTGCGTTTGTGTTTATTCCTTTAGTGGACCACATGAAGGTGATATGAAAATTTAGACATCTTTTATTTGCCAATGGCGTCGCAAGTTTTACTAACTAAGAACATGATTACGTGCAGCTCTTCGCAGTATAAGTGCCAGTGTAGTTAAGTGTAAACTGCGTGCATGTGGGGCTGTTGACATCGCACAGTAAAGCGCCGATACGTGTTAACTAATCAGCCAATTAAGCCCGTTATTGTTCTAGATTTTAGTAGATATTTAACGGTGATATAACCAATACAACTATAGTTATCTACACCACAATGATGTTGTCAGTTTTCGGAGTTCACTGTATCCGGAGATCGATGTGAGATCCTCGAGGTTATTGTAAACTGAGCTCTAATATAATCACTCCTCTGCCGTTTCCAGCAATATAATTGAGGTTAGTTTTCTGAAATCGCTGAGCGATAACTCTGTTAACCCAGGGTGATATATATATATATATATATATATATATATATATATATATATATATATATATATATATATATATACGTCGATATGTGTATCCATGCACGCTTACATGACTTGTTGCTGCTATTGTGAATTATTGGGTCAGATCAGGTTATATAAAATGCTGCATCGATAAGTAGGTTTATATTGCTGTTAAATATATATATATATATGCTTCGCTCAAGAATGTATTTTTTCCGATACTTGTTACGCTGTATATATTCAATATATACTAATTTTGTATGTGTATGTGTGTGTGTGTGTGTGTGTGTGTGTGTGTGTGTGTGTGTGTGTGTGTTTGTGTTTGTGTAAGAGACGCAGTAAATATCCAGCAGGTCGTATATGCTGGCATACTATATTCTGGTTTTGAAAGGTCTTAATATCTTTATGTCCCTTTGATCTAAACCGACTCGAATAATATGACATATCTATTAAAATGATAGAACAAACTTAAGTATGATGGTCGAAATTTGGCCGATGACGGTCCCTCTGATAAATGAAGTGGATTAGTGATAAACATTGAATAGTGTTGAGTACTGTAATGACATTTAGGTAATGTGCACGCCTGAAATATCCACAGTTATATATAATTTTCAAACAAATAGTGCAAACATTTCAGTTTGTGGGGTTGCAAAGAGGAATGCCACCTTTAAACCCTTAACTGGAGGGAAGAGCAGGTGGTCGTTGGGGGGGGGGGAGGGGGAGACAACGTGCGCTTATGACAGCTAACGCGTGCGTTATCTGTCATTTGCGCTTTTCGGGAGACGATGTGCATGTCTACTAAATCCTTTCTTCCTAACATCAAAATATGAAATGATGCGATAGGAGTAATTGATCCAGCCATGCCCCTGACTTTTATTTTGAAAGTCGTGGAGTGTGGATTTTTGTTTATTAATGCTTTTAATTACGTAACATGAAAATACCATGGAAGACATTAAATCTTGATAACAGGACATTACATAAGTCTGGTAGATTCAGTGAATTATTTGGTTGTTCATATGTTTTTATTATGTAACAAAAATATCCTGAAAGGAATTAAACCTAGTAAACAGTGTATAACTTTGTTTAGAACTAACACCAATATCAATGGTCATTAATGTTTTTTTTTCTATTTTCAGTATAATGGATGCAATTATGATGGATGCAATTAACAGCAACATAACTGAGTGGAATCTGTGGACCAATCACTCTGAATGGGACACGGGGTACGCAGAGCCATGTTTCTTTTGCCAAAACACCGGCTTTGAGAATGAACTATTGTGTATTTTGAATGATCTGACGAAATAAACAATTAATTTACAAATGTTGGAATGTTTTAAATTACAGGAGTAATTTGTATTCAACTTTCAGTATGTCATCCAATTACCATCATAATGCAATTTACAATATCATATGTTCGTGGTGCCAAACAAGGATCCAAAATACCGATACAGTGTCACCTGTAAAAAATGGCCTGTGATTCCTTAAATGGAGGGGGGAGGGGGATGCATTAGTTTAGGTAGTAGGAGATTCCGAGAATAGATTTGGCCATCTGAAAAATGTTTTAATAAACATGGCCCTTATTGTTGTGAAAATCAAAATTACTACTAAATTTATCATTTCAGGGACAGCACATATGTGTGTGATCAACAAACAACAGACTTGTATCTTCTTTTGAGGTTATGTTTTCTGGCCCTAAGTGTAAGTATCTTACATCTTAACTTAGAGTTTCCTTATAGACAGGGTACGGTCAATCGCTAATGAAGCCCGGCCATGGGTATGTATGTACAGCAAAATCATCATCACTAGAGAAACAAGGGAGGTTGGAACCTAAAGAGTCTGAAACCCCGACAAGAGGGCATTTCACTATAATTTGCCACTTACTAATATAAATTAGTCTTGCTCAGGGTAGTTGGAATTATAGTAGTTGGGTCTTCCGCTGATCTCTCTCGATCGTACGTTCAAATGTTTGGTCTATTTGACAAGCAAATAAAATCTGATATTTTCTATTTCTATAAAGGTTGTCTCTACCTAACAAGTGCTGTACGTATCGTTTTATTTTTAGGTGATAGTGTTGGTGATCTTTTCATTCACTGAGAAAAGAAGAAATCTGTGTTCTGGTTGCCTGCATGGAAGGCCCGGCATAGTGTTGTAAGTCTCCTTCTGCAAAGCTGATAGATTCTGACCCCCCCCCCCCCCCCCCCCCCACACACACACACACACACACACCGCCCAGTAAAAGTATATGGTAATAACTTGATCCTTTCGATGGGAATATAAATTATATGATCAATCTTACAGGAAGATAATTTGAGAATCATTAAATAAATATTTTTATGTAGCATACATGTTTGTGGTACTTCCAATGTGTAGAATAGAACTATTAGATAGCTTTTCAGTTTTGTTGTTGCATTCTTTCCTTACAGTGCATAGTATAGGGCGTGACAACGTAATCTCATGGAAAAAGTCAAACAATTGAAACTCATATTATTTGTCTGATCATTTATCTCTTCGGTTTTTGGATTTTTTCAATATTAGTACTATATGTGTATTTCGTATATGCACGTTCAACCTTTAACCTCTATGAAACGCCTAATAAATGAACAAATGAATAATCGAATAAAGAAATGTAGATAATAACCATTACATTTCCTCTTCAGCCCTATGAACTGTCTAGAATCTCGTCACGATCGTTGGGCCTACGCTGCAGCCTACGCCGTGTTGGCGATCTCCGTGCTGGACTTCTTCCTGTTTGAGGACCAAACGACAGTGGGACCACCTTACATGAAACGTGCGTATACATGTGTGTGTGTGTGTGTGTGCGTGTGTGCGCGCGCGCGCGCGAGAATGCATGCTCGTGGAACAATGATAATTTAAACTTCTTTTATTGTCATTTACCAAAAATTGAACTTAACGTTGTAAAACGTACCTGTGTGTGTATGTGTGTGTGTGTGTGTGTATGTGTTGTGTGTGTGTGTGTGTGTGTGTGTGCGTGTGTGTGTGCGTTTGAAGTCTTTGGCCGGACCAAATTTGATAATTGGTTAGACAATTTTGTTATCTTGGACGATTGCGGTTGTGTCATGATATGTAGTCTACTATGAATTATGTCAAATTACACACGCAGATGTGTTCACAATTTATTTTTAATTCGCTCCTCCAGCTAAATATTATCTAGAGTCTTGTATTTATTTTAGTTTATGGCTTTAAGTTTAAAATTCTAGCTTTTTGTCTGTTGCCCAAATGTTTTTCAACTATTTTTGGCCGGGTAAAAAAAAACATTTTTGTAACTTAATAACATAGTAATAATATTATCTAACCATGCTATTTGTCAAACTTTTGGTATTTATTAGTGATTAAAATTTTCGATTTTTCAATCGTGCCCATTTTTTCATTATGAAGAATATTGTGGTTAACATCTTTCGGGACAATTGAGATTTTAATGAAACTTGCTTTTAACGCATTATATTTTTTAAGAAACAGTGTGTATAATGAAAGAAAAAATGGTCATTCGGCATTAAGGAAAAAGTACTGAAATAATTGTATATGAAAGTTCTCAAACACAAGCCTATAAATTTCCTACCGTTAGCCTAAGATCTTAGCTAACAGCCAACCTGGTCGAAGGCCTTCATCAGAAACCAGGTTGGCCGTAAGCTAACGGTAGGAAATTTATAGGCTTGTATTTGAGAATTTTCATATACGATCCAACTACCGAGCTAATGAACATTTTTGCTCATTTACTGAAATAATTATTCGCACATGTAGCCTAGCTACCTTTAAGAGATTTACCTTACTTGTTTCACAAGATATACTCTTTTTATCTACATTCTTTATTTTTCAGAACTCTCATTGGTTTTGTTGGTACTTAGATACGGTTTGGTGGTTTACCCCCTATTTACCGCCATTACGTTGAACACCATCTTCAGCTACTCCATTGGATGGGTGTACTTAATCATTTACATGGGTATCGAGGTCCTTTATAGAGTAGAATGTACCGGAGACCAGGTGAGTGTCTCCACCCACTGGTCTCGTATTCGACGAAGATGGTCTCTTCTGTGCAATATTGTTAATTAAGGTTGATTAATTTTTAAGGAGTTTACTTTTAAGAAATATAAAAATGATATTTCAAAAAATATTTTTAGTGCCCTATTTTTGCTCTTTTCACTACTTTGAAGTTCTAATATAGTAATAAATACAGGCTTGCATGTTCGTAATTGTTTTCATATATTTTAGACGTAAACTCTGTTGTTGTTTTTAAACTTCAGACTATGACTAGCTTATTGAAGTTGAATTTGAATACATTAGTATCCCTGCTTAACATATCTACGATTGAAAAAATAATAATAATAAGCCTGTGGATATTGCGGTGTCTTCTAGGTGTGGGTTATGTACCTTGGGATGTGCCTTCCAGCCTACCTGGGGATGGTAATATTGTTCGTGGATTTTCCCGTGCAAATCATTAGACACATCGTCTATAGGATCAAATATCGCTCATTTAAAGAGGTGACTTCCAGAAATCTGTCATATTCTTTTCTCTCTCTCTCTCTCTCTCTCTCTCTCTCTCTCTCAATAGCATGCGGTTTCAATGACGTATCTTACGTAAGACAACAATACTATCTTTATTTCAATGAAATCCCACATACGCACCTACTCTCTCTCTCTCTCTCTCTCTCTCTCTCTCTCCTTTATGTATGTATCACGTACTATTTCAGCGAATCAACCATTTTCTACAAGAGAACTACCAAGCCAAATACGTGAGAGTCATACTGAAAAAGAAAGTGTAAGTATTCATATTTACCGCTCATTTGAATAAGAACACCAGCGACTTACATTAAGATTATTGATTTTATTTGGTAATATGTTGATTCATATTCCAGAAATGACATAAACAAATTAAAAGAAAAACGCACGCTTAGATATTTTATTGTTTGTGCCTTTTGGAAAGAGGAAAGAACAAAAATTCATTTCATGTCGTCTAATTTCATTAAATATTTTTCTCGTCAGAACAATAGATACTCAGGGCCTCTCTAGAGGAGCCAGGGTCAAATCAGGGTGTATTTCCCTTTTTAAACGTTATACCTACACTAGGATGCCTGGTAAGTTTTCTCTAGGAGCCAGCAAGTCAGATTCTAATTCATGGGTCCTAAGAAAAAAACGTGCATTTTAATAACTGATATTAGTAAACCCAAGATGTACACGCTTTGTTTAAGAAAAAAAGCATGTCAGGAACCGAAACTTCAGTGTAACTGCAGCAAAAAAAAACATAATTTTTATGATAATTTCAACACTTTTATTCGCCACTTTACATTACAGTGAAAACTGACTCACTTTAACTTATGCCCTCTTTCTCAGTTTCCGCCTCATAACGTGAAGTCCGAATGTAGGTTGACAGTCTGCTTGCGATTATCTTTTCCACAGACACTGCTTTTAAACTGATAGATTTTTTCCTTTCTAGGCTATAAATACTCGACGCGTATGGTGACCACTTTTACTGTTGCTATAATATTGGTGTATGCTGTAAGTAAACAGTTTTTTAAGAACACAATATTGGTTTATACCGCAAGCCTGTACCCAGCAATTTCAGAGGGGTGTTCTTTTTCTGAAACAATGGACTTTTTACCATGAAACTTTTGTGTGCCTAGATCAATATATTTAAGCGAGCTGACATTTTCCAGGAAAAAGGGCTGTTCGTTCGACCCCCCCCCCCCTCCTCGGCTACGGGCATGTACATGTACTGCTGGTCAATTATTATATAACAGTGTCTGTTCTGCGGCTGTGACGTTGTATGGCGAATTTATATTTTGATTATGTAAGACCTATGATCGGACTCGTTGGAACTTAAAATAAAGATATTTGCATCTTTTTCATTTATTACCAAAGGGAAATTATTTTTCCTTGAGGTTTTCAGTGGGGGCTATTCCGTATCGCCTTGAAAAATACATCGTTTGGAAGTATGAAAGAATGTTCTTTTTATTGTTTTCAGTTTGCCCTGATGTTCTATTTTTTATTTTTATCTATCGTGGATGATTATGGTGCCTACTTAGAGTACTTGTATTCGGATTTTGGCGTTTTAATTCAAGTCACACGGGGTGAGCTTATACTATATCTGTTAATAGATTATTCAATTATGATTTAAAAGTTTTAATTTGCTTTATTTACTTAAGCTTATTATATCAATTCTTTACAGGTTTTAGATTTGCTGGTTAACACTGGTATTCCGGCGAATATACACTAGTAAAATTATATTTTTAAATATTTTAAATCCTTTAAAAACGTTGAGACTGTACCTTTAAGTCAAAATACAGAATAATTTGGCAGGTCTAGACCAACTAGAGCACACCTACTAATAATGATTCATGAATTTTCACTTAAGGCTGTGTGATCGGGGCACTGACTATAGCATTCCTGGCCTCGTTATTGACCATTGCCTACATGATGGCTAACTTCAGGTAAGACAACTCTCCAACATGTTGTTAGGAAAACCATGCTTTATGTTGTGTCTTGTTAGCTGTGATAGGGAGTTAGCTATGATTTGGCATGTTCAGCGCCATAAAGAAACCAAGCCCTGAACTCCCAAAGCGATAGTACGTTGAGTAGCTTGATAATTCATAAAACATTTAATTTAATAATATGTGGATAGAGAAACTACATATCTTGACTTTCTTCGTTCTAAATGTGTTTATAAAATATGGCACAGGTGCTGAATTTACTTTTGCCTCGATTTCAATGGGTATTGAACCAAGAGCAGAAAGTAGTAGACATATTAAGCATTTTAATCTGGTTAACTTGGTCAGTATATCGAAGCACTTGTTGAAATTTACAGGGAAAACCTTATGGCAATCCAACGAGGAGACTACTCTAACATTCCGCCTCCATCCAAGAAGGGGAATATTGGCTGGATGGTAGGCCTACAAACGACGCATTTCACACACTTAATCAAACGTGCACGCACTCACACACACACACACCGTGAGTTGTAGCGTCATTTCCAAATACAATAAAACATTTAAAATTGAAATTTTAATGTATGTTGATCAGCGTTAACAGGGAAGTTCGTATATTATTATAAATATGTCAATCATTCACTGTTCTTAGATGGGTTACGTGAAGTTTGCAGGGTTTCAAGTGGCATATATAACATGGGGTGAGTTGCTTTCTTGTAACATTGACGTGTATGTGTGTATATATATGTATATGGTAACAGTAAAAGTAGTTAGTAATTTACATGAATTTTGATAATTTGCATGTGATTTCATACAAGACGAAAACCTAGTTAGAAAAGGTCTCGTAATCCAAACATGAGGTTTGTCACTAAATAGCAGATTTATGAACAATTACCCATCCTATTAGTACGTCTGAATATGGTTATGAGTGACATTGACAATTTGAGAGATTGATATTAGTTTTTTCTTCTCTTGTGGGTTGAATTTCCCATACTGCAGCGAAACAGACCGTTTGGTCAAGGGCTTATCAAATCAAAGCCTACGTCGTAACATGGGGGAGGACGCTACATAACAAAACAAAATTGTTCAATAGCGCCGTTTCCTTTCCAGACATTTAAAAAGGACACACATGGCCTGTCCAGTTTCAAGTTTCTCGTTACGGAGAAATACCTTTTAAAAATTGCACCTTTATTTTAAACTTTATTTGCTACTGTAGGCTACTAATTCTCCTATTAACTTGGGTCTGCCTGTGTATAATTGATATCTTTTTCTTTATAGCCTTCGTTATTCATGCACTTGTCTTGACTGCTGTGTTCGTGCTGATTGGTATAGTGATTGCTCTCCTAGTGATGGAAAACGCCGCAGTAGATATCTTGATTATGATCTTGCAGTACGCATGGTAAGCACGGGCGAACTCGCTCGGTTACTCAGAGCCCACTAGCTATTACACAGTGATAAAAAATAACGTTCAGAGCCCGCATATTTAAATCGGACACTACTTGTGTATTTAAAGATGCGTATTACGAAAAAAACTAAAGTCAAACAATTGCCACTGAACTCAGCCAAGTGCTACGTGTGTATTTTAGCATGATCTTAGGAGAAAAATTCTGAGATATTTTGCTATATCTTAAAGAGGTTTGCTTTTTTTAGGCCATATGCAGTGACTACCATCGTTTTGCTTATAATACAAAGACTTTTGACGTGGTTAGTATTTCTACAAGAGCGAGGGAAGGTTCTTGCTGTAAATAACAGGTAATATAAAATTGAAAAATCGGAGTAATTTATTAAAGCTAGTAATTCTACCTGACGTCAACCTTTGTACCATTTTCGAAAAACTGATGGCGAAACTACTTAAATTGAATATTTATGTATGGTGTCCTTTTTTCAAGATTTAATTAATTTCTGTCCTTGGTGTTTAACTAAGTATTTTACATCCAGCTCATCACATTTTAGGAGTTATAGCTGTGTTTGAAGAATCCAAGTAATGAATAGATTAAACAGCAGAAGGAATTCTCATTGTCTTTTAAGAATATCAGGACCTCACGTTAACCTTAAATCCTGTGTAAGCCCACTTTCCTCTAAAGGTCCTCAGTTTATTTCTTCCATGGGCATCATATGTAAACTGATTCTTCTTCAATTTTTCAGAAACCTGATGTTCAATTTCCTGTTCTTTATGTTCATCTACAACATGTTGCTCGGGCTATTTTCCACTCTCATGCGTATACTTAAGGGCATGGCGGTAGGACTTCTGTTCTTAGGAAGGTTGGACCACAGTACTCTACCAAGACACGCCGACTTGATGCTCGATCCGGGTACGTTTTCAACTCGCTTGGGCCACATCATAGGTCATAGGCCCCTTAGCTTTTCAAGAGCGGTATTAATTTTGGGTGTGGCAGTTAAGTGCATCCACTGGAATAACACATTAGGGGCTGTATATTGATATACACACTCTCCCGTCTTTACCGACGATATCAGAATTAAAATGCCAACAGATAAGCCTACTTGACTTCGTAGCCTATATATATGATAAACGGATATTTTTATGAATGTCTGTGACGCACGTACGATAAAACTAGTTTTTGTAACATTCCAGGCTATGGGGCATACGTCGGCATGCTACACGTGGAAAATGCCCACACACACCCAGTGATGGTTACCTTCGTGCACATTTTGGTCATTGAATTCAATAAAAAGAACGCCGCAAACGATGATCTGGATGACGATCTGACGGTCGTTCACCACACCGAACCGGTCGCCAGCAAGACGGAGAATGGCATCAGTAAGTAGGATCCGATACAGTAGCATTTATTCATTGTTTTTGCGTTAATGCAATTTGTAATAAATTTCAAGATGTTTATTTATTCATTTACAGGGACTTTTGCATTAAACCACATATTCATAATATTCTTCCCCATATCTTACAGAAATGGAGCTCAAAACCCCAGAGGAAGGCGTTACACGTGCTCGAACTCGTTGGCTCCTGGCTTATACGTTGTTGAACAACCCCAAGCTTATATATGAACGAAAAAGAGCTCTAGGACAAACAAGAAAATCTTTTGCCTTTTTGGGTGATGCGGGCGGTGAAGATTTGTCACAGGCAACAAAATTGTAGACAAATGATCAAGTTTGATACTCTGCAAAGAAAAAGAAAGGCTTACGCTATAAAGAGACAGTAGAGCTTGCAAAGATACAGACACCAGACAATGCAAAACATTGCAACATTGTTAACAAAAGAAAAAAGAGGGAAAGAAAAAAATGCAAAGAAAAACTTTTGTAAAAATCTTTTTGTACTGATTTTTGATAAGAAGCTGCATTGTTACTTAACAAAGACGCTTAGTGAATATGAAGTAAAACGAGAATAGGCCTACGACTTGCCACTAATGGATCGAACTTTGCCATAGTTCACGCACAAAAAAAAAAAGCTTCTAAAAATAATCATTTTATGCTTATTTGACAGCAGGCTACGTTTTGTTTTCAAAACGAAGGCACTCAGATAATTTCAAAGCAAAAGTTTGGTTTGGCAATTGTAGCGTGGGCAGCATGGACACACACGATGATCAGAATATATGTAGACAAAAGCAGTGTCTGCATGGAAAACGTCAACCCCACCGCTTCATTTTATCATAACCAAGCACGTTCCAGAAAACACTGAATAAAAAATCCAATGTACATGTACACAGTCACTGGCTTCATGCACAGCGTGTCACTTTTTAGGCTTCAGCATTCATAACCCCCAAGCCAAGACGGAATGTGTTTAAGATTTGAAGTGTTGTGCAGCTCCTTTTCTAGCCAATTTTAACACAAGGTCGTAAACGTATTTAACTCTTATTACTTTTTACATTTTACAGGGTAATGTATTTCCGATATTGTATTTTTTTCTTTTTTGGCCAAATAAATCTTTATCTTTTTAAAAATGACTCGTTCTTTTGCACTGAACTTGCTATTTTACACAAAGTATCAGTTAAAAGAGCGCTTCAACCAAGATATTCAAATAAGTACAGAAAAATTGGAAAATGTTTCCTTCAGTAGCCTACAACCACCCTGAGCTTCAGAGATAACTTGACACTAACCTCTTCACTATAGCCTATCTTCATCGTGTCAAGTTACCTCTGACGAAAATAGTTTGACCTAGTTTATATAAGCCAATCGAATCCATGTTTCAAAATTTTTCACCAAAGTTTGGTGAAAACGCTGATTGGTTGACCGTCAATCGGCAATCCTCGGCTGATTCCGCAAGCTCCATACTTACAACANTCCGATATTGTATTTTTTTCTTTTTTGGCCAAATAAATCTTTATCTTTTTAAAAATGACTCGTTCTTTTGCACTGAACTTGCTATTTTACACAAAGTATCAGTTAAAAGAGCGCTTCAACCAAGATATTCAAATAAGTACAGAAAAATTGGAAAATGTTTCCTTCAGTAGCCTACAACTAAACAAAAAACAATTTTGACACGATTTTAACATCAAATAACCCTCAGCACACGACACAATATAGATCTATAGGATTAAAGAACAATTCGGACGTAGAGTGACTACTGATCAGATGATGGGTTGTCTGAAGAAGAGGTGGCAAGGAATCTTGAACGATTTTCAGGGATGAGATTTTTCCGACTGTAAGGGTGGATTTCCGACTCTTTGGGTGCCCAATAGCCCTATTCCTGGATTTTTCAAAGAGCAAGACTTTAAAACTACATAATCTGGATTTCATGAGCTGATGTGTCCGATGTCTCTAGGAATAAAACACACACTTGAAACCTCCACGTGATTGTTCTTATTTGTAAGAGGAGACCTGTTTAATCTCAATGTGTTAATTAGTTGTTTTTTAATTAATTAATTTTGCAAAATCAGACTTGGGCCAGAGATTATCAACATCCACCCTCTTGATGCCGAATTCCTTGCATGCAAGTGTTGAATCCCGGTGATATTAAACTACATGGTGGAAGACTGGAAGGCACAAATGTGATTTTCTGAAATAAAGTAGTGTATTCAACAGGCACATCCTAGTCATATCTACATGTTTTTCGACCGCGAACATTCTTGAACAATTTTTGTCACAACCTATCCCAAGATGGGAGAGTCTATTCGGTGTTAAAAGGCGGCTGTCATGGGATATCATGTTTGCATGGACTTTTTGTTTAAGCTTTTTGGGCAATCATTGTACGGGGACCATCCATATATATGAATATACTTTTACCCCGGTAAAGGGCATATGGGGGGGGGGGGGGGGGCGTGTCAGACACTTAGACCCCATTCCCAGAGATTAGATTGATCCAACTAGATCGACCTAACTCCCTGGGGGTTTACGCTAAATAGCTGTCAGCCGAGCGGGCACGAAAGTTAATTACCCTCTTACAGCTTGTAGTAGGCCGGACGGACATTTAAGCCGGATTATCTGACAGTAATCTAGTGAGACTCCCCACGGGGATAGATCGATCTAAAATCTATGGGAATGCGAAGCTGATCACACTGACTGCACTTTATAGGGAGAACTCCCGCAGAGATAGATCGATCCTGCTGGTACAGTAACTTTATTCTGAACTTGCTCAAAACCTTGTAAATGTTCTCTGTGTTGCCAAAGTCGTTTTACCCTCGAGCACAACTCTTGAAAAATAAGCTTTTTTTTAGTGTAAAGAATCATATTGCACCGCCAGGTTGTTGATTTATGACGGTCTATCTGCGTCTCCCTCGTCCTCCAGAAGAAGAGCAACTACTGCCCTCTAGCGGCAAAAAATAAATATGTTCTTTGGCCTTGAACTTTGTATGTATTCAACCAATGGAATCGCGCTATTTGAAATCTGCGGTAAAGTTGAACAGGAAAGAAACATGAAAACCGATTCAAAACAGTAAAGTGAAGATAACCTCACGAGGAGATGGAAAACTGCCCTGGTTTTAATCAAGGTTTGATCATGTCATTACTATCTAACGGATATTTGGTTACGTCAAGCTAACCAGCTATCTCTTGTTACAGTATTGTAGAGTCTAAGTTGTTTACAAAAGATGTTTGGGTGTCGGGGTTTCACCCGAATTAGGACTAATTTTTAAGCCTTTTTTTTGTGATTGATCAAGTGGTTAATTTCATTGCAGTATTTGGCTTATCCTTTGGGATGTGGACTTTATTTGAGTTGTGTGAGATACTGGAAGCAGTAATTTAAATGCGTTACTCTACACTTCAGGGAATCTACGCTTGCTTCATTTAAAACTTGGTTTTTTAGATAAGTTACTCAGCAGGGAGGCTCGTCTACAGAAATGGAGGCAGCAGAAGCCAGTCCGCATACCTTTGAAGACAACACAACGGTCAACACAACATGATAACACAGACAATAAAGTGAGCACGGAGAGAAAGTAAGGAAAAAATTTGTATTAACACTCAAAAAGAATATTTGTGATTTTCTGTTAAATAAAAAAGGACTCAAAAATGGATAAAGGCAATGAAGTTTTACAAAGTTTTGATAACTAACAGCCGGGGAGCCACTGGCCCATATGACCGTTATTTTCCCAATTATTAGATAGTAGCCTCGTTTTCAAATAGGCCCGCTTCGCCTTGAGAAAATATGGCGGGAATCAGAGGCATAGAATAGGGTAAGATTAAAAGGTGATTATAGAATGACTGTAGAGGTNTTGCTACTAAAAGATGCTTTTCTTTCTATGCCACGCTCTAAACAATTTATGTATCAGTGTCACTTTCATCATTTGTTTAAAACCTGTTTGTCTAAATCCTATTGATGGATATATATTTAAACAATAATAATAATAATAATAATAATAATAATAATAATATTAACTTCATAGAAAAATGAATTGCCTAAAGGTTTCAAATCAGTATTAAACCTTTTGGCAATTCATTCTTGAGAGTAAGATTATATGGCATTTCAGACTAGGATTAAAAACTTTGAAGTTGTCAGAAAAAGATGGTCCTCAAAGGGTCAAGAGACCAGTGGAAGACACCTTGAGCATGAGGTAAACATTGGAATATATATATCTGGTCAATTAGTTGTTGTAAAACACCCAATCTGAAAGTATGTATATTTCAATTTTGAAATATAAAGTATACAATTTTGTACAACAGACAGTGTGTCTGAATATATTCCGATCTGTCTGTCTGTGATGTCACTGAAATGGTCCTTTCGTTGTCCGAAATGATATTTTATTTTTATTTTATTTGGGTATGTTTATCTATTTTTTCTGGTAATTCTTAACATTTACTGGATTTCTTTGAAAGATTTAAAAAACAGGAGTAGACAGAAAACTTGATCAGTATAAGCGGGTTCTGCCAAAAGAAAAAAAAAAAAAAGATTAGCAACCTGGCTTGAAGTTTGAATATCTCTAGCCATATATATTTATAAATCTTAATTTTAGAGAAAAGCTTGAGTTATGGAAGCAGGAGAAGAGGCAAAAGCAAGAGGAAAGGACTCAATCTGTTACAGGGTAATTTCACACTTCTTAAACAATTGGTTCCATGTGGAATGCTTTCTCTTTTCATATCAGGGAAGAAAGCATGTCTTGTAAAGACTGTGATATGGTTGAGAAAACTGTTAGAAAGTTTTCCTGTGTATATAATCCTCTTTGGGTTTTATATATATCATTGTTTATATTTTTAAAAGAAACACGATAAAGTATATGAAATATCATATAAGATTAATGTTTCATATTCCAGGAAGAAAGTGTTCAAACCATCTGGGGTGTTCAGGGCAGGTTCCAATGCAGGAACGCTTACATGTCCAACCAACCCCAAGTCCTCAGAGGCGACCAAGAGTTCAAATGCCTCTAATACAAAAACCAGACCAAGTAGCGGTCAGGCTCCGCAGGAGATGCACCTGTGTAAAGAGAACAAGGCCCTTGATTTCTTGAAGACCAATAAACGTAGACTGTCCTTTACTATTCAAGAGGGGGCTTCGCCTCTGGTGAAGGAATCCCAGCTTGCTGCCAGTGTCAGCAGGGATGGTGTGGGTATCAATGCAGATGTGAACCAAAAGGATAATGGGAATTGTGGTGATTCTGTCAAGGGGAAGACCAAGCGCCAGTCACTGAGTACAAAACACAGGTTATCATTTGGGGCAACTGTCAATGTGGGTGTGGTAGCAGTGTCTGACAAGAGGAAGTCCATGTCTACTAATAAAAGATACTCCTTGGCTGCTCAGGCCATGCAGTCACGATCTGGACTAGCCAACAAGAGAAAGTCTCTGCCTGTGCAGAGTGTTAGGTCTGGAAAACCAGGATTGAAAGCATCACACTGTAGGCAGCAGGGTGAAGGTAGTTTACCTGGGAAAGTCAAGCTGGCAGCTGGTGCTGAAAGTTGTGTGTTGTCACAGAAAGGTAAGTTTGCTGCACCCAACCTAAAATCTACGGGATCAGGTGGGACACTTGAAGTGTTTTTTTTTTTTTTTGTGTGGCCCACATATTGGTAACTTGCAACAAAATATTTGGCCAATGTGATATTTATAAATATATGACACTTCAGATTGAATATTTAATGGAAAGCAATTATAGAAGAATAAATTAACTTTTGTTAACTGGTTAATCGATTTTATTGTGCATTTATTTATCAAATTTCATTTATTTGTTTTTAGGCCCTGGTAAGAATAAAGGAGACATCAGAGGATCCAGTGTGATGCCAGTACTTGCAAAGAAACGGGCATCTCTGGAAAAGAAGAGTATCAGAAAGGCTCCGACACTGGCATCTGTCATCAGACGGTCATCACTCAGCAAAAGAAATCACATGAAACTTCAGAAAGGTCGTAGGCAGACCATGGCTGCCCTGCCCAGCCAAGTTACCCAAGGTAGTAGCCATGTAATGACAAGCAACATTTATAAGTAAAAACTTTGCTTTATTGAATCCAGGTGATGGTTAGACTCTGAGATAGACTTTCTATCTTACTTTTTAGTATAATATCTGTTGATTAGACATTTTGTTATGTTTGTGTGAAATGTCATTGCTAGATAGTTTGTGTAATCGATTTTCAGTGGTAGATGTGATATAATTATTATACCAGTTCAAGTTTAAACTCTCCTTCATGTTGTTGGTCCCTGATTAGAAATTTTATTATGTTACTGTGAAATATCATTGCATGATAGTTTTTGTAATCTATATTCAGCGGTAAATATGATATAAATTATTATACCAGTTCAAGTTTAAACTCTCCTTCATGTTGTTGGTCCCTGCATGTTTTCATGGTATTGTTGGTTTAAGGTTGTCATGGTATAGATATTCCACATTCATACCATTTCGGGGACCAGTAAGGTGATGTGTTCATGATAGGAAGGCCAGTTTTTAAGTTTTCACCCCAAAATGGTCTTGTATATCCTGTAAAAATATTAACCATGGATGATAAGTACATACAGCACTTGAACTTTTTCATAAATGTATAGAAAAAAACAAAATTTTCAAAAAAGATGTGTCTGCACGTCCATGATACTGCCTGGGTAACAATATTGGGACATGGGCATCAAAATTTCAACATGGACCTGATCTCTGCTTTCCACTTAGATAATGCATCATATCTTGTTTTATATTAATGAATTTTGGAAAAGGTACTGAAACATTAAACACATACAAAAATTATCAGGAAAGAGTACACCTAACTTCACAGAGAGTTGGGAAAGCATGCTGCGATCCTGAATCAGCAATTAAACAGGGATGACATGAAATAGATTTTCATAAGTTATATGCCAAAAAGTGGGAACCAGATATAGCTAATTTAATTATTCTTATTAAATATTTATGTGACTGGGTCATTGCATTATCAGTGTAAATCTGCACTATTTATGCCAAGTCCCTGGGCCAAATCTGAATGGGGAAAGTAAACTACACACTAGCTGTGGTTTCGCTCTCGTGTGTGTCTGAAGGAAACAAAACAGGATTGGGTCATAACATCTGTGACAACACACTCAGATGACAGGATTTCCTTACACATTGTTTTATGAAAAGCAGAGTGTGTTAAAGGCATTAAAATCAAAAATTGAATAATTTGTATAGTTTAAGTGTATGGGATATAATACTTTGTTCTGAAGTTGAAAATGGACGCGATGGTAACGCACAACTTGTTTTCTCCACCTGTCAAAATTTGCGTAATGCAATTTTTTTCCAGTGTGTGTACAGTAAAGAAACTTGACAATACTATTCTGAGAGCTTTCTTTTCCATAATGTACAGCTGCAAAACAGACAGGTATGTCTGTGTCCTAGAATTAAGTGCTTTTTAGTGTCATTTCTAGAATTTCAAGAATTAAAAAGTTTAAAATACACAGCAATGTTTGGAAACACAAAATTGTTATAATAAGAAAAACCCATCCCCTTTCATATGAAAGCACCCCCATTGTTATCCAACACATAGGGATATTTTGACAGACTTTCAAAGCTGATAACTCTTTGTTGTTACCCATTATTGTGGATGTGCAGATATGTGAAAGCACTTTGTTAAAAAAATCATACCCCACTTTATTTATATCAGTAAAACGTTATATCAAATTATAATTAATTTACCTGTTATGTTAAGGTTTGATGGAGGCTTGTAATCTGGTGACACTTTTGCATTACTGTCATCTTTGCCTCCTCCAACAAATTCACAGTGATCTTCTCCTGTACCAGAACCATCACCTATGTTAAGGAAGGTATCCTTCAGATTGTCATTTAGGAAAATCTTATATCGCAATGGATTACAGAGAACTACTCCCACATATTTTCCAGGGTTGTAGCCACTTAGTTTGACATACTGATCTCCATGGCAATCATTCCAGCGGTCATCATAGCTGAAGGCAAATCTTGTCCACTGGGTTGCACTGTTTATCGCCGGGATGCTTGGAACATTGCCTTTTTGAATTTCAAGCACCTTTTTTTCAAGATGGGAGATTTGTGCAGTGATATTAGCCAGCCTTTGTTCCGTCTCTCTACCATGAGCCACACATTGGGCAAGTTCTAGCCTCAGTGCAGTGGTGATGCTTTCTATTACCTTATAATCTCTTGACATGTCATTTTTTAAGTCTTGTAAAGTGTAGTTTAGTTCTGCTATTTCTGTAGCGGTTTGACCCTTCAAGACCTGCACAGTGGAGTTGAGGATGGCGATTTCTCTGGTGGTGTGGTTTTCTAAGACTTGCACGGAGTTGTTGAGTTTCTCCATGGACCGCTGTAGCTCTAGGTCACAACTGCTCTGTACTTTGGGTACCTGGAAACTGTACACACATTGGTCAGTTGGAATTGCCTGGCTGTGTGCAGCAAGAAGACTGCATACTAGTAGGACAATAGCTGCAGAAGTTGATGCCATTGCTTCTAGACTTGGTTACAGTTGGAATGACAATTTGGAATTTGCATGCTGCTTATGTGATGGTGTCTAGGGATAATTTATCTGGGGGTGATTTTTAGTTCTTGGGATATGTAAATAGATCTTAAAACAATGTTCTTATTTGTTAATCTTGGGAGAGGCAGTTTTTCTCTGATAAATATTAATGATTAATCTTCTTTGTCTGACATGCTATGTGTGAAAAATGTAAGGTTCACAATGAAATGTTAGATGTAGGTAACATTTTGAAACCTGGGTTATTTTGGAGATAACAGAGATCACGTACATTCAGATAAATGACCTCCTTTTTTATTTTTTGCAAGACAAAGAACTCGAGAGGTACAATGTACACTGTTAAGGATAAGGGGACGCAAACAAGACAAGTTAATTATTATATAGTAAAATTCATATATGACATAAAAAGGACAAGTTTTATAGAGTGATCTCCCATTATTCATACCCCTGAAGAATCTTACAAATTTTGCAATACAAAAATTCAAATAAAAATTTCAGTATTACACTGAAGATAGTAATAAAGTAAAATATCTTATCCTCTTTTGTGAAATAGTAGATGTTTTTTCATGGGAATGGCTCTAAATAAAAAGTGTGGTAAAATTTTAATATTGGCTTGTCTTTCAGTGGTCCCCAAATCTGCCATGAGAAAATCTTTAGCTCCCACAATTACTTCAAATGTGAGGACAGATGTAGATGGCGCTGAAGGTAATAGGGTGGGAGTGGTTATGCCAAATGTGCGCAATGTACGTTTTGTCACACCTGTTGGTTCAAGTACAAGAACTCATGGAACTCTGAGGAAAACCCCTCGTGTTGAAACGTCCATGAGGTGAGGAATGAGTCCCAACAATACAAATCAAACTTTTCTGAAAGGCAGTAAACATTTTAGAAACATTTCTGGAGGTCTTTTGACATATCTTCACGTGAAATTGATTTTTGGATATTAAAAGTGAATCCTTTTCAGTTTTGTTTAATCTGGCCTTTTTTGCCAGTACAGAAATTACTACATCTAAATGTGTGTCACAGGCAAAACTTTTATTTACATGCAAAACTGTAGTCAGTATTCTATAATAACTTATATGATCTTAATTTCAGAGAAAAATTAGACTCCTGGCTAAAAGCAAAAGGCAAGACTCCTTCCAGGTTCAGACATCTAATGTTCTTTGGTGCCCACCTCTCTGCCAAACAAAAGGGAAAGCAAAAGGAACCAGCCACTAAGAGATCCCTGTCAGTGGCAGAACTAACAGAACAGGTACAGATCAAATGACATGTGCACATCTTTTAATATTGATAGATGGAGCCCATGCTACCTTGGGTCATGTAATTTGTGTACTTTACTTTTTATGCAAGAAAATAAATCTTTACTTGAAATTTATTTCTGCTTTAGATAGGAATTAAAAGTCTCCCTTAAAAACTGTGATAATTTTTTTTTCAGCAAGCACACATGGCAGCTGAATCGGAGGATGTGTTGAGGCAGAATCTGAACTTTGATTCTGAGGAGGAGGAGGAGGAGGAGGAGAGAGAAGACAGTGGGATACAGTCACAACTCCGGGACATGCTGGAAGAGTGTACCACACTTTATGAAGCTGTAAGTTACTAGTAAATGTTGGATGGCTGTGAGGCACAGCTTTTATTGTAAGAATAGATATAAGACATTGCAATCAGCGTGAATGGTAGTGTTCCGTCATGTAAAACATGATGGTGGAATATATGACGCTTCATTTTCTGAGGCCCATAATGCTGTATTCATTTTAAATATACTTTTAATATTGTAATATGGAATCGATGCTAAAAAATAAGTACATATTTATTGTAAATCTGGTGAATTTTATCTTTTCGAATTTTTTTGTTTATTTTTACATAAATGCTTTGTATCAACTCATTGTACTGCAAACGTTTATTATAACACTTTCATTCAATTATTGCTTCTTTTAAACACATTCTCTGTTCTAGTTCAATTAAATCTTTTTCCCCCCAACTCTACAGGGCTGTCCAGCACCCAGTATATTTTCATGGCTTGATGAGATAGAGTCCAGTGTGTCCACTGCTCGGCGGTCAGCAGAGTATTGGGTGGTCAGAGCCAAAGTGACCGAGGGGTCAGGTTCAGAAAATGATGTCTTGGATGTGTTTGAAGAAGCAATGAAGGCTGATGCTAAGGTGAGGGCATTGTCTGTTATAAAAGTTTTGTTTAATATCATGATTTTGCTTGTATCAGCTAAAAAGCAGGGGCACCCTGAGTATTTTTATTTACTTATATTGCCTAATATGCAGTGTTGCGTGAATGCACTAGTACATAACTGTAAAAAGTTCAGTTTATACCTAAAATTTCTAGTAGGAATTTTTTTAGATGTGCTATGCACATTTTGAATATATTAAAGGGCCTGAATTTATGAATTATGTTGGCTTTTTCAGTCTGCAGATTTTGTTTAACCTTAAATAAGGATTTGTGTTGTATTCTGTCTAGCCTCCTGAGCCAATAGTTCAGGCCTTGCAGGAGTTCGTTCTGAGAATGGAGGAAAGATGCAAGTCCAAAGGTATAGCCATGACACCACGGCAACCACTTCTAGAGATAGGCAATATCAGTAAGGATAAAACCACAACACCAAGCCATCTACAGGTGAAGGAAGGAAATGTGTTCGAGTCTTCTGCTATCAAGTACTGCATCAAAGAACAGACGCCTTATTTTCAGAGGTGAGATTGCAGTTGGGAAAACTTGGTTGGCAGCATTTTTGTTTCTGGCATAATTACCAGCTTAAACACATGACATGGCCAACTTTATAGTGAACAGCAGTGATTAGACTTAAGCAACAAAGTACAGAAAAGTGAATAAATAACAGATGGACTGTAATGAATGGAAAGATATTTGGTATGCTCATTGATAGTTATTTATTGGTCTTGATCATGGTGATTTCTGTGCAATGCCACAGTCAGAGATGAGATTTTTCCGACTATTGGCAGATTTCAGACATTTTGGGAGCCTAAAATGATATTGGTCTAGGCAACCACCAGGACTCCACATCATTTTTTTTCCAACCTTTTTTTTTTCACTAAAAGGCAGTCTCATAAATGGACAATGCATTTCGGTTGCATTGTTGCAACTGACACCACCCCCATTGTGTCAGGGTACAGATTAAAAATTATAACCAATTTTCTAATTTTTTGGTCATTTTAGGTTGAAAGCTGCAGTGTCCGATTCCGTACAGTCTCCGATACATTTATGTGCAGTTGTGACCCCTGTCAGAAGGTCAACACGGAAAAGTTGTGCTAACCTTCCCAGAATGCTCCTGGATCACGACACTGTAGTGTCCAGTGTCAGTGATATCCCAGAGGACATGAAGGAAACTGTGCTGTTTAAACCAAACAAGGCACTAAATATGAAGTTAGAGGACAGCATTGCGCAAGAGCAGCCAGTAGAGTCTCAATAAGCTGTAGATAATAATGTGTCTTTAGCTCATTACATATGAAATATTGTGCTTTTTACTGGGACATGGGTTTCTTTTTTTACGTGGCACCCATAAATATGCTTTTACAACACATATTGCAGCAGCATGTTTTGTGTGCATAAGAGACAAATTGTTCTGTGCTTGTCTTGTTTTGGAATGCTCCATTTTCTATGTGTTTGCTTTTTGGTGCAAATAATCGTATATTGTTAATGTATAATATTATGAAACTATATACTCATAAAGGTCTTTTTTTGGGGAGATTTTAAGGTAGCATTGCATATTTTATTTGCAATTTTTTAATTTTATTAACATGTAACTGAACATATTACATTTTACCTACACTGGGAACCAGTACAGAAATTTGTACACTTATATATTGTAGCATTTTGACTGTGCATGGAAGATTTGGAAATTGTGTATTATGTAAAAAGTAAAACTGTTAAATCTGGTTGTAAAAAGATTGTGATTTCGTATTCACAGGCTAAAATGTTTTCAAGTTTTTCCGTTGTTTTTGATCCAGTAAGAACAAACACCTGATATGTATATTTGTAAATTTTTTATTAGTTTTTCCAGGAAAAAAGGATTGGTATGTTTCTTCTGCACTTTCATAATTAATCTATTACTGGTCCATATTATATCAAATAGCATCAGGCAGCAAGTATTGCACATTTTGACTGTATTAGTATGCTTTGATTTTCAATTCATTTTAAATATGCCATTTAGCATCTAAAAAAAGTTAACTGGTTCTGGTACTTCTACATTGTTCATAGTTTTGTAAAATCTACCTGTAATATGGTTGAGGAAAGTAGCTAATTGGTCCCTTACCTCATCATCTTTTAAGTTATGTTAAAAAATTCTTATACTTGATGTCATAACAATAAAAAGTGGGAAAAAGGTCAAAACCATTCTATGAAAATATTCATGTTATAGATGTTTGGGGGCAGAAACTTATACACAGTCTGTTTTCAAGTTCACAGAAACGATCATTATATTGCCAAATGTTCATAATTTTAATGGTATTGTTTACCTTGGGCACATAATAAATAATTATTATGTATATTTGTACCACCAGCGTAGGCGCNCGTAGTCAGTATTCTATAATAACTTAAATGATCTTAATTTCAGAGAAAAATTAGACTCCTGGCTAAAAGCAAAAGGCAAGACTCCTTCCAGGTTCAGACACCTAATGTTCTTTGGTGCCCACCTCTCTGCCAAACAAAAGGGAAAGCAAAAGGAGCCAGCCACCAAGAGATCCCTGTCAGTGGCAGAACTAACAGAACAGGTACAGATCAAATGACATGTGCACATCTTTTAATATTGATAGATGGAGCCCATGCTACCTTGGGTCATGTAATTTGTGTACTTTACTTTTTATGCGAGAAAATAAATCTTTACTTGTAATTATTTCTGCTTTAGATAGGAATTAAAAGTCTCCCTAAAAAACTGTGATAATTTTTTTTTCAGCAAGCACACATGGCAGCTGAATCAGAGGATGTGTTGAGGCAGAATCTGAACTTTGATTCTGAGGAGGAGGAGGAGGAGGAGGATAGAGAAGACAGTGGGATACAGTCACAACTCCGGGACATGCTGGAAGAGTGTACCACACTTTATGAAGCTGTAAGTTACTGGTTATTAAATGTTGGATGGCTGTGAGGCACAGTTTTTATTCTAATAACAAAAATAAGACTTCGCAATCAGAATGAATGGTAGTGTTCCATGTATAACATGATGGTGAAATGTATGACACCATTTTCTTAGACCCATAAAACTATATTTATTTTAAATATGCTTCTAATATTGTAATATGGACTCGATGTTATTCTGTCTAATACTCATTTTGATATAACTGTTCTGTTGATATGTAAAAGTCATTTGTACACTTTTAAGAAAAAATAGTACATATTAACTGTGAATCTGGTCAATTTGATCTTTTCTTGTTTTTTTGTTTATTTTTATAAATATGCTCTGTATATGTACTCATTGTATTGCAAACATTTATTATAACACTTTCATTCAATTATTGCTTCTTTTAAACACATTCTCTGTTCTAGTTCAATTAAATCTTTTTCCTCCCAACTCTACAGGGCTGTCCAGCACCCAGTATATTTTCATGGCTTGATGAGATAGAGTCCAGTGTGTCCACTGCCCGGCGGTCAGCAGAGTATTGGGTGGTCAGAGCCAAAGTGACCGAGGGGTCAGGATCAGAAAATGATGTCTTGGATGTGTTTGAAGAGGCAATGAAGGCTGATGCTAAGGTGAGGGCATTGTCTGTTATAAAAGGTTTGTTAAATATGATGGTTTCACTTGTATCAGCTAATAAGCAGGGGCACCCTGAGTATTTTTTTACTTATATTGCCTAATATGCAGTACAGCATGAATGCACTAGTATATAACTGTAAAAGATTTAGTTTATACCTAAAATATCTAGTAGGAATTTTTTTTAGATGTGCTATGCACATTTTGAATATATTAAAGGGCCTGAATTTATGAATTGTGTTGGCTTTTTCGGTCTGCAGATTTTGTTTAACCTTAAATAAGGATTTGTGTTGTATTCTGTCTAGCCTCCTGAGCCAATTGTTCAGGCCTTGCAGGAGTTCGTTCTGAGAATGGAGGAAAGATGCAAGGCCAAAGGTATAGCCATGACGCCACGGCAACCACTTCTAGAGATAGGCAATATCAGTAAGGATAAAACCACAACACCAAGCCATCTACAGGTGAAGGAAGGAAATGTGTTCGAGTCTTCTGCTATCAAGTACTGCATCAAAGAACAGACGCCTTATTTTCAGAGGTGAGATTGCAGTTGGGAAAACTTGGTTGGCAGCATTTTTGTTTCTGGCATAATTACTATCTTAAACACATGACATGGCCAACTTGATAGTGCAAAGCAGTGATTAGACTTAAGCAACAAAGTACAGAAAAGTGAATAAATAACAGATGGACTGTAATGAATGGAAAGATATTTGGTATGCTCATTGATAGTTATTTATTGGTCTTGATCATGGTTTCTGTGCAATGCCACAGTCAGAGATGAGATTTTTCCGACAATTGGCAGATTTCAGACATTTTGGGAGCCTAAAATATTATTGGTCTAGGCAACCACCAGGACTCCACACCATTTTTTCCAACTTTTTTCACTAAAAGGCAGTCTCATAAATGGACAATGCATTTCGGTTGCATTGTTGCAACTGACACCACCCCCATTGTGTCAAGGTACAGATTAAAAATTATAACCAATTTTTCTCATTTTTTGGTCATTTTAGGTTGAAAGCTGCAGTGTCCGATTCCGTACAGTCTCCGATACAGTTATGTGCAATTGTGACCCCTGTCAGAAGGTCAACACGGAAAAGTTGTGCTAACCTTCCCAGAATGCTCCTGGATCACGACACTGTAGTGTCCAGTGTCAGCGATATCCCAGAGGACATGAAGGAAACCGTGCTGTTTAAACCAAACAAGGCACTAAATATGAAGTTAGAGGACAGCATTGAGCAAGAGCAGCCAGTAGAGTCTCAATAAGCTATAGATAATAATGTGTCTTTAGCTGATTACATATGAAATATTGTGCTTTTTACTGGGACATGGGTTTCTTTTTTTATGTGGCACCCATAAATATGCTTTTACAAATATTACAGCAGCATGTTTTGTGTGCATAAGAGACAAATTGTTCTGTGCTTGTCTTGTTTTGGAATGCTCCATTTTCTATGTGTTTGCTTTTTGATTCAAATAATCGTGCATTGTATAATATTATGAAATTTTATACTCATAAACGTCTTTTCTTTTGGGGAGATTTAAGGTAACATTGCATATTTTATTTGCAATTTTTAAATTTTATTAAAGGGATAATAACACTTCGTATGAGATCTATATTTCATAGTAAAAAAATTGTGAATAACTCTTAGAAATATAATATATTCTGTTTTACCACAAAAACGGCAGTTATAGCTTTTATTCTGATATCTTAGCTTGTCTTTAGACCACGTGACCTCCATTGATGGCTATACTCTGTTAAAATCTCTTAAGAGATTTTAACAAAAAACCAAACTTTTTAGAAAAAAACCAGGGACTAACTTTGAATGTAAAAATGGATTCATTAACCATTGGTAAGTATGGGAAAATTGTTGTTTACTCCAGGAAAATTCATTTTTTGGCCGAAACAAAGAGTTATTATCCCTTTATCACATAACTGAACATATAACATTTTACCTACATTAGGAACTAGTACAGAAATTTATACACTTACATATTGTGGCATGTTGACTGTGCATGTAAGATTTGGAAATTGTGTATTATGTAAAAAGTAAAACTTCCTGATTGTAAAAAGATTGTGATTTCGTATTCACAGGCTAAAATATTTTCAAGTTTTTCAGTTGTTTTTGATCCAATAAGAACAAACACCTGATATGTATATTTGAAAATTTTTTTATTAGATTTTCCAGGAAAAAGAGGATTGATATATTTCTTCTGCACTTTCCTATTTTATCTATTTCTGGTCCATATCATAGCAAATAGCATCAGGCAGCAAATATTGCACATTTTGACTGTATTTGTGTGCTTTGATTTTCAATTCATTTTAAATATGCCATTTAGCATCTAAAAAAAGTTAACTGGTTCTGGTACTTCTACATTGTTCATGGTTTTGTAAAATTTACCTGTAATGTGCTTGAGGAAAGTATCTAATTGGTCCCTTACCTCAACATCTTTTAAGTTATGTTAAACATTTCTCATACTTGATGTCATAACTATAAAAAGTGGGGAAAAGGGTCCAAATCATTCAATGAAAATATATTCATGTTATAGATGTTTGGGGCAGAAACTTGCACACTGTTTGTTTTCAAGTTCACAGATACATGTCCATTATTTTGCCAAATGTTCATAATTTTAAAGGTATCATTTACCTTGGGCATATAATATAATAATTATTATGTATTTTTTAATCGGCATTTTTGCCAAATAGAAAACTTAACCTTTTATAAAGGAAAAGTTTGCCAGTGTGAACCCTAGTGTGGTGAAAGTTTACTCAAGATCTGCACAAACTCTGCTTTTCATTATCACTGGTAAATCACCCAATTTCTTTCAGAGGATGAGAATATTGTTTTATGTGAATTTCTGTCCTCAGTGATATTACATCTTTCATCACAGTCTTGGTTCTAAAAGTCAACAGTGTACATTGTGTAAATAAATGTGTAAGCTTAATTGACCATTTTGATATTATATTGTGCTGAGTATTTTATATGCTTAAATTTTCCTTTGATTTTTGATGTTTTAACATTGCATTCTTCCCAAAGGCTGTTCTGTATTTTGCAAAAAAAAAAAAAAAAAGGGGGGGGGGGGGGGGTAAGTATTTTTAATCAAAATGAGTTTTGTGACTGATAATATTTTAACATTAAATTTTGACATGATCGTCATAAGTTGTAAGGACAACAAAATTCAAACTCGGGCATGGACCAATATACTTCAAAGAGATTTTAAAAAAATTCCAATTGGAGCAACCCAAAATCCCAAATGCATTAAATTACACCAAATTAAATGAATAAATGATGGTCTGAGGAAAATTAACTGAAAATATGTACTCAAAACTCACTTCATGAAATAATATCTCGCACTTAATTAAGCCCCCATGCCTTAAAAAGTTTGACTGTCCTTTCATGTAGTGTACCCCAAGATTGGACTGGTCCCACAAAGGAAAAGAAACCCATACTTAGGTATTATTTTGAACCTGATTCCCTGCAATTCAATCATTTTGAATGAAGCTGAAACTAGATATGTTTGAAAATATCAAAGTACTAATTGTGCTCCAGTTTCCCTGCAATTCGGTCACAAACCTGCCCTATAAACTAATGGCTAGTGCCAGTATAACTTTTGATTTAGTAAAAACAGATCAACAAATAAAATGAAACAAATTAACAATAACCTGGCCACATTTGACGAATACACATTTTCCATCTCAACCAGATCAGTTTAAAAAAGTAGAAGATATTTTCAAATAACATGGCAAACTCGGTGTTACAAGTAGATGGAGTTCACCAGCACACAAAAACACCAGTAGAGGGCACTGTTGAGTCTTGGTCAGTTATCCACAGTACAGTACAGATCTAGTGGTCTTGTGTCCACCAGGCTGACTTGTGATCCGGTGACCAGTTTTCTGGCAAAAGTGTCTTGAAATCTATAGGCTGGAAATACTCTAGCCTATGACTGGAAAACAACAAATACAAGCCTATTTAACCTTCATTTTCAAAGTACCTTTAGTTGTTCAGTATTGCTTGTTTTCTAAAGACGGCTGATAGCTGATAAGAGTGACTATAACATATCAGTAAAACATGGACACAATGGAGAGAGAATCACCTACCCATTCAGGTTATTAATTGTTTATGGGTAGGCTGATTGATCAGTATTTAACAAAAAAAAAAAAAAAATTAAATCAGATGCAAAGATATCTTACATACTTTATTATAAATAAACCCAAATGATAAATTTAGACATCACTTTGTTTTTTTTAATGAGCATGGATTATATTTTGTCTTCCTTACAAATCGGGTTCTGTATGTTTTCCTGCATCAACTGGGTAGAGTGCCTCAAAGTGTCTCTCTTTATTGCAGTTGTGTATGGCGTAGGCATTGAACTTGGTCACTTTGGGAGGAAAATAAGGCAGCGGGATTAGAGCACTACCTGTCCACTTCTTATCTTCAATATTGGCACTGAACTGAAGGGGCAGTTTATCCTTGGAATAGAAAATCAACAATATTAATGGAGAATTGAAGAATTATCTCAATATGAAATTATATAAAAGCTTTGATATGATGATGCTGACCAACATTTGAAACATGAAACATGTGAGTTTTATGTCATCTGAACAAGCTCCAAAAACATACCTTAAAACATTTCCTAACACCATTCAGCATAAGGACTAAGTGGTGGCCATATCTTCAAAAATAACGAAATCATTAAAAACCTTTTGGTCAGGTATATATTATGTGTAGTTGTTAGAATGCTATTCACATAAAATTAGCTATTAAAGCACAACATTTTGTTTCAATTTTGTGTCCCTAATCAAATTGTAACTGACAACAAAACTTAAGCCATTGAAAAGGTTCTTTCATTAATAAGTTAAACAGCTTATTTATTCTCTAAAAAATATGTTGTCATACTTACGGTGAAAACTCCACTTCTAAGTACTGGTTGTCATCATTCAAGAAAAATGCCTCAACAACTAAAATACATAGAATGAGTACACTAAATAGAGTCAAAAGGTCAGCAAGCTAATAAATATCCATTTTTTTTCTTTTTTGCTTAGGTTTATATGTTAAACTATTACAATTATGTGTAAGTGCAATGGTAATAGAGTTTTTTATCTTTTTACTAGTATATTATTTTAGACACATTTAAGAAGATTTCTTAATATGTATCCTGGCACCTACACCCTCTTCTCTATTTTGATTTGTTTGTAACCAAAGAACAGCATAACACACAACATTTGCATCTGACCCAGTGTCCCTCTTCACCAACTATAAAACAAGAACTGCCAATTACCTTCTCCCTCATCCCACAGCTGTGGAAATGGCTGACCAGGCTGTCCTGCAGGGCTGGGTGTGTTGAAGAAAGGAGACATGATCTCAAGCTTTAAGTCCCCGCCATGCTTCTGTAGGGACAACTCAGTGGACAGGTGGTCAAGAGGCTGACCATTCCAGTGACAGTTAATGTGGTATGTAAGAAGCCTGGGATGATATGATATATGAAACACTTGAACCTTAAAGGTTTCCAATTCATTTGAGTGCAGTAAAAACTGCTTTCATAGATTGAGAGGTTGTCTAAGAAAAGCGCATAATAAGCATCATACAGCTGATCTTAATCATGGATAAGGCTGCCATTTAGTGAAAAAGTCAGATTATATGACTTGAAAAAATCTCATTCCTGCTTAATACTAATGCCTAAACAACTAAGCCTAGGGCTCCTGCACTGTACAACATACAGGTATGTAGCACTGTGTTTTAATCATTTTTTTAAATCTAAGCTAAAACAGTTCAAGTGTTGTACGGTATATTTATATATAAGTCTGTTAATTACTACATTCACTACACTGTACCATGTATATAAGAAAGAACACTTTAAAGGAATTGCATATGCTTTTGGTGTTTAACAGCATTTCACATAACTTATTTTAATGTCCTATTTTATTACATACACTTTGCCTGTCTACTACATTCACTGCAAAATGAGTTTATGTCAACATACTGAGCAATAAAAATTCACTGCATATAATTCAATCAATTATTGCTGAAAATGAAACGCTTAACTTTTCCACAAGAAAATCATGTAGAAGCTCTCTTTATTTTTATTTATTTATTTAATCAGTGATTTGGTTTCTTCTGCCCCATCTTTCATTTCTACACATCCACTTGTTGCAACAGGTAAAGTGTATTCTTAATTTAGACGGTATAATCAGAGTGTGTGTGCCATGACTGAAAATTAGATTGCCTCAGTTTTCGGCCTTACATGCTACGCTGTAAGAATTTTGCACCTAAGGTCGAGAATTGAGGCAAAAATGTAGACGAAGAAAGAAGAGTTGGAAAGTTGTACTGGTACACACATGTACTTCTACACGCACTAACATTAGTGTTAATTTAAAACTAATAAGCACGTGCCATTCATCACTATGCAGCACCTAAAATGACGTTTACAGCACTGCTTCTATATGACACAACTGTCAGGAATAGATTTCATGAACCAACGTTGGTCTAAAAGAAACAAAATTAAGAAACTCAAAGCTATCGTACTCACATAGTTTGTTTTGTTTACTTCCGGTTACTTTTGACCTCTCGACCTTGACCTCCTTAGCTTGGGTGTCAGCCATCTTTGGAAGGAGAAATGGGGAGGGGAATAACATTGGAAGTTCTAAAGTGATTTTGACCTGAAGTATTTGAAAGAAGTTATAAAGATGTACATTAAGCCCAAGGGGATATATAGCCATTGACATTCAGGTAAGTTGAAATGAAATAGTAACTTTTAGGACGCTGTCAATCTCGGTTCCCCACTGTCTCACAATGAAGAGGGATTAAGATTATGAAGTCGGTATATAGTTAGTGTACAGTTATAATACATGTTCTCGTACATGTATTGCCTACAGCACAGTGATTGTTTGGCAGTGGTTATAGCTCAAGGGATGAATAGAATTATGAGAACTCAGCGTAGACTGTTGCATTGGGAGATATTTTCACAATTTAATTAGCTTTGCCATGGATTTTTCTAACTTTTTTAAATGTGCTAATAAATCTTATATATTTACTGTTAATGTATAAAGGCCAAAGCTACCGCCAGATGTTACTGCACAAGCTTGGTGATAAATAGCCATTTAGTGTTTGGTCTGCAAGCCGTGCCGATTTGCACAGACATGAGCATTTGCTTTTGACGTGAATGATTTATTTATTTATTTTAAGTTGATTAGGGCAGTTTAATTACATAACTGGGGGAATGTGAATAAAAAAAAGAGCAAGGCTAGTTGTTTGTAAAAAATTTGTTTGTGTTGTTCTTAGACATGCATTAACAAGCAGACTTGTGCTGAAAAAAGATGAGCTACAAAAGATAAATAAGGTATTTGTGACTTTTAGCAAAGAGCATTGACCTGATCTACCGTATGTTTTCTTAGTTATAAGATTTTTGTCCATCTGCTATTTTGATTTTGGTTATTTGATGAAAATGAATTTTTACCAAAAATCTTAATGCTTGCCATAGATTCTGAAACAGTTTTAAATGTAGCATGTGAAAACAAGACATAAATAAGCCATGTACAAATGTAACATGCTGGTACATGCCACTGATTAGATAGCTTTGTGGTTAGTTCATTTTATATCACATTTTCTCTGTTAAATGTGGTCAGTCAATTAATTATGACATTATTTATTATGATAGAAATAACTTACAGCTACCAACAGCTGGCATGCTGTGGATAATCAAAATGATGACATGTAGATGACAATAGTGAGAGAGAAAACTATTTCTGATTTAAAAAAAAAATGCACATGCACACACTATATTAAAATTTTTCTCTTTAGTGACATTCCACCCTATTTCAGTGACTCCAGTCTGTTGTTTCTTATGTTGTGTTGGCATGCATTGTTAATTCTCCAGTAATTGTTTAAATGCATGACAAGGAGTACTAGAGGCCACATTCCTCTGCTTCCCATACAACTTTAATCAAGTATTGATGACTGCAAGCACATCAAAGCTTGTCCATTGGGAAATCAATGAAGAACACCTCAATCATAGGCAATTCTTAAGACTGCTGCCTTGTTGCCTGGAACACTAATAAGTTCTAATTTCAATATGGAAGAAGGTTTTTAGTTTTCTTTTTGGAAAGGGCAGTAGCAATTTTTTTGCAGATGTTTAACCTTGCACTTGATGTGTAAAACAACTGGTGATTTGGTCAAGATTTGTTTTGTGTTTACAGAAGAGTACGTTTATTATTTGAGTTTCAGTAGTCATAATATTTCCAGTGGTCTGTTGAATAGAAAGTAGCAGTAAAATCAATAACAGCCTACAATAGTATCACTTTCACACACACACACACACACACACACACATGCGCGAATGCCTACACACACACACACACACACACACACACACATTTAAGATTATATTTTTTTCACTTGTCCATTGTTACACACACACACACACACACACACACACACACACACACACACACACACACACACACATTTAAGATTATATTTTTTTCACTTGTCCATTGTGACAAATTGTCAGAGATACCAGTTTTTTAACATGTGCATAGTCAATCCTTACATTTACTGGTCAGGCTGACTTAGCTAGATAAATACCTGACCTAGCCAGATAACTTTAATCTGTACCAATATAATATATAACTTTCTGACTTATTTGATATTCCAAGAAAGAAACATATAAATGCTCTGAAAGATAAACTTCTGTATATTGTTGGAAAGGATTTTTTTGTCTTGTTTCTAAAAATTAGGTAATATGTGGATGGCAGCCTCAAGGGGCACAGCAGCTCTTTTATATAAAAAATTGTGTATTAGCCTTTTTCAACAGATAGCAAACTTGATTGTCAGTGGTAGAAGTCTTCCTACTTTTTTTAAGGTTCATAGCTTGTCTGAGGGCATGGTAATCCATTTCAAGTGATGACATTACTAGTACCACCTACTCAAAAATATGCCTAAATTTGCATGAAGTAAAAATGCATATAATGCATGTAATCTTCTTAAGCCAAGCAGAGAATAAAAATTTGAAATACATAAAGCAAAACCTTTCAGTTTAGAGCTCAATAGAGTGAGGTTTATAAATTTATGCTAGAAAAATTGTGCACCCTTGTATATTTATCGTGCATATTTTTGGGTGCCAGAATCCCATATATGGGTGCTTTAACTAGGGTTTATTGTAACCATTTGGCAACAGCTGGTGGAGATCCAAGAACTAGTGAATTTATGTATTAATATATCATAGTTTTTGTCATCTCAGCAGTGAATTTATACAGGTCTGGTGTTTGAATGATGGAGGTACTGTGTGACTTTGACATGAACAGCTAATATTGGTTTTGTTTTCTATCTTCACTTGTGATAAAACAAAGGAATGACTGAAGGTTTAATGGTAAGTGCATAATTAGAAGATTCAGTAATGATACTAATTTTGCCATTGATATATCTCTGTGGAATATTAAATTTATTTTCTTTTCTGGTGTTTGTGTGACTTATGTGTGTTTACTTATAAACATGAGCAATACACTGGTATAAATGTAGGAATTTGTGGTAGAGAAAAAAATGTTGAAAACTGGTTTAGGGCAGGTGCGTAGTTTAGATGAGTCAATTTTAAATATGTTTGTGAATGATAGCGATGTTCAACTTATGAGCTCACAGGATGCTTAAAAGGATAGACCCAGAACAGGCATGCCATGCCCCTTCTCAGTACACATATATATTTAACATTATTGTTATGTCGTGACTGTAACTATATGCAACAGGAAAATTTGGCCATTGCATGTTCTTGCTCAATTTAGACTTGGGTGCTGGTAGATGGAAAGCTCCAGTCAATGTCTTAATTAAAATTGCCAGGAGGCATTGAATTGAATTCAAGTGGACTGGAAGGGGGGGGGGGGGCTGCTTGTATTGATTTTTCTGGGGTCATTTCTGTATATAAATAATTTTTTGTCCAAGTGAGTTTCTCAGATAAAAGTGGTTTTTCAAATTATCTTAGCTTAGCAGCAAAGTATCTTGTCTTAATTTTTTTTTGATAAATATTTATAAAAATGTCCACATTTTGAAAGAATTTCAGTGATGGATTCATATTTATTAGATAATAAGGCTGGGGTGATGTAGAATATTTCATTGCTATTAGCCAAAGTTATCATTGGTTAAACTTAAAATTGTGTTTTGTAGAACAGTTTCAGATATGTTATTGTAATAGACTTGTGAAGATTCTTTTGTCTATAGCTTTTTATATTAGTTTGATCTTACCATCCAATATTTCATCTGCTTGCAGTCAGATTTCATCAGGGAATGAGGTTGTGACAGGTATGATTGTGTTTGGTTTAAATTTTCTCTCATTAGCTAATGGAAAAATTACTGTACAGGGAGACCTCTTAACACACACACACACACACACACACACACACACACCTATTTACAGTGTTTCTTTAACAAGATTATACGTATGACATATCTTGCTAACACCTGCCCATGCCCCTCCTCTTTATGCCTTAGATAAAGCAGACATCTTTCATGTACAGCAAAATCTGGTCCCTGTTACCACATGCCCTCTCTCTCTCTCTCTCTCTCTCCCCCTTCCCCACCTGCCCTTCCATCTACAAAATTAACCTTCAGAACAGCATGTGTAGAAACTATGTATTTGAAAGGGATTCAGATTTTTTTCATGGCATCTATGTGGTTTAAGTAGGAGAAAAGGGAACCCAAAAAACAAGGGGAAGGGGTATGAACGCCATTTCTATGAGGTTGTGTTGGAATATCAGCCTGGTTGTCATGCTTGGTGTTGTAGTTTTTTTTGTTGAAGTAAGGGTAAGTCAATATTGACTGTATGGATCAATGTTTAGATTGGATACAAGAGCCAGTCAAAAGATCTTGCAGTATATTTTATGCTTTGGTGTGCGTGATTTCTAACCCTGATTGATGAGCTTTCATCAATGGATGTAGGTTATCAGTGCAACTTACAGTATATGTACAAGACATCACCAGATTAGCATGGCATCCATGACTGTAAACTCAAACCTATTTTAGGAAAACTGTGGTATTTCCTGTTTCATTCTAATTGTAGCAACACTAATTTGTGTTTCAGATGCTAGAAGTACAGAGTATCAAGCTAAGGGACACTATAGAACAGGTATTCTAGTGGTTTAGGTTGTTTACAGTGCTATGTAGATTGTGGCAGGTTTCACATGTTTTAAGTCTCCACTCTTAAATGTTGAGTAATCTGCATGTTCCGCATGCCAGGTGCATTGTATTGAGTCTACTCCAGGCAGGTGACAGTATCATGATCCAGATCAATGTAAGTGTAAGGCGACTTGTTAACTCCAGTGATCAAACAGTTGTGATGCGGGTATATTAAAGAGGGAATGGGATATAAGTGGCCAGTGTGGAATATTGTACTCAGTCACTGAATTTTTTACCGTTGAATGAGGGAATGCTATGAAGAGCTGGTCGTGGAGGGAAAGGGGGTGGGTTATGTATAAATTTGAACCTGTATTTTTTTACTCATAGGTAAACAGTGAGTAATATGTAGACATCCTATTCTTCCTATGTATCTAGAGAGAAAAGATTAAAAAGTGTCTAATCTTGATTTTTACGTACTAGTACCAACAAGATAGTGAATTAACACTGCGATTAAGCAGAACCAGAATCATTTTTTTTTTACTTACAGGTAAACATTGAGTAATATGTAGACAAATTAATTTGCCAGTGTATTTAGAGAAGAAAGATTAAATCGTATCTAATCTTGATTTTTATGTACCAACAAGGGACTAAATTAAAACTGGGGGGGCAGGTCTTGATAAAACACATGGCATGTACAGGTGTATTAATATATTTATCTTGAAGATGATCGACAAAGCCTTCAGGCTGTCGACACAAGGAAAGATAAGCTAGTAACAGTGCATGGTAATAAAAAGGACATTTATTTCTAATAGAAGATAGATGAAGTAGATGTGACCACATGATGACATTGAGTCACACATGTATAGGGTCAATATGTGGTTGAAGCAGTAGTAGTAAAACTGTAATAGAGGAGGACAGTCCCCAGCTTTAAACTTATTTAATACAATCCTTATATGGCAGTGCGTGTGGTCATTATATACAGAGTGATTGTGATTCAGCATAGAGTAAACAATGTCCTGATAATCAAAACCCTCTTGAGTGTGTCATATGAAACAATCACAAACAATCTGAAAGATACTAGTAGTCTGTTATTCAGGTACTGTACACACATTTGTAGATATGGGTTTGATATAAAAAGATAGGCAATTGTTATATTAGACTTCCAGTGGTACAAGCAAGTGTTATTTAGCAAAGTATTATGTTCTTATTTTCTGTATCTGAAGCATTCTTTGTCAAATATCCAGTACAATTCTACAGGCTGGTAACAAATATGCACACACATACACATTCCTTCTGTATAAGCAGGAATTGTTAAGATAACTGTACAGTAAATGTCATGTGCCGAGAGCACACCTTGTGTCTGTATAACTGTTTGGAACTGGTCAGCAACGGAATGGTCGTCCAAAATAAGCTGCAGGCCCACTAGATCAACTGACCAAACAAACAAACCCCTTGTTCTCTCTGAAAGTTGCAGGTCTTGTGACAGTTCACATTCCTTAATAGAATTTGAATTGGGTCAACTCATGAGAGCTCAGGTAAGCTTCCACTATATAACTAAAGTACTACACAGACAGACTGAACATCTAACACCCTCCTGTGGATATTAATTAAATTATTATTCACTGCCAAGGTGTCTGTATACTTTTAAATTATGGCTGAAGTAGAGGACATTTTTTTATTTTAAATAAAATTGAAGTCTGTGGATATTAATTAAATTATTATTTACTGCCAAGGTGTCTGTATACTTTTAAATTATGGCTGAAGTAGAGGACATTTTTTTATTTTAAATAAAATTGAAGTATGTTTTCTTTAAAATAATGGGAATCAGCGTCAATATCATATGAAGTAGTCACCATACATACTAGGCTCAAAAACTACTTTCGATAAACTAATTTGTATTCACCTTTCATGACACTGGTTAATAAAGCCTTCACTCCCACTAGCAATTGCAACAGTTAAGGAACATATAAAGTTGATTTTATTGTGGTTCCTGAAAGAGATAGGCCATATGAAACAGAAAGTTAGATCTATCCCAGTTTCAAGGTACAATATTGCAACTGTCATAAAATACAGCAACAGCTGCTGTAAGTTTTGTTTTTGCTGATGTAGTGAAAGGTAATAAAACTTTTTTATAGTGAAGGAGTAGTGTCGAATTTGGATGTGTGTGGGTGTGTAGTGTTGTGTTCTCTACCTGCAGATAATCAAAACCAGACAGTGCTTTGTGCCAAAAACTTAGTGGTACACATTCAAAACACTTTCTATTTCATTTGTGAATGGTATTAACCTGTTGCTAGCTGCATGATAAACAGTTACTCTGCACCTCATGGGAAGTTCATTCGGCTGATGCAGAGTAAGCTTTCACTAATCTTGGGGCAAAATATTGAAAATAAAATTAACAGAAAATGTCAGAAGTTGCAGCAGAGCTCATTGAAAAAAAAAACTTAAAACAGCAGCCAAGCCAACACAAACAAAACACAACAACCTAGCAAAGCCAAGCAAGTACCTGGATAGTAACTAGATCTACCTGTTTGTGATATAAAATTTGGCTGGGGGTGTTATGGCAGTAGAACCTGCTACTACACAAGTTGTCTGGTACTTGTTTTAGCAGGAAGTAACCCAAATAGTGAAATTTATGTATATGTCTGCCCCCATGATTATTTGGACCACATATATTACCTAGTATGATACCTGGAAGTGATAATATGCTAATAATAGATTGATAGATTTGATGTTTGGCCTGGTTCAGTTCCTATGGAGAATTTGGATTTGGTATCAGCTTTGATCTACAGAGATGAAAAGAATTACACCCACTTGCTAAGGAGACCAGTTTGGCTATGATGTATGTAGTAGTACTGTGGAATATGAAATATCCAGATATTTGTAAATTTATGTATTCAGCCTGGTACAGGTAATAAAACTTGATCAAACCATAGTTACCATTACTGGTGCATATATATCCAGAATTTATTAGCAAATGTTGATAATCCTACCATCATGAATCACATAACACTTCATCTATTCCGTAATAAAATAATTAAGACAATAAAGCATTCACCACATGGAGGTATTAGAATGTCGAAGTCATTGTCATTTATGCAGGTTAGGATAAACAGTTGACCACATTTTGTTTGTGACCGGTGTCTCATCAAGATAAAGGAAACCACAAAACCCTGGGCTGCATGACTTGGACACACTAGTACTAGTACTCACTTGTAGAGTGTACTTAATATGAAGAAAACATTATGTTAATAACATTTTGTGATACACTGTTATTTGTCTCTTAAATTACATATTTATAGCTTATGTATACTCTATCGTTGGTTCAGATCATTTGAATTTAGAAATTGACTCCCTGTTTTGTGACATAGTTGTTTTTGGGCTTGCAGTAAACTGAAGAAGGGGGAAAAATAAAAATGACTGACAATGATTATTCATTCAACCAAGTTTATACACAGCCCTTTTGTCATGCAATCTCAAGTGCCTTGAAAGAAAAATTACAAGCTATTAAGACTGCCCATGCCAGGTATCACGGCAACTGTCCATCCTTAAAGGCTGTCATTGTTACAAATATGTCTGTTATATAGGTGCACTGAGGCAGTTTTAAACCATTGGACTTGTAAACTGCAGAATTGTCTCTATCTGTAGCATTCTATTCCTGCTATTTAACTTGTCTTTCTCTTTATGTTCAATTTAATAGAAAAAATAGGAAAAAATGCACCTCATCTGAACTACTTGAAACTTGCATATATTCATATATGACAAAAAGGTTGCAAAGGTTATTTTTAATCATATGTTGAGTATCTAGTTAAGTTTCACTGTCATTTCATTTTTATGGTTCTCTGATATGTTCATCAGAGATGAAATAGGCATAAAGAATGCATATAAAAATGGCAGGGTTACAGTTTTTGCATTTTAAGAGGAGTGTATTATTAGTTGATATTCATGTAGTACAGTGAAGTACTTTATAGCTATTTTTTCATTGTTCAGACTCATCAAGGTATGAAAAGGGGTGGAGGTGTGTCATACCTTATAGGGATAGTATGTAGGATTGTCATTGTGATAGATATTTCTGTATTCTTTTTTAAGTGACCCGTACAGATGGCCATGGATGCTTCTTTCTTTTAAGAGATGAAATTACAACCTGTGCTCAAAAACTTCTTTTTAAGGTTGAAGTAAAAAATGCATGGAATGCATGAAGCTGTTCACTCGGCTTAAACCAAATGAAGTATGATGTGCTTTCAATAACTTTTTTCTAATAGTTTTTGATTATGTATGTTGAAAGTGTGACCTTTGAATTTAAAATTACTAAATTTTTGAGGATGCTGGGAAACTTTGTGAGTCACATGTTTAGCATCTAATTTCAAACACTGTCTCTTTAAGAAGTGAAGCTGCCATTATGTGGCTGTATTACATGTATGTGAATACCTGGGTCCAGGAGAAAAACAATTCTAGATTGACTTGTCTAGTTACAAATTTACATTACGAAGGTGGCAAACTGGTTTGATTTATGTGTTTTTAACATCCGATTTTGTCCCATAGCTCCAGGCGGTAAATTCTATATACATTTCATACATTTGATGTCTACCAGTCAAAATTATTACCTGTCTGTTATATTCAAGGACGTTGATATATTTGTCACATGTTTGGGAAATGGCATGCCATATTTTAACACATTTCACTGTAATGGCTTTCATATTTTATTCTGTTATTTGATGGACTTCCGGCAGAAATATCAATAGACTTAACTGTTAAAGCATACCAGTAAGCCAGTTCCATATCATTTTGAAAAAAATTAATGTGTCTTACAGTTTTTATAGGCATTGTTGGAGATAATGCAGTCTCTTTATCACACCTGCATTGTTGTTCTTTTGGGAGTATTTTAATGCTTAGAAGTGTGCTGTGTGGTTAGAGAAATTGTGTCACTTTCCTCATCCCAGCTCGGCAATTTTTTTTGCCAATTGCAAAATAACCTATAATGTGTCAGAGAGCAATATTATATCTGAGGCTCAGGGCCCATATACAATCTGCGCATATTCCATCGGCTAAAATCTTTACCATGTGAAGATATTTACCTGGATCTTAACGATAAGAAAACATTTACCCAGATAGTTATAATAGATGTAATACAAATGTGGGTGTGTTTTGTAGTTTTCCATCCTACTAACAGTGGCATAAATACCACACTGGATTAAGACACTTAGTTTGTTAGGTAAGGTCCCCCCACTTCATGTGGCTGTAGAGAAGCAATCAAGTTCAACATAAGGCATGTGTTCAGTGCATCAGACAGGTATATGGTATTGATATTGTTGTGTTTGCGTGCCAAAATATTTAAAACAGACTTGTTTGTGGATACAGAGATATGAATATTCATTGACTGTACCATTAATTTGTGGTTTCAGTTCTGTGGTCTAGTGTACTTAAGGCGTATGCCCTCCAGTTCTTTCGCCTAATTATTTTGTTTATTTTCTTTTCTGATCTTTTTTTTTTTTTTTTTTTTTTTGTTCTTATACATGTTTGAATGGACAGCTAGGACTTTGATGTACAAGGATAGACCAATAGCAGCCAAGACAATTAAAGTACTAGTACTGTAGTGATTGGTCTAAAGCAAGCCCTTTCTCACTTTTAGAAAAAAAGTTCTCGTAGCCCAATTTGGAGGACTATTGCTTTATTTAACACAATAGCAGACTGAAATTTTTGTTTTATTTAATACAATAGCAGACTGAAATTTTTGTTTTATTTAACACAATAGCAGACTGAAATTTTTGTTTTATTTAACACAATAGCAGACTGAAATTTTTGTTTCATATAGCAAGGAGTTCGGACCAAGCTCTCAGTTTTGTTCTGTTTTGACACTGGGCCCCTGTCTTTAGGGCAGGTGTTAGCATTATGACTAACTGTGGCCTAACTGTACTGTGTCATGGTTGACACCTCAGGCATGTCAAGTTATAACAGGTCGTGACAGAGGAACTCAACCATATTTCCATAGTAGATAGTACATTGGATAAATATGACTGTGAAGATAACCTGAACCTTAATGTCCTACGACTGGTCATGCACTTAGATAGCAATACATAAGTTCTATTAGGCAGACTTGCACAGATATGACCGTATTAATGAGCGCTATGGGTCGGAAGTTTTTTATGTGACTTCCAGTTTTATTCATGTGTGAGAAAGGTCAAGTTTTATTACTATGGGTCATGCAGGGATTTAATTGATGGTGAAAAACATTTTCTGTGTACATTTTAAATTGACCGGTGATCAGTGATGAAATATAGGGCTAAGGTTTTGTAGCAGTTGTGAAATGGAAAGTAAGAGTATTGATAGAGAGGAATAAAGGTTAATCTTCCATTAAGACTACAATTCTCAGTGACCAGGGGCTTTGCTATTGGGAACTTTTTTTTAATTATCAGGAAATACATTAACACAATTCGGTATTGTCGTTAACACACATTCGATACTGGATTTTTTCATTTTTGTCAGACTCAAGGTTAATGACTATTGAGAAGCATAAAGCAGTGATATGATAATTGTAGATTGCAAATTGTAGGTGAAAAAAATTTCTTACCTTGACATATCATATTAATAACTTAATTGTAATTGAATATTTGTGATATTTAAATGCATTTAGCTTGGTTTAACTATATGTTAGTTTGTATTTGTATTTTACAGAATAAAGGCATTGAGGAGTAATTGTGTGTTGTAAGCCACCAAAACCTGGAATTGCTGCTCCTAGCTCGGCATTTGTCACCAGGGGGCAGCACAGCAAAAGCAGTTTCATAGAGGACAGTACTGAACAACTGGATTGTCGCTAGGAGGCAGCATTGAACAGAAGAACGGTCACTAGAGGTCAGCAGGTGTAGTGAGGTAGCATCATGGCGTCTGGAGGGGAGGAGGGAGACGCTGTAGGAAAGCAGTCTGAAGATGAGGACAAACCCCAGGACACCACACAAGGTAGTCATTTCCCACCATGTGCTCTATTAAAACTTCCAAAAAAACTGGAAGGCGATAAGTCTCATTTCTAATAATTTCTAGATTTTACATGAATGAAAATATATTACTTGGTAAGAGTATCCAGGAGTTTATCAGTAAACATTCCAGGGGATGCTCAAAATTCATGTCAGAATAAGTACAAATATTGAAGTGGTGTAGTTGCTTTGATGAGGGGACAGGGTGGGAGTGGGGGTTCCAAAGCTTATCTATAAGAAAAACAGGTGTGGATTTTTCATATCATTACTCTGCCTAACATTCTGGTATTGATATTATAGCAAGTGATGGCAAGCAAGAGGGGAAGAAGAGAAAGTTTAAGCCTTTGAAGGCCATGAGGCGTTTCTTCATGGGCCGTAAACGCAGCAAGACGTCAGATGACCAGGCTGTCAGCATAGTTGCTGTACGCTCTGCTAAATCCACAAGTGAACTGTTACATGTAAAAGCAGGAGAAGAAAGGTAGTTCTTGGACACTTGGCATATTCCATGCGTACTTTGATCAGTGACATTTTAGTGAAGAGCTTATTGCTGTCACCCAGCAAAGAATTTTCAACAGCTGTGTTATGTACTGAAAGTTACTGTAATATTTTCTTCACATTAGAGTAGAAATAATGTTATGAAGCTGTTGACTGAAGAAAATTATGTTGTAACTAACTAATTGATGCTATTTTTTTACAGAATGTGATCATTTGGTGTTTGTAAACAATTTTAGCATTGTAAGGATGTCTTCATGGTATGGAAAATAATTCCTCATACCATTCCTATAACGACCACTATACCACAAATAACAATACATATAAAAATGTTAAAATGAAAACTCCTATGAACTGCATTAATTAATCAAGTTTTGTGTGTTTTCAGACCCGTTACCCTTGCAGGTAATCTGAGTCTGTCGGCAGACAGCATCTTCTCTCCAGACCAGAAGAAAACCAGTGAGGTCAGAGACCTGAAGGAAGCAGCTTTGTCTTTAGAGGCTTTAAATACTCAGGCAATCAATGTGAGTAGCTTCAGTGGGAAGTGTCACAACCAAAGACAACTAACACATTGTGCCCTGTCACAACCTGGCACACCTAACACAATGGCCCACACTACCTTGCAACTGCAAACAGACTATATTACAGGATTTTACATAGTCATTTGTATAGAAGTCATACATTATATAATTACCAAATATTCATTAATACTGATATCATGTGTTGTTATTGTGCATCATTGTAAATTTTTAGCTTTTTATGTATCTATATTTGGGGATTGGACATAATTTGAATTTTGCATGTTTTAAATTAATTATTTTATTACCTGCATGATTCATCTTAACAGCTTAGTTATAAATATTACATCACCATGTATAACACCAGAACAATTAGCATGATTTCTTTGAGTTTATTGCACCAGCATCCACCAAATTGTTTTTAAGTTTTGCACATGAAAAGTTTTCAAATAAGAACAAAGAAAGATATTTTAAAACATCAACAGGAATAAAAATTCCTGTGTGCAAAACGTACACTGTCAAGAGCAAATGCCACAACGTCTGAAATAGGAGATTAAGCATACTGGTAGTGGATCTTGCTCTTAGGATATGAAAATGTAATATGATTCATGAAGCATTTGATAATGTGGTTGTTGTAGATATTGATAGCTGTGTACTTTGTTAAATGCATGCTTATAAGAAGGAGAAAGAAACGATTAGTGAAGTGACATGAGTTTTTCTCTTGTTAATTAGGTAAATGAATTTTAGTCATGTGCCACTGAGTTATCCCTTAGGTTATAAAAGTTACTGCATTGAACGGTTTTAATGGTTATATTGTAGTACAGAACTTACATTGAAAAAAGGAGCATTTGTTTATTAATGATGATAGCTCACATACATAGCCAGTCAGACAGAACATGGCATGTATAGAAAAGTACTCCATTGCAACCATTTACATTAAGTCATCTCTGTGCTTGATGTAGTGCTCCGAATCCCATCAAGAAGCATTTTGTTGCCATGGTAACGTAGCTTGAGTTTTTGCATGGAATCATGAGGTATTGATTGATTGTGCAGTGAAGAGGAAGCATGGTAGCGTGATGATGGTGATGATGACAGAGTTTAATGCAAAGAGAGAAGGGAGTTTAAAAGGCCTGTTTAGACAAGCGCCAATTCAAACTTGCATCATTAGGGCATAGTTGGGTGCTCTGGTAATATATGTGTAATATTAATGCAGAGTAGTTCCATTGTGCTTAGTGTTTTGTACACTTGAATTTCCTGATGATGCAACTTAGTCAGGCATCTTTTTAAAAGTTAATCCCTGGTCTGAACAGACCAAGCACAGAATGATTTTTTTTTTTAATATTTTAAAAGAAAATTGTCAACAAAACGACTCAGTAGAAAGAGATGTAATCATGTCTTATTTATAAATGTGTCTATTTATTTGTTTGTTTATATATTGATTTCATAATTTTGATGGAGGTAATCATCCTTTCTTTAGTGGAAATAAGTAGTTTTTTAAAAAGAAATTCTGACATAATTGTAATGAAAAAGAGCTAGGGCATAGATGTTTTAAAAAGAGATTCCCCACATATTCTGAAGATATGTTGAGAAGTTAATGGATGGAAAGTAATTTATTTTCAAAAATGCAATTATGAATTTGCATCAGTTTTATATTTACCTTTTTATAAGACAAGATGCAAATTATACTGTGTCATTAAGCAAAACAGTAAATATAGTTTATAATTAACACATCAGGTATCAGGTCGTAATTAGTATTTTTATTAATACGGATCATGGTGATAATCCCTTCCCACAGCTTGCTACTCACACCTACTCCAGACATGATGCTAATTGTTCGCTATATGTTTCCCAGAGTTCTCCATTATATACAAATAACAATGTGCTCTATCTCTCCATAATACTGATTTCTGGGCTCTGTGCATTTGGCTACATATTTTCTAAAACATTTCCTCCTAAATCGGACTTTTGGTGATTTTTATTAAGTTATATGATAATGTCATATTTATCATATTATTCAGCCAATATTATTTGTAGCAATTGGCCAAACTTTTACTCACTATGGTAAAAGGATAAATACTGGACTCCTGTGCATTTGCATTTCACAGAATCTGATCTGAGTTTAATCAGCCAAGATATTGATTACTCTTGTTAAAAGCCTCTATCAGGATAGCACGGCCCTGGGGAGGGATGAGTAATAGAGTGGAGAGTGGAAGCACATATTGTTTGGTATTATTGTGGAGAGCACTGAGGATATTGCTCATATCATTGGATCTGCATGAACACAGCTGCATCACGCTTTCATATATATCTTCTCCCCCAGCTCAAGAGAACTGGGCACTCTACAAGTCGTAGAAGCTTGGGAAGCATGGACAGCTCGGAGGATGATATAGAGGTAGACATTGGGGGATTGGAAAGAGACGGGGATGGGGAGGGGAGGACAGGCATAGTGGTTGGGATAGAGTTTTGGTGCCCTAGAAGTCATATGTCCAGGAGGCAAGAACAGCTGAGGGAATAACACAGACTGATGTAGACAATGGATGATTAAAGATGGGGTAGGGTGGTAAGGGTTACGTCGCTCTATAAATTAATTTGGGATGCATTGACAACCTGGCAATTGTTAAAGATGTGTAAAGGCATGGGGATGGAGAAGAGTTTGGGTGCCATTGAAATAATAGGGAACCTGGACAAGACGCTGTTTGAAAAGGGGGTGTTTTGGATAAAGTTTTAAAATGAGAAGTGAATTGAACTGAGGTGCATTTTGGTCATTTGGGATAAGGCTCCCTTCAAAAATTCGATCCCTGAAAGCATGGAGAGCCTCTTTTTTTTTTGGGAGGGGGGGGTGTAAAGGCCAGGGGAAATTGAAAAAAGAGTGAAGTATACTCTTTATATTATACAAATCGGTAGCAAGTGTGGCCATGAAGTTTACTTAAAGACTGACACCAAAAGGGGAATGCTTGTGGAAGAAAGGTTTAGGCAAAGAAGAAGGGATTGCTGCTTTGGGTATGGTCACTGATTTGTCTATAAATGGCAACCCCTGCAATTAACAGACTGGTATAAAAACACATGCAACTTAAACTGTGCTTCAAAAAGTAAAGAAGAGGGGCAGACACGAGGGTCCTGTGTTATATTGATTGGTTTGAGAAACTGCATCTTAAAGTAGTCAGCATTTTTCGAAACCAAGATTTTTGTGACCACTGCAGGTTCAGTTAAAAGGTTGTTTTATGATTTGCATGTTCTGAGTCATTGCATTGTGGTAACACACTCGCTTGATGCACTAATATTATAAGCATATTTGCCCCAGCAATTATTTCATTTCTTGGGAATTTAAGATCAGAGAGATTGTTAACTAGTGCATCGATCATCATTAGAAATATAAAAGGCATCAACTGTCATTATTTTCTAAAAAGAAGACATTGAATAATTGAGCTAACTATATGAAAATTGAATTACTTAGGAATTTTACCATCTTCCCAAGCCTGCTTTTAGTCCTGCCAAAAAGGAAAGCAGTGAGGGTAAGTGCAACTCAAACAATCAATTGATAAAGTTAATAAGAAGTCTTTGGGCAGAACTGAACACAATACTGTACTCTTTATTGTTTTGCAATCCTTAGCAGGTAATTCATATATAATTTATCAGAAATAAGAAGTTGAAGACAATTTTATCAAATTATCAAAAATTATTTGTGAGGTATATTATGCATCCCTAAGATAAATGTGCAGAGAGAAGAAAAAAAAATCAACAGAAATTGGTATGAAAAACAAAGGGACCTTCAATATATATTTGGACAACCAGAAATGGACATTTCCCCCCATATAAATTATAAACTGTATATAATTACATAATTCCTTGTCTCCTTCAAGATGGCATTCAAGCCAAAGATGTAGACTTAGATGCAGTAAAGCAGACATCAGCTCTTGGTAATGTGGCTGCCAGACACAAGATGGCCATCAGACCTAAGTCAAGGCGAGCTTCATCCCAGTTCCGCAGCCCACAGAAAAGTGAGGTAAACTAGATTTCTTTATATGACTGTTGTCTTGTGTGCCTTAAGGATTTACAACTTGATATATTTTAAAAGACATCTTACTGTATTTGTCCATGCTTTGCAGAAATGGTGTGTTTACTTCATCTTATGCTTCTCTCCAATTTCAGTTTGTAAGCTCATATGAAATAAATATGCTTTAGATTTATTTATTTATTTATTTATTTATTTATTTATTTATTTATTTATTTTTGGGAAAAAGTAAATTGCAGTCACTGTGTTATGTTTAAGACCCAAATAACAATGAACTTTAAAAGAGATACTTTTAATATATTTTTATATGTTAAACAGGGATATAAAATATAGCTGTAAGCTGATAGAGGTATTAGTGTTTTTCTGGTGTAAATGTAAGTTAAAATGTTACTTTTTTCCCTTCTCTTAGCCTCGACCTGCCACGCCTGTGCTGCCCAGTGTGAATGAAGAGCCACCCCCAAAATCTAGTCCAAAAAGAGAACATAAAGAAGAAAAGAAAACTGCCAAGAAGTTTAAAGGTACATAGGGTAAACTCACCATGTGATATGCAATTTGCATGAAGTCAGTGTAGTTTAAACCTATAAAAGGATAAAATGTCTCAATATGTTTGTTTTTGTTGATGTTGTTGCGTTGCTCAGAATGTTTTGAAGGGTTTTGATATGGAGGTCAAAAATTTTGCTAGTCCAAGTGCTTAGTTTCATCCTTATGTACAGTTTTTAAACTATTTTCTGAAAACTATATATGTTATATGATGGAGATTGTCATATATTTCAGTCCAACAGCATCAAATAACTACATTTACATATTACTAGAGCAATACATTTTTGCCAATTTTGACTCATCACAAGGGTCATATATTTTTGCTTGAGAAAATAAAAAATATATATATTAATGCTAACATATCATTGATGCCATGGAAAATAAGTCAAATCTAAAAATGAAAAAGAAATTGACCGCCTTTTCCAAGGTTGACATAATAGGATTTCATGTTGTCCAAATTCAGCTGTGTAAGGGTTTTCAACAAATTTGAACCAGTAAAGGTTAATTTGGACCTTTCAGTTGCTAAAATTGTGGTCACTGTAACTGTGACCCCCAAAACAACACAAAAAGGAATCCTATAATTGGTTTTATGAATTAAAATGAAGGAATGAACATGTTGGCATATGTATGATGCACAGTTATGACACTTTTTGTTGTATTATAGAGAAAAAATATTTGTCATTGTGTATCATCACTTCGTTTTATCGTTGTTGTTGTTGTTGTTGTGTGTGTGTGTGTGTGTGTGTGTGTGTGTGTGTGTGTGTGTGTGTGTGTGTGTGTGTGTGTGTGTGTGTGTGTGTGTGAAAAC